AAAAGTACATCTGCTTGTATAAAAGTACATCTGCTTGTATAAAAGTACATCTGCTTGTATAAAAGTACATCTGCTTGTATAAAATTCATTTGTTTTGAATTTTTAAAAACCAAAGCAATTTTTTTCTTGAAACAAATTTTGTTTTCTTTCCAAATTTCATTTTCTTAATATTTTAAGTTTACTGTTGGAATCTGAAGCCCGGAAGCTTAATATTATTACGGATCCAATTCAGGTGAGAGAACAGCTATACTAAAAGAATGTGCAAATTCTATGTTGCAATCTATTGTACTTGATTATCTATTTGGGGAAAATTGTGTTTGCAAAATCCAGTTATTTAGCAAAAAGTGTGCAAAAACAAAAAACGAAAAGCGGAATATGACTTCTTATAAATTATAAAAATGCCCTAAACCCAGCGAATTCAAATATGCAAAAAAATGTGCAGGATTGTGTATTCAAGAAAAACTAAAATTGTGCAAATTCCCTGTAGAGGCGTCTATGCAAAAATCTACGCAAAAATTCCTTTCAGAAATTGTGCGTTCAATTGATTGAGAAGTGCCAATAATACATTTAAATGTGGCTTTTAAAATACTGTAACTAACTGCTCCATGCTTTTTTTGCATATTACATTTTTTTGCAGTTTATCATACACCTCTCAAATATCAGGTTTTTCGGATTTATCAATTTGTACAAAAAATCTTATGATTGTATACCTTTATATTGACCAAATATTAGTTAATGCTCGTGAAAAATGATAGGGTGTAAAGACCGCGGCGAAAAATTATCGATGGTGATCGTTGCTAATCTTACTTCTGGCTGTCGCGTCTATAAGGAGAAAATTGTTAAAAACTACTCATACCAAAGAACGTAGCGTCCAAGCAAATTTAGAATATTTCAAATTTCGACTCGGATCGTAAAAACAATCAATTTAACTCCAACAAATCATTCAGATAAAACCTGTAATAATCGATAATTTTTCGACGCATTAGTAGCGTAAATTTAATATTTCAAAATATTTTCTATATTTTTTTATATTCAATTCACTTAAATTGGCCACCAGGTGTCTTTGCTCTCGATGCTCTGAATGATTTCAATTTGATGTGCCAGAGACACCTTGCTTAAAAAAACAAATCAAAACTATTCTAAATATCAACTATACAAATATTGTCTCTTGTTTGGTAGCTGTCAAACCTGTAGTGTAGTGTAATTACCAATCTTTTTAAGAATCCCGTTTCCATTAATTTATATTTTCTCTTCTCCTAACCCATACCTTAAAATTAAAGTTGAAATTTTTATCTCAATTTAATCTGTACAAAGTTTCTATATTATTTTATTTTTTATTTAGAGATGCAAAGATGATACTTAAAAGCTTTGTCTGATCAAGTAACAATTAAATATTAAAATGTTTATAATTTTAAAAGTGACTTGTCCATTTCTATTCTTTTTCAGGAAAATATAGAGATATTATCACATTTAAACAGTTTTAAACCTGGAAAATCGACTATATTATCCACATTATTGATCAGAAAAAGGCATCAAGGGAACATGTTCAAATTGCGCTTTGCCTTCTTACCTTGGAGGGTAACTTGGAATAATGCTTTATATAAACCTATATTTCAAGTGTTACATTCCCTTTATATAAACCTATATTTCAAGTGTTACACTCCCTTTATATAAAACTATATTTCAAGTGTTACACTCCCTTTTTATAAAACTATATTTCAAGTGTTACACTCCCTTTATATTAACCTATACTTCAAGTGTTACACTCCCTTTATATAAACCTATACTTCAAGTGTTACATTCCCTTTATATAAACCTATATTTCAAGTGTTACACTCCCTTTATATAAACCTATATTTCAAGTGTTACACTCCCTTTATATAAAACTATATTTCAAGTGTTACACTCCCTTTATATAAAACTATATTTCAAGTAAATTTCTTTGAGGAAAGAAATGTAGAATTATGATTTTAGCAATTAAAATGAATTTAGCTTTTGCTCTTCCTTTGATGGTTAATATCTAGAGAGGTTTGCAGCAGCTTGGAATTAAACAAGATTCTGAGTATAATATTCACCTTCCACCACCAGTTGGAACAGGTAGAAGTTTTAACATCCAAACAGATTATTTTAAAATAGTTCAATTTTTATTCTTAAAAGATGTATTCTATATTAATACTTATTTAGTCAACATATATAAAGGGTTGTTAATTGTTATTAAAAATGATCTAAAAATAGATCGTTTTCGTTTTGTTTTTATTTTCTTCGAAAAACGATAGTTTCGTTTTTGGAAAAAAACGATCGTTTTTAAAAACGAACCGCTCGTTGTGAACTTTCAAAAACGATTCAAAAACGTGGAAACGATTTTTTCCTACATATCTAACCTTAAACAGCATGATATTTAGGCGAAATTTGCATTCCCGTCTTATGTGTGAAAATTAATTACCCAAGTAACAATTTTGCGGAAAATCCGCGGAAATTCCCAGGAATCTTTCCTGGGAATCCGCGGAAATTTCCAGGAATCTTTCACAGGAAAATCCGGTGAAAATGTCGACAGCTATTCCGAGGAATTTCTCGTAATCCATTCCGAGGAACCAGGTCCGAGGAATTTCTTGTAACCGATTCCGAGGAAATTCTCATAACTCTATCCAAGGAATTTCTTGTAACCAATTCCAGGGAATTTCTTGATAACAATTCTGCAGAAAAACCGGAAAAAATATCGACAAAATTTGTGGAAATTCTTGGGAATTTCCACAGAAAAGTTCTTCAGAACTAATTCCTGGGAATTTCCTGAGAACTATTCCCAGGATTTTCTCAAAAGTTCCTCAGGAATATCTTTAAATATTCTCAGCATATTCCTGGGTAAATTCACTAACCAGGACTTGGGCCCAATAGTAGTGAATAACTATACTGCCCCTCCAACTTTTTAGAAGAATAAACATCTTCTTAAGTCAGAATGTTTTGGTTGTTTTTGATCTTACTGAAATTTTCATGTATTTTGTTTATTCAGACAAATGAATTGTCAAGAAAAAATGAAAAAAAATTTTAAAAATATTTTTTTTCAAGATGGTTTTAAAGTAAATTATCACTTTTTATCAATAAGGATGCAAAGAAAAAAAAAATTAGTAAGGGCAGTGCATAATAGAAGAGAACCTCAGAGACACCTATTGGAGAAAAACGGAACTTGAAAATTCTGTGAGGAAGTCCTGAGAATTTCTCAGGAATTTCCGGAGAAATAATCCTGAGAAATTCTTAGGATTTTCTTGAGAAAAATTCCAGAAATTCTGAGGAATTTCTCAAAACTTATTCACTTATTTAATTTCCCTAAAAATCCGTAAACTTGATGAACAAGTCCTAAGAATTTCTCAGGAAGTTCCGGAGAAGAATTCTGGAGAAATTCTCAGGAATGTATCGAAATTAATTCTCTTATTTAATTCTCCTAAAAATCTGTAAACTTGGTGACCAACACCCAGGAATTTCTCAGGAATTTCCTTAGAAGTATTCCGGAGAAATTCTGAGGAATTTTGTTAGGAAAAATTCTGAAGAATTTCTCAAAAATTTCTCGAAACTGAGTCTCAACACTGTGATCCCACAAAAATCTCTGTTCTCGGAGACCAATTCTGGAGAATTTCTCGAGAATTTCTGAGGAATCAGTTGCAGGAAATGATTCTCGAGAAATTCCACGGAAATTCTTCAAAGAAAGTCACCATGGTTGGATAATCTGCTGGGGAAATTCCTCACTTTTGTTACGTGGATTTGCGATAAACTCTTCCCTTCGCATTTTTTAAAATTGCGTCCTTTTCCTCCGCAAAAATAAATTCTTCTTAATGTTAGCGCCTTTTAAAGCATTTTTTTGCAAAATTTTCATTGAAATCAATCCATGCTTTTTGTGTATTTTCTTATATCGATGCTACCTAAGAACCTAAACTTTTCATCCATTTTTCTTATTGATAATAACCTTTCAATGCATTCTATTCCTTCTGGGAATCTACAGTCTGCTTTGCACAAACATCCACACAAATAATGGGAACTGAGTAAAGAAATAAGTCTTTTTTTTACATTTCTTTTAAGTCAATAATTAATAAACCCTGGAAACATCTTTAAAACAATCAAAAATTATTAACACGCAGAAAAATGTAAAATTTAAAAAATTTAAATTTTTTTTGAAGTCGATTTTTAGTTTTTTTTTGGAAACACATCTATATAATTATTTAAGATTGTGCCTCGACTGAATATTCCCCATTTGTTGGTGATTTGACTTTGACTAATATACAGTGAACAGTTTGCTGTTTACCATGTATTCTTTCAGTTTTTAACATGCAGGGTCCTTCTGCTGAAATGGCAATTTTAAATCATCTGTAAATTTGTTAAAATCCGCCAATATGCAACGAAAAATCAGCCAAATAATTCATAAGGCTCTTTCATTTTATGTTCCAACTATTAAAAATGTCCCCCATCGAAAGCAAAGGACCAATGCCCTTTTCTCAGCAAGCCAAGAATAGTGGATAATCCTGGAGTATGGAACTGTGCCGAATTTTGCAAGTTACTCAGGTCAGGGGAAACTTCAGAAAACATTAATCCAGCCCTAATAAATAATGTACCATGGTAAAATGCTTTTAAAGGACTTTAGGACAAATTCTTCTCAATAGAGTGTGAACTTAGGCCGGTGGGAAAAAAATGGGGTACTAAGTTCATAATCACAGACCAGTGCAGAAAGAGTGAAGAACATAATGAAGGAGTCACTAAGTCAGAGTAAGCAAATAATCTTTACTGAGATTTCTCAAGGGAACAGTATTAGTATTTCTACAGCATGGAGAATCTGGTTTCCAAACAAACCTATGCAGTTGTCCCTCTTTCAGAGACTCACAAAGCTGCCAGAAAAACGTTTTGTGAGTGGCTTCTCGAGCAGCCACAGGGGTTTGAAAAAAATGTGCTTTGGTCTGATGCAAAGTGCTTCATGCTTTATTGCAGTCCCCAAACAAACAAATTTCCAGCATTTTTAAATTTTATTCTGTAAAATTTTGTTTTAATTAAACATGCAAGTTTGCCTTATATTCTCACCAAGGATGATCAACTTGCATGTTTGATAATTGCAAACTTCTACAGCATACAATTTGAAATCGTTAGACGCTTCTCAGATTGTTGTAAATTTTTTAAAAGTCGAAACATATTAAAAGTTTTTTTAAAGCGAATCTAGCCATTAGCCATCGCTAATTATAGACAAATAAAAATTGCCATTTCAGCAGAAGAAATACCCCGTATTTTTATTTGTTTTACTTGAAGGTCAACCTGTTGAAGTACAGATATCAATATCATTACGGAATATACTAGATATTGATGAAGTAAGGCAGGTATGTATACAATGTTTATAATTTAATCAAAGCATTATTGCTTGTACTGTCAATATCTGTATTGTTAATATTACATTATTCTAGTAATTATTATTTTTACTTTTATTATTATAATGATTTAATTACAAAACTATGTCAGCACTTAATAAAAGTGCTGGTTTCATCGGACTTAAAATAAGCAAAGTAAAAAAAAATCCTCTGAATTGAGTTTATAAATTTTCTTATCTTTTGATTTTAAATTTTTCAGGCAAAGATGGCCTTTTTTTAAATATTTAAAGTTTTTAAACTTTTATACAAAATTTTACTTTCATTTTATTCTGCAACATTTTAACTCTGAGCAAAGAGATATTAAACAAAAAGATTTTTTCAGTCAAATTAAAAAACCAAAGAAAAAAATTTGCGCGATATAATTAAAGCAAACTTATCAAGAATACAATTTTGTAATCCAACTAATATNCGAATACGGCAAAATATACGTGATAAATTTTCTCCAAAGCATATAATTGGTAATTATTTGGAACAAGAAAAACAAGAACTCTAATCTTTAACTTTTTTCAGCCATCAATTTTAAAACTTTTAAGATTTCAAATCTTTATTAATTTAAAGTTCGATTTTATTAAACTCTCTATCCTAAAAAGATTGGGAAACAAAAAGTTTCGGATACATTTTTTTTTTTTTTACACCATGTGAAATGTTAACACTGAAAGCAAATATGAAAATATATGCAAAAACCGAACCCTAAGTGAACCAAAAGCTGTACAGTGTACAATGTTGGAAGTTAATTGTACATATATAATTAAGTTGATAACTGTCGAAACAACTCTACGATTGTACTGGAAAGATAGCAGGCTTAAAGTAAGAAATGTAAAACTAGAAAATTTTGGAAAAATAAAAAATTTCAAATTAAGTTAAAGGGAGTGTTCGCGCAAAATGAAAGGGGGTATAGGCTTAATTCGATGAAAAGCGCTTTTGATCGCTACTAATCTTACTTCTATCTGTTGCATCTATACGACTTGGATCGTAAAAAAATCAGATTAATATGAAACAAATCATTCAGATATTACAACCTATAGTCATCGATTATCTTTCGCCACATTTGTATACAGTTTATATTTTATAATATTTTTTAATTAATTTTCTATTTTTGATTTTTTAGAAAACATTTTAACGAATTTCGAAAATTGTAAGTGGTGCGCGGCATTCTTAGATAGTTGCGCAAGCAACTAAAGAAATAATAAAATTCAAAACAAATTAATTGATTTTTTGCGATCCCAGTCGTATGTTCCAACTTCCTCAGTTTTTGTGGGGGCTTTTTATCGCATTAAGCCTATACCACCTTTCATTTTTCGCGAGCACTCCCTTTAATGGCATGATTATACCTGCATAGTTAATTACCTGAATTCCTAATTTCATAATTACAAACACAATTAGAGTGAGCCATTAAGGGTTAAAGAACCTTAGCTAAAAAATTCCAAATTTTGCGTACTGCATTTCTTTTTCAGCTTTTTCATTTCTTTGTTTCAAAAAAGTATGTTTTTGGCATGCAATTCTTTCATTCTCGAACTTTTAAATTTATTCAACTATCATCTCCTGTTCTCTTCTTTATCCTCTTTCTTTTCCTTTATAATTTCGTCTTTTCCATTTCTTTAGTTTTGTTTATTCCTTTTATGTTTATTTTTCTTGCAATATTTTTTTTTCTTTACTTTCATGTACAGTTTTCTTCCTTTCATGTACAGTTTTCTTCCTTTTAGGTACAGTTTTCTTCCTTTCGTGTACAGTTTTCTTCCTTTCATGTTCAGTTTTCTTCCTTTCGTGTACAGTTTTCTTTCTTTCATGTACAGATTTCTTTCTTTCGTGTACGGTTTTCTTCCTTTCATGTACAGTTTTATTCCTTTCGTGTACAGTTTTCTTCCTTTTATGTACAGTTTTCTTCTTTTCATGTACAGTTTTCTTCCTTTCATGTACAGTTTTCTTTCTTTTTCTCTTAACCCTCTTCTTTTTACTTCTTGTTTTTCTTCCTTTCAAGTACAGTTTTCTTTCTTCTTTTCTTTCATTCTTTTCCTTAGGTCCAAGTGTATTTTTCCTTTAATCTCCTCTTTCTTTTATCCCACCCCCCTTTTCTCCCTTCATTTTTCTTTTAATTAATCTCATTTCTTCTTTCTCTTTCCCCTTCGCTCTTCTTTTGTTTCTCATTCAGGAACACCCCCCCCCCCCCTAAAGATCTTTAAGTTGAAATGAACCAAGCAATGCAGTACAGAAATTGACAGACTTATATAAACGATTCCTTACTGCTAAGCGTTCAATATTTTAGTGCGTTTGTGAAATTAGGTATTCAGATCATTTAGAGGTATTCGCCATTAAGGTAACATGCCAATTAAGGCAAATTAATGGCAAATTGATTTGAGATCGACTAAAAAAAACATTTTATTTTAGGTGGAACATCTCCTTCAGGACATCATTTTTGAATTTTTACAAATTGTAATTTGTTTTAACTAATTCGTTAAAGCAACGGAATCAATTATTTTGGCATTCAGTTATAGATTGGGTTTCTCGAAATAAGAAAAATGTAATTTAGGATTTTATAAACAAGAACAAAAAACATTCTAATATCCATTTAAATATAAACAAAGAAGAAATCTTTTTAGGTCCGATTGCAATCACTGCAAAAATCGATGAGAATTTTGCCAATTACCTTTTAAAAAACAAAGCTAACAACAAGTGCTTTACGGTGCTAAAATGTAAATTTAAAGGACTACAGAAAAAGTAAAAGTAAGTTAGAGCGGTAAATCTAACCCCAAGGCGTTGCGAGGCTTCAAATTCGACCTTCTCTTTAAAATAGATAAGACTATTTATAGGCCAACTGAATCAATTTGAATTACTAACTAGCTCGGACACCTTTGGCTGTAATGCTTCAGATTTGTATTGGAATACGCTTATAATCCATGCAAAGCTGGGTTCTAAAGCCAATCATAAAAATTGTCATATACCTAATTTCTATAATTCAGGTGTTTGTTGTCCGGGTTGTTCATTGCTTTTATTACCGAAATAAATAATTATCGATTTTTTATTTTTCTACTTTGGTATCGAAAAGATTGGTTCGTCTTTCAGAAAATTGAAAATGACCCTATGATTATTGTAAACAAAATAAATGGAAAATGGTTTATTTAAGGTTCAGGAGAATGGAATATTTGGAAGAATTGTATTTCTAATGTATTATATGATTATATTAAGAGAATGCTTTATCTTTATATATAAATAATACACTTATTGTATAACCGAATACGGCAAAATATACAATAAATGTTCTGCTTTTATGTTTAAAATAACCACATTGAAATTTCTTAACTTTTAATAAAATTATCTAGTATATTTTTGTACGAAAAAGAAATAATTGCATTTTTTCTTTTTTCTTCAAGCAATCCACAGAAAAAAAGTTGTATGCAAACAATACGAATTTTTTTGTTTGTTTTTTAACCCATAGAATTTTTATTAAACAAAATAAAAATGATTTTACAAAATCGGTGCACAATATAGACTTTTTATCTTGTTAAAAGTTCACACTATACTGAAATAATAGTTTTAAGCCACCAATTGCACTGAACCCTTTTATGTTGATTTTCTCTTGAATTTTACAAATGTGAAACTCAATTTCGTTTATTGAAGAAACTATTATTGTTAAAAAATCATTCATTAATTAAACTTTTTGCACAGTGGTAGGCGAATATATCAATACAAGAAAGACGACTTTAAAATTATCCAGGTATTAAACAGCATGGATACACATAAGCATGGAAGTCAAAAGAAGCTGACAATTAAAAAAAGCTTCTAAACTTGTAATATGAAAAAAGCTTGTAAACGATCAAAACCTAGATAAAAAGTCGTCTTCATTGAATTGATATAATCGTCTTCGAGTTACCAGTGTATCAAAATTAATGACAGATTTTGTTTAAATTCAGTTTAAATAAATCCAAAGAATATGAAAGTTTAGATGTGATAAAGTACTGTTTCTGAATTGATCTAGATATACGTCATGACACAAATAAAACAATTTAAATATAAAAAGATGGATTTGAAGGAGGGAGATGATTATATTCTGATGCATCCTGATACTGTTAAATATATCTGGTGCCCAGATATATATATAGGTCAGTAAATACCATTATTATCCAAACTACAAAAGTAAACGCTATTATTTCAATTAATAATTTTTAACGGGTAAATTACAGTTTTAGTTGTTTTCCTCATCATGAATGTTGTTTCCTTCAATGAACATGTAAGATTTGTAATATATTAATATCAGTTATATTTGCATCGCAAAGAGTGTGCGTAATTTCTAATTGTAATTTTCCCGTTGAATGCATTGTCAAATGTCTATTAACCTAGCGTACCCTGGTTTTCAAGTACCCCAGCAGAGATAGGGTTAAAAGTTGAATTCCCTTGCTATAAACTATATTTCACAGTGCACTAAGGTCAATTTGAATTAGAACCGGACCAAACCCTTGTACCGTCCTTAATGACACGCGGCAAGTACCGGTCTGACCCTATCCTAAGCCGGCTCGGTTTCAACTTTGTTGGTTCGGCTAGATTTTTTACAGTACCCGGCCTATTATAGGCTTATTTGACCAACCCCACTAGGCATAGTTTGTTGTGGATTGTGGTTATTTCATTCTGTTAATTTTAATAATTTGTTTCTTCTCATCATTTATACTAATCTAAATAAACAAAGCACACAAATAATTGTATATTGTGCATTAAATATAACAATAAAAATACAGTTTTATTAAATTTGTCCTGCTTTGTTTGTCTGATCCTAGACACAGAAAAAGCTCTTTTTGGTTCTTTTCGTATGTTAAGTTAATGCGAAATTTCGCGAAAAAAATGAATTTTTTAAAATTTCTTCTCCGTCCGAAATGGGAAAAATATGAAATTGTCGGAAAAATGTGAAATCTTTGCGAAACCATTTTCCGATTTCACTGGATTTCTAGAATCACAAGTTTGGGAACAAATTTGTGTACAAAAAATAGTTTTTTTTTAAGATTTTGCGAAAGCTCTACGAGCTCCGATGTTTTTGGTTGCACCGGCCTCACTTCGCATCTACAGAAATAGTACTTTAAGATACGCCAGTCAGTAAGTAAAACGTTTTTTATTCCTACTTCAAAATCATTCAAAAGTCAAAAATCAAAACACGGATCAACCACTTTAGCTGCATTAGGTCGATTATATAACATGTTTATAATGCAGCAGCAGGCCATTATGTCCATACAATAAAGACAATTTTCGTTTTCATTTTTGATTTACATTAGGCTACTAAACAGATGGATATAAACATAGAAGTGAAGAGTATAGCTGTTAATTAAAAAAAACTTTGATTACTTTTAAACTTGTATTTCGAAAAAAGCTTGTTAAAAATCAAAACTTAAATATAAATTTGTCTTCATTGTATTGATATAATCGACTACCACTGTAGTTTACAGATATATACAGCCAATCTCACATATGTAAGAAAACATAGCAAGATGCCATAAAATGTCGTCTTGAAATGTATTTAAAATGTATGACCTGTAATGCTTTCATCGGTTTGTACAAAAAGAAAGCTGCTGAGATGTTTGCGGTTTTAAAGGGTTGAGTACAATTTATTTTAAAAATCTCTCATTGTAGAGTCATAAGTTTTTTGAATAATTCTTCAAAAACTGCTTTTAATTTTCAATTCAGGGTAAATTAATAGCCCTGAAATATGAAGGACAGCAATTTATATACGAAACTCATTTTCCGCGGCATTTGATCTTGAATATGCTAAGAATACGACATTATAAAAAAAACTCTTGCTTTGTATTCATATAACTAGGATTCACTGTATGAGGAAGACAAAAGGAGAGGAAAACCTCTAAAAAATAGTTCGATCACATTTTACATTTAAATGAACGAGACAGATAAATTATTACAGGGCTAACCTGCGCAAAGGATGAGACTTCAAAAATGACTGAATGGAATTTATACTGCTTCCTTATATTTAAGATACCTTGCAGAACCTTAGTTCGTTCTTATTCATGTTAATATATTAGCCATATTTATACAGTTCTAACCTTTGTGAAAACCAGAAAACTCTGAAATAGGAAGACGACTTTAGGACTTAAACTAGGTCGATGCACATTAGACATAGCAGTTGTGCAGTGTAAATAGACCCATTTTACTTAAATAGTGCTTTGCTAAGTTATAGTGAAATATTTGCTTTGTAACAACATTAAAACGCTTATAATTTTGCTATAATGCCGTATTTCTATTCCATTGTTTTCTTGTTATCACTGTAAGTAACACTGTTCAACGAAAACAAATTCTAACTATAAAAATGTTCTAGAATAAATTATGATGTTGCTTGTCCAATGAGCTTCCAGAGATATCCTCATGACACACAGATTTGTAAAGTCAAGTTTGAAAGTTGTAAGTTATATTCTATATTTTTATTTTTATTTAACATTACTATGTAATTACTATGTAACCCTCCATGCAAAGATAGCAATTGTCTGATTTCCAATAGTATCCTTAACAGTTAAAAAAACTTGGATATTTAATTCATTCTTGAACAGACTTTCAAGGAAACCGTTATAGATCGGGCATTGCCAGCTTTGAATGCATGAGAAAAATCGAGTTGTGATGTAAAAAAGTTTGAAAAACATGCCAGATCTTCCTCCTATATATATACTTGATGCTTGTCTGTTTGTCTGTCTGTCTATTTGTATCCAATAAACGTCAAACGGCTGAACCGATCGGGCCCAAATTTTGTGTGTTACCTCAAAATAGATGAATATAATTTTAAAATTGGTCTCCAACAAAATTCGATCGTCAATAAATTTTAAAAATCCACGATTTTTAAATCTGCGAAATGATTTGGTTATTGTTTTACAATGTACACAAAGAGAAAATTTTCACAATTGAAATAGAAGATGGGCGCGCGAAGCGCCCTGTAAGCCTAGTATTTTAAAAGCACTTAACATACCATCGCAACTGAAAACTGAAATACGCATTCATGAAATTTGTGCAAATTTATTTTTATGAAATCGCCAAAATTTTAGGAAAAGTCTAGAAAAGTTTAGGAACATAAAATAAAACTTTTTAAATATACGTTTAAATTAGAGAGTTGTCATCTTTAAAAGATAAAGCGTCTAATTCATTTAGTCCAAGCACTTTTTTGTAACCTTCCCATGAATATTGCATTTTTCTGAAATTCCCAAAATTATTTAAGAATTCCGATAGTTGATGGGCTTTTAATGTTTAATATTAGATTTACAGGGTTACCCACTAAGGATGAGACTTCAAAGCCGACTATACAGAATTTATATCTCTGAATCCTCATATTTATATCTCCCTGCAAGGCTGCAACTGTAAACTTGTTTCTTCCTTTTCATTGCATAGACCATAAAAAGATTAAATTCAAGGCAGAAATACTTAATTTAACCTTTAAATTCTAAGATTGTCAGGTCACAGTCTAATCCTTTGCGGGCATCGCTGTAGTAAAATATATTTTAACACTATCCCCTTTGAAGGCAATTAAAACCGTTTTAACTTTATAAATAAAATAATTTCCATAAAAAGAAACCACTAGCTCTTTTACATACATTTTTTTCATTGCATGGCTCTCCTAATAAATGGTTGATAAATGACATACAATGTAAAAAATGCACATTTCATGAGTTAGGACCATTCCAAAAAATTGGAATCTGGACAGATTTCTTAGTATCTTTGTCAATACATTTCAGAATTCAAATGGCTATAAGTATTTTTTTATTAGATGTTTTAAAATTGTGTTTACGTAAAAATACCGCACGGAATAAAGACGATATACGTCACTTAATTCCCATGTTTATTGGGACACCCTAGAGAGTGTAAACCTCCAATAAAGATAGAGTAAGATTAAATTTACTAAAAAAGATTTTTTTTATTTAAATAAATAGATTTTTGAATAAATTAATAATATACCACTGAGAAAACCGGAGGTGACATTCATTTTATTTTTTTTTACTAAACCAAAAAACACTCAATATATTTTGTAGTTTTTGTGTAAATGAGATGCGTAAAAATCACCAACATAAAATAGAAAAAAGCAACAAAAACTATTGTATTAAAAACAGATATTGTCATCTCTTGTGTGTTAATTTTTAATAATTGATTTTCTAAAATCTTAGTCGTTTTAAGAATAAACCAAAAACATTAAAGGACAAAGGACATCAAAGTTAGAAAATATTTATTAAGAGAAATTTAATCAATTCTCCTGAACTGTTTCTTTAAAATATAATGATAAATACACCGCACCGTTTTAAAAATTAAACCTTAAAAAGAGGAAAAAAATGTAAGAATAAGATTTCCAATAATGTTTGCAAAAAACAATTGATATGTTTCAATCTCTGAACCAATTCTAAATTTCAAACAATAAATTGTTCTGAGAAATGTTAAACATTTTATATCTTACGTTACAGTAGAAATAACTAAAGTAACTGAGCTGTTTGCCACAAACTCAAATTTTCCTATTTTCATATCTTTGCTATCCAATTCCCTAGACCTTTTTTAAATTATCAAGTAATCTAAGTTTTTAATATCAAAGGTTTACACCATCATGTTGCAAATATATAGGGATTAGAAAATTGGAGTTTGTAGCAAAAACTCAATTAATTTCTTACTAGATGGGCACACCAGTGATAAGATGGATGTACGATGGAAGCGAGGTTTAGATGCGAGCAAAGTGAGTAAAAATCAAAATTACGAGGGAGGGGGTGCAGCACTGCAGAGCCGTAATAAGCCCCGCGAAATGACCTCCAGAGCCACCTAATACGCAGAATCACCCCCAAGCCCCACAAAACCGTCTTCTTGCCTGTCGCTGTCATTTTGTCGGGCTCATGGCGGCCCTACACCACCTCTCTAACTATTCATGACTTAAAAGCAATTGTAAGCGTAATTCAAAGATTGCAATGTTCAATTTGCAACAGTATACCCTTAAAAGCTTTGTCTGATCAGAAACGAATGAGATATCCCTGGTTTTAATTCTACTGTTTATCTTCATTTTTGGTTTCTCAGCACAAACGGGACAATTGCGTATTTCCTGCTCCTTAGAAACAACGTAGATCTTATCTGAGATAGACACTTAGTTTTGATTTAGCGAATTTAATGAATTTGAGCAGCGTCTCACATCCGTCAAAAGCCGGTTTCAATTGGGCGCCGGCTTCAATATTGAATACATAAGTGGAACCAACCATATTCAAGCCGCGTCTTAAATTTAAGTCGCGGCTCAAATACAGTTAAGAGAAACAAAGACGATCATATCTAATGCATACTTGATCAGAAAAATCCTAATATAAAATTCTTATCAATTTAGTTACAATTATATTTGTTCCATAATCCTGGCTTATTAAACTATGTGAGGAATCTAGAAAACAATTATTTATTCTAATTGATATTACATATAACAATATAGCAATGATAATAAACAATAATACTTTTGTATTTTCTATTATCATTACAAATATCTTAAACTTTAGATAACAGAGAATAATTCTATATCGCTTGCTCAGTTTGATTATGCTGTGAGGTAGTATTCATTTTTTAACTTTATTCTAAATCTTGTTTAATATGACCTCTAACTTTAATGGTTATAGGTGCTTGGGATGATTTTAAAAAGTCCAAAAAGAAACCTAAGCGCACAGGGGGATGTGGCACCCCCCCCCCCCCATTGTGATGGGGTTTGAAAATTTTTGATTATTGACAATATAATCTGAATAAAAAGTTGAATTTAATATTTAATTTCATAAAAAGATTATTTATTTAAATGCATAATTTCTACAGTTTCGAAGAAGAGTACAGAGAGGCAATAGCGTCAGGTAAATCATTTTCTTATTCACACAATAATATTTTCCATTGCCCACGATATATAATTAATATGAAGACGACTTTTCTATTCAAGTTTTGTTTTCTAACAAGATTTTTTACAAATAACAAGTTTACATGTATAAACAAAAGCATCTGTAAATTGACAGCTTCTCTTTGTTTCCATGTTTACGTGTATCACATGCTGTTTTAAAGCTTAGTAAAAAAAATTGAATTCGAAAGTCGTCTTCATTGAATTGATGTTTAAAACGACGACTGTATTATCCCATACATAATCATCTAACTATGTTAGTTTAAGAAGAATAAGTATTACTACAAGAAGAAAATATATTTTAAGTTTATTAATTCCAGAATTTACATCAGACAGTTTTTAAATACCAATATTTGCGCTGTCAGGTGTCAAAGCATTTTAAAAACCCCAGGCCTTAGAGTATCTATAACTCTACTTTGCCTATTTGCTTGTTTTTTTGTATCCAATAAACGTCAAAACAGCTGATCCTCTCAGAGCAAAAAAATTAGTGCAACTAACATGACCCCAAAGCTGTTTTTTTGAATTTTAAAAAATCCTTTTAAAAATTCCGCTTAGGCATTCATTTACAAACTGGGTATTTGCAACCCAAAGTATATTTCTTTTAACCAAATTTGCATATGCAAGTTTTTTGCTGGCAACTTCAAAAAAATTACAGTTTAAACTTTTTTGAGGTTGTATATAGTACAATCTTACAAATAAATACAATTTTTGAAATTTTAACTTCTTTAGATCCTCCATTTTAGAATTAAATACGCAATTCTGAAGACTACCTATAGAACAGAGTTGGTAACTATTGTGGATATCGAGATCAAAACTTTATCTTATTAAGTGTTATTCTGCAGATTAATTTAATCTTTATCTCTCATAACAATCATAGACAGTCAGGGGTTAAAGGGAACTTTACAGGGAAGAAATAAAAAAAAACCATTGATTGACTCTCAAATTAAAAGTGCCCACTGCTCACAGAGGATATTGAGATCAAGTATCCAGCTCAATTTACTATATTTTTGTTGTAAACATGTTTAGGAGAATATCCAGGGGTTATAATGACAATTGCTCTTAGAAGAAAACTCAGTTATCATCTTCTTCAGGTATTTTTTTTTTACAAAATGAGGATCAACCTGGATCATTTAATCCCCTCTGCGACAGTTTATTCCCCTAACATTTATCCATTTCAACACAATTTTAAACATTAAAAGCAATATTTATAAAAAAATATTTAAAACGATGAACAATTAACTAATAATAATTGTTTTAAAAAGTATTATTTAGTTTAATTTTTTTTTCAACGTTAACGAAACCAGTAATATAAAAGTTATCCATCCCCAACCTCAAGTCTAGTGTGACCAAAAATAACCAATTTTAAAAGTTAACTTCTTTAAAGGGACTGTACCGGTAAATGTCAAGCGACCGTCCATGCAAGGATGGCAATGCCCGATTGACAACGATACCCTTTAAAACAAAGAAAACCAACGATATCTTCCACATTTTTGATTAGACAAAGGTTTCAAGTGTACCGTTGTGAATCGGGCATTTCTTTATTTGCATTTAGAGTCACTACTATATTTACTTATAGTACCTTTAACACTTTTTATGATATTTTTATTGATATTGTGCTGTTTAGACCTTTCTTCCCTCTGCTCTATTTGTGATTGTAGCCTGGCTCTCTCTATTTCTTCCACCTGAGGTTGTTTTCTTTTAGACTTATGTTCAATAAAATATAAACAGGGGGATGTAACTTCTTCCAAAAAGGGGAATTGATATAACTTTTTATTTAACTTTAATAGAGTCTTCACAAACTCTGATTTTCTAATCCCTTTATTTTTTAAACCCATTTTCAAACTTAAAATTTTGTTAAATGTAATAATCGAAGTTTACACCACCAGGTTACACAGATATAGGGATTAAAAAGAATGATTTTTTGGCAAACAAAACTCAATTCCTTTTTTTATTTACATTTTTGCTCTATAAAAAGGCTTTTAGTTGTTCTATCTAAAATAATTACTGCATCAAGTAATCAAACATTTCATAAAACTATAAATAACACACTATGAAAACGAAAAAAAAATCGTTTGAATGAACTTTTTAAAAAATAATGATTTTATAACATATTAATGTTTTACAATTGTTTCTAGTCAATTCCTGGACGAATAGCAATGGCAATGACGACCTTGCTAACTTTAGCTGCCATGTTTGGTGCTGTCAGGTAGATATTTGCAAGCCCAGAGCCCGAATTTAAAGAATTTGAGCCGCGGGTTAAATTTAAGCCATGGCTCAAATTTAGTTGGTTCCACTTAAATTTTTCAAGATTGAAGCCGGCGATCAATTGAAACCGGTTTTTGGGGGATTTGAGACACGGCTTAAATTCATTAAAAATGGAAACATAGCTGGCAACTCTTGTGTTAAATACTGATAATCCCTATCGCTTGATCTCAATATCTAATAAGGAGTTAAGGCACTCAATTTGAGGATCAGAGCTTGATCTCTTCATTTCACTTATTGATTACTAGGGATGGCATTGTTGTTGATAAAGAACGAAATGTTTTAAATGAAAACAATTTTTCATGCAATACATTTTTAACCTTCGATGAACATTCACATTGGATCTTTCAGTGTGTTTAAAGGGAGTGACCGGCTATGTAAGGCAGTTGAACTGAGCATGCAGTGTTGTGGAAAACGATAACCCGACATTAAATGTAAACAAGTTCTACAATAAACTACGGACGTCATGAACAGGAACATGTTAAGAAAATAAAAATTAGTCTTATCATCGAAAATAAGTAATCTTGTTTCATTATTAGTTTCTATTTTCTCATTATTCCATGGTTTCTCATTATACACAAAGATTTTCTGCAGATTTTCTGGAATTATATTGAAAAGACGACATTTGAAGAATTTGAAGAAATCTGCAAATAAATTCAAAGAAAATAAGAAATTCAATATAAAAAAGAAAAAGAAATAATCGAATTTTAGCATTGATTTATTGGCAAGTTCTTCTGAGAAATATGTTCTTAACCACCTCATTAGATTACTGTATAATTCTTACTTTATTTTTCGTTGACGTTATTTAATAATTTAAAAAAAAATATTCTGAAAACGTATCAACCCCCAAAGTAGGAGTTTGAACGTCGAATTTGCGCTCAAACCCAGGATTTTGTCAGAAAAACTGATTCTGAAAACGTACCCACTCAAATTCATGATTTTGAACGTCGAATTTGCGCTCAAACCCAGGATTTTGTAAGAAAAACCGATTCTGAAAACGTACCCACTCAAATTCATGATTTTGAACGTCGAATTTGCGCTCAAACCCAGGATTTTGTAAGAAAAACCGATTCTGAAAACGTACCCACTCAAATTCATGATTTTGAACGTCGAATTTGCGCTCAAACCCAGGATTTTGTAAGAAAAACCGATTCTGAAAACGTACCCACTCAAATTCATGATTTTGAACGTCGAATTTGCGCTCAAACCCAGGATTTTGTCAGAAAAACTGATTCTGAAAACGTACCCACTCAAATTCATGATTTTGAACGTCGAATTTGCGCTCAAACCCAGGATTTTGTCAGAAAAACTGATTCTGAAAACGTACCCACTCAAATTCATGATTTTGAACGTCGAATTTGCGCTCAAACCCAGGATTTTGTAAGAAAAACCGATTCTGAAAACGTACCCACTCAAATTCATGATTTTGAACGTCGACTTTGCGCTCAAACTCAGTGATCATACATTGTGGAAAGTGTTATATGTCTCAAATGAATCCGAAAGAATTTTGCACAACACTGCATACTCAGTTCAACTACCTTACATAGCCGGTCACTCTCTTTAAAAAGACTATATAGTCTTTTTTACTAAACTATGTTTTCGAACAAACTTTAATTTAACAGTACAAGAGTTCCCACCTAGAAAGTCATAAAATTTACGAATAGAATTGTGTAAGATATTGCTAACCTTACATTAAAAGAAAACGTTATATTTCTTACCAGAACATTCTCTAGAATTCTTCTGTAGGGATATAATTCCTTTTCATTATGTTAAATATGAACACAATATACCTTCCTTCTAGCCTCTAACTTCTTAAAACTTTTTATATTTTTTAGTATAATTCACAAGAAAAAATATACTGATGAAACACAATTAGGAAATACAGGTTGACTTTTGTTTATTATAAATAAAAATTCCTTTTTGACTTGAAATAACTTTATAACGAAATTTGTTATGTATGTTGTGCCGATCAGAAAAAATTAAATTAAATAACGATCGTTTTAAAAAAAAATGATGAAAAATACCTACAACGAAGTTTTTAAAATTGTTTGTTCGAACTTGAAAAATCTGTCACTTTTTTACTATAAAAACGAATTTTCCCAATAATTTTGAAAATATTATTGTTTAAAAATTTAAAAAAAAACGATAGTTTTTGATGAGGAAACGATTGCTTTTATTACTATATGATTGTTTATAGAGAAAACTAACAAAATAAATGCACGGAAAATGAACGATAATTTTGAGAACGAACGTTATCAATTTTTTCTAAACAATTGAAAAAAAACACGAAATGAATCATTCACAAACGATGAAGGAACAAAATGAAAATAAGCCGAAAGCGCTCATCTCTTCTTCCAATTGTTAACAATCGAATTTAAAATAAGATGAATGTGGATCAGTGTGCATTGAAGAATCTGTAAAAGAAAATGGCGATTCCAGGTAAACCATAAATAATTTTTTTTTTTTAGAAGATCTTGAAGATTTAATTTATATTGAGCAAACCCCCCCCCCCCCATATTGTTTCTGTAGTTCTCGTTTTATGGTTAAATTGCATTTCATGCTTGCATTAATAGCACTTGCGCATTCAATATTTTGAATCTGTTGCTATGTTATTAAGTGGCTTTAAGACTTCACTAATAATCTAAAGCTTAAAGTTCTCTCAATAACCAAAATTTAAATAATACATTTCACGAACGGTTTTAAGACATTTGTATTGTCTACTTTCAGTAAAAGTCGTATATATTTAAAGATTTTTGCGACAGAATAAAAAACAAACAAAAATTATGATAATTGATTTAACCAAAAAAAAGTATTTTTGTTGTATTTTTGTTATTTGCAATCAGAGATTGAAAAAAGAAAAGTTATTTCTTAGCTAGGTCTATACTGAGCCTTTTAATAAACTCTTTGCAATTATATATTTCTAAAATTTTATAATATTTTGTATTCTCATCAGCATTTAAGCATTTTCTGGGCTTCTCAAAAGTCTTTACCAATGTTTTTATATATTACTATAGCTGTATACGATGACAACGTTTCCATGGGCTTATATCCTGCCAAAGGGACGTATATACGAATGTCTTGTTTTATTATATAGAAATATACTTTGTGTAAACAGACCCTTTTTATTTAATAAGTGATTTAATATATTACTTGTAAAACTATTTGTCTTGTAACAAAATAAAATGAACTTAAGTATTGCTCTAATGTCGTCTTCTTACTCTACAGTTTTCTGGTTATCACTGTACTGAATATTTTTAAGGGGAGTTGATAGTGGCAGGAAAATTACGCGAAGAATATCTAGGTAATCATACAAACTTTGATTACTTTGCTTGGGTGTTTTTGTCTGTCCGTTTGTATCCAGTAAACGTCAAAACGGCTGAATCGATCTGGCCCAAATTTTGTGTGGGAGGTTTATAAATGATGAAAACAAAAGTCGATTTTAAATTTTGAACATCCACAACTTTTTTTTAGAAAATCCGCAAACTTTTTGTATGTTTTTGTTTTAAACGTATGCAAACAGAACATGTTTACAATTGAAATGGAAGATGGGAGCGAAGCGCCCTGAAAGCCGAGTCATACACTACACACTTTGATTGGATGTTTGTTTGTCAGTTATTTTTGTATCCAATAAACGTCAAAACGGATGATTCGGGCCCAACTTTTTGTGGGACCTCACATGAGCCCAGGAATGGTTTAAGGAAACCTCAGAACTAAAAAGAAATAAAAATGCGCAAAAAATTATTAAATCCGTGAACTTCCGTGTTATTGTTTTAAATTGTACGTAGAGAAAATGCATCCTTAGTCACAGATGAGCCAAAATTTTAAGGTGAATAGAAGATGGGCGCGAAGCTCTCTTAAGGCCTAGTGCAGATAAATAGTAAAATATATTTATTTAAAATATTCTAAATAATTCATTAATAATAATATAAATAATTAAACTATAAACCTTGTTCTTCGACAGGCTTCACATGTGGAAATATATATATTTTATGGGTAAATATTTATACTCATTGTGGTATTGCTGTAGTAGTACAGGGACAGAAACAGAAAACTTAGGAATAGGAAGACGACCATAAAGCAATACATGTGTATTTGCTATTGTCACAAATTCAATAGTTAAAAGTAACTCATTAAAACACTAAGTGAAACATGGGTATATGTATGTTTAAACTACACAATTTCTGTCTCATTTTCAATGGACAATTTATTCACAAATTGAGTCTAAAAGTCGATTTCTTATTCCACAGTTTTAAAATTACAGTTTGTTGAGAGAATTAAATCCTTTACACAATTCCTTTACCAATCAGCTGTTGTGTGTTGAAAGAAAATCAAATTTATTTCTAGAAAACCAACTTACTCAACAGAAGACTTTGTAGAGATAAACTCCAGGATCATCATTGCCTTTGTGTTTCTTCTTTTCAATTGGTAATTGTTTTTAAGGGACCGTCAACATACAACAATTTTATTTAATTTATAAAACCTACATGCAACAATTTTTTATTTAAAAAAAAATAAAAAACCGCTAAAAGTGCGTAGTGTAATGTTCAATGTGCGTAAAATAAAAATCTTATATGTTGTTTTAATTATGAATCCTCTTATTGAAAAACTTTTGAAAAGAACATAGATGTTTAGAACTTCGAATACAGGGTTATTCATAAAGGATGAGATTTTACAGACATACACTTGTACACAATTTTGTTTAGTCTGTGTTCTTTCCTACTTAATCATTTACTATACCAACCAAAATACTAAATAGAATGCAGAAACCAAAAATCAAGCTTCAAATCGTCATATTTTTAGAGTTTAGGGTCGTGTTTACTCTTTACCATCTCATCCATTACATGAGTAGACCTGTACGTAACCGAAAACTTTTGCATTTCTCATGCTTAAACCTGATGGAACAGGGTGGGGCAAGAGCGCTGGCACTCTCATATTTGACACTAACACCGTGAAATTTTAATACAATTGAAATTTAAAAGATTTTTTTTTTTTTACAAAGGGTAAATTTACAGGGTGGTAAAAAGTCCAGTCTGGGTAAAAAAATTATTGTTCATAAAGTAATCGAGTTTTTGCCACAAACTCTGATTTTATAACCCCTAAATCTTTGCGACCTGATGTCGTAGATCTTAGATATTTCAATTCTGTTTTATCAAATAGTCGTAGTTTAAAAAATCAAAGGTTTACATTATCGGGCTGCAAAGGTTCAGTGATTAGAACATTTAAATTTGTGGCTAAAACTCAATTACTTTGAGAAATTACTTTGCACAATATTCTAATAATATTAATTAGTAACATTATTTTAGTGTTTATTGGACTGGGTTGGTCTGGGTTGATGATCTTCAAGAGGAATTATCAAATAATGCTTTTAATATTGTTTCAAATATAGATTAAGGGACTTAATTACAATTGAACATTCATGCAAAGATGACAATGCCCGATTTACAACGGTTTCCTTGTTGAGTAACCACAAAATTTTTAAAAGTTCATAAACATTGATATGTAACTCGATACTTGATTAGACAAAGTGTTTAGGGGTTCCATTGTGAATTAATCCGGCATTTGAATCTTTGCATGTAGGGTCACTTGAAATTACATATTCAGATTCTTTAAAATAATCTTAATGTTTGGTGTTAACGTAAAAAATGATAAATATGTAAATGCAGTATTTAAAATAAAAGATTTATGACTTCTTCAACTATACAAATTAAATGAAATGAATTAAATTGGTTTTAATTATTAAACAAAAATATTATCTCTCTTAAAGGGGGTGACCGGCGATGTATCACCCCTGACTAACCAGAGTTAGAGGCATTCGGTTTCTTCTAATTGAAATCATTCGTGTTTTGATCTATATTTTAACAATCTTTAAACTTTGTTTGTTTAATACTATTTATTCAAAACATATATGCCGACAAAAAAGTATTTTGTAAAAAAGGCTGAAAAATTATGTTTAATAGGATAAATTGTGATCGAAAGTCACAGCTTTCTGGAATATTGATAGAACCGTTAAATCCACGTGATATTGTAGTTGAACTGAGAATGTAGAATTGTGGAGGGTTTTTAAAGATTTATTTGAGACATATACAACGCTTTAATAGTGTAAAATTACTGATTTTCAGAGCCAAGTCGACGTTCAAAATCATCCTCTTCTAGGTGCAGTTACGTTTTGAGAATTCATTTTTTATATTATTAAATAACGATGACAAAAAATATAAAAAAAATAATACAGTAAACAAATTTGATGTTTAGGAACATATTTCTCAATTCAAATATTTACAATAAATCAATGTTAGAATAAATTGCTTATAATTCATCATACAATTGAATTTCTTAATCTTTATGTATTTGTTCGCAAATTTTGTCAAATTATTTTAAAGTTGTTTTTCTTTAAAAATACCGGGAAATTTTCAAAAATTGTTTGTGAACAATAACTGAAGAAGATTCTTTAGATGATGATAGTTTATTTGTTATTTTCTCACCACACTTTCTTAACAACTTAGTTTACTGTAGAATTTTTACTACATTTTATTTCGTCGATATTGAATAGTGTTTAAAACCGATTCTCAAAATCATCCATCAAAAACAAGAATCTATGAGGATTTAAAAGATAGAATTTGCTCTCTTGCTGAACAAATATGCACCGAAAAAAACGTCTCATAGGTCTCAAATGATTTCTTAAAAGTGTCTCCACAATACTGCACTCCCAGTTCAACTACCAAACATTTAATCTTGTTTATACAGGGTTACCCTCAAAGGATACGACTTCAGAGACGACTGTACAGACTTGATTTAAGCCTGTTCACTTGAATTCCTATAGTTCCCTAGAGACGATGTACACATAATTTTTTTATAAAGGCATCATTCTCCAGGTTCAACCCTTAGATCGTTAGATTTAGGTCATCATTCAAGTCTCTTCCTTAGTCGGTAACCCTGAACTTTAATTTCATCATTTCAGTTTCTTCACATTTCAGTTTCTTTAAATTTATCATTTTTATTTGTTTAAAACTGATATGAAGATACATATACATATAAAAATAAGTAATAAAATATTCCTTTACTTGCAATGGGCATGCCAGATATCAGAAATAACATAAAAATTTGTAGATTTGATTTTAGCTTTAAAGAGACAGAAAGAGCGTACTGTTAGGTCACCCTACACGCAAACATAGCAATGTCTGATACGGTACCCTTGAAACCTTAATCTGATCAATAATTATGAAAAAATTGAGTTTTTTTTAAAACAAAATTGAATTAAGATAATTCTTATGTTTTCCTACAGTAAAAATACGCAAGTCACTGTTGCATAGAAAAAAGAATTCAAAATAACAAGTTTTCCAAATTACAAACAATATAGAATTCTAATCCAGACAAAGCTTTACGGGGTACCGTTGTGAATCAGGCATTTCCATCCTAGCAAGGAGCGTCTATTGAAAATAAAACTTCCTGTCTCTAAAAGTTTCAGTTTCGATTATTCCCGTAAAAGAAGGTTTAATCCGGTTAAATTTCTAAAGAGTCTGTTCTCTTGTTCAGCCAAGATAAAATCTCATGAAACACTGCCTGTCTAGTTGGAAGTTCCTAAATAAATTGAAAATACTCTTTTCATTTCGGTTAAAAGTTTTTTTTTTGCTAGGGGGGGGGGGGGTAGTATATCACATTTTTTAATTCACATATTCAAAATATCTACCAACATTTAATTTACTTTACTTTATTTTTAAGATGTTTGATTCAAGACAAAATTTTCTAATCCCTATTTATTTGCAACCCAATGACGTAGCTTAGATATTTCAAACTATAAACTCTGTTTTTTTCAAACAATTGAAATTAATAATATCCAAGTTTACCCCATCAGATTGTAAATTTATTGGAGCACATTTAGGTTGTTGTGAAAACTTTGCCCTTGTCAACCTTTCATAAAAGTGTTTACCTCTAATATCAAATGGTGACTCGCTCTTGGATATATTTTTAAAGCCTTATCCATTGATGTACATTCCTGAAATACATCAGCGGAGCTGAAAACTTTAGAATGAGATATCCTTATCCCGATTATTTAATTCGAGTATCCAATGGTCAAACTTTTAACTTTCTTTTGAAACCGTTTTTTGGATATAGAAGAGAAAAATCAAAACCGGTTTTTCAAAATTAGAGAGTCCCTCCCGTTTCTGTATATTAATCTTAAATGGCGTGCAAAATTTCAAATTTATCGGCTTCATATACGCGACTCTGATTGGTTGAATGTTATACACTTTTCAGGATACAAGTACAAGATTAGGTTAGTCTCGATATCAAGAAAAAGAGAAGATCAAGCATTAATCTAGATATCCACCATTCTAAAGTTTTCAACTCAGATCTCTTAATCTGAGTGTCATTTCAGTTGGACTAATGATCGATTCAACTAACTTCGTTAGGACTAATTTGTTCATCTGGATTAATTTTCAAAGGGATTATACAGTGAAACCCTTAATAACGAATACTTCGAAAGAATTCATCAAATGTCGTATTCTTCACTTTCTGATAATGGAATGTTGCAGATATTTAGTTTTTTAATCAAATGATTATATAGAACTCTTTAAAACTGTTGCCGCATATTCATGGCTATTTATTTATTTTCGCAAATACTTAAATTTACGTAATATAATATAAAACCCATTTAAAAATTGTCAAGACGACATTTGATAAATTCTTCCAATGTAAATTCGTTATTAAGGGTGTCACTGTAGTCATTCGCTGCAAATATTTATTCAATTGAACTAATTTGTAAAATTTTTAAAATTACTCCAAAATAAGTATTTAGTATTTCTAAACACAAAAACTATGATGTAATCTTAATATTTCTTATAATTTCTGTGCTAAGCTGCGGCTAGGACGTGCTCGAGGTCCGAGGCCTCGGCCACAAAAGCGAAACCAATGTGTTAAAAGCAATTACATTTAATTTTTCAATTTGTTCATTTAAAATGATTAATTTTTATTTTGTTCATATGTACTAATGTACAAATGGACCCAAAAACCGGTTTGTGAACAGTTGGCTCTAATGAAATTTTAGTTTATAATAAAATGCTTCTACTCAGAATTTCTTCTGGAATTTTTGACAGCTCAAGCCTTTCACCCCCTGTACATCCTTGAAATCATCTCTGGATTGTTCAGCAGATTGACCTCTAAAACATCTCAGAAAAAACCCTTCAGTTTATTACTTAAAATTTCCCTTTCATATTTAACATTTTAACTTTGTTTTACAGGATCTTTTTTTCATTTTGATTTCAACAGTAACTCTGACATGAATACCTAAAATGGCCATCTCACTTGCAATAAAAAATACAGTAATGTATTAAAGTAAAAAAAATAATCTTGATTAATATTCACAAATCGATCTGATTAAATAAAATGATTTATACATTAAAACAAATCTGTTTGTACTTAAAGGGACTAAGGACTTAATTGAAAGGAACTCCCATTTGTGACTTACAATTACAAAAGCACAAACAGGGGGGCATAGCCACCATGCCCCCCCTTGTGTACACCTCTGAATATTTCTCACCTGGTACAGTGTGTGAGACCCACTTGGCTGACATAAAGAATCATTCCCACCATGGAGAATCAGAATAGGAAGAGAGATTGTATTCAGCTTGCATCGAATCTCACCCAAACATCTAATAATAGAATAATTTACTGAATGAAAGTTAAAAGGGACTATATCCGTAATTTAAAGTGAAATTCCATGCATAGATGGCAACGATTTGCAACTTTTCCCGTTGTAATTGATCAAGTATTATGAATTATTATGTTTTGAACAATATTTATTTTCATTTGTGGTTTCTATGCAAAAGTGATATGCGCATGTCTAGCTATGTAGGAAAAAGTGGAGTAATTATCAGCATTAAACACGTTTCGAGTCAGAATTAAACACAAAGCTATTTTCCACATTTTAAATCAGATTAAAGTTTCAAGGGTACCGATGTAAATCAGATTAAAGTTTCAAAGGTACTGTTGTAAATCTGAAAAATCCATCTATGCAGAGGGCCACAGAGGGCTACTTGAAAATACGCTTACAGTCCCTTTAAGTGTAATGAAGTAATGAAGTAATGAAGGTGTTTAATTTAGTGTATGCGCTTAATCATCAAGTTTTAAAGCAATATATACTCATATATCAGTGCCAAAAGAACAAAGGAATACAGTGAGAACCAGAAAATTTTAAATAGGAAGACGACATTATAACAATACTTAGCGTATATGATGTCCTTACAAATCAAATAGTTTTACCACTAACTTATAAAAACAATTATTAAGTTAAATGAGTTTGTTTACACTGCACAACTGCTTTGTTTCATGTTCATTGTACTATTGAGTCTAAAAGTCGTCTTCCTATTCCAGAGTTCTCTGGTTCTCGCTGAATTACTACAGAAATGACACAATAAAAAGGTAAAATGGTTTTCAATTTTCCCCCCGGATTGATTTGAACCTATAAATCTGCTTTACAGAATCTTTCCACGAGCTTTTAAGAATTATAAACCATTAAAAGTTTTTTTTTTAAATGTCATACCAAGCTGTGTGTATTATCTAAAGGATAGATTTAAGCAAGATTCCGCCGTTAATTTCCAAAAGTTTTAATGGTTTATCATGCTTCAGGAAAGAATCTGCAAGGCCTTTACGGGTCTAAATTGAACCAGGAAAAAATGGAAACCCTAGACGGAAAGTTTCTATTAGGATCTGGAAAATATTGCACAACATCAGTTTTGTACACCCTCCCTGCTCTACGGAATGCAATCAAATGGAATTGAAAGGTAGTGTTTGCGAAAAACGACTCATACCGAAGAACGTAGCGTAGCGTTCATACAAATTCAGAAAGATTCAATATTCAGCTCGAATCGTAAACAAATCAATTTAATTCCAAACAAATCATTCAGATATTACAAACAATAGTCATCGATTATTTTTCGACGCATTCGTATATAGCTGATATTTCATAATATTTTTTATTTTCATGATCTAAAAGTTACTTTTAAAAACATTTATTCCAGTTTCGATCATTTTTGATAATGAAGACGACATTTTCATATTTTCCAGAAATGTTAGAAAATCCAGCGCCAGCAAAATATTATTTAAAAAAACAAAATCAATTTTCTCCTTGTAGACGCAACAGATAAGTAAAATTAGTAGCGATAAAAACGATTTTTTTTCTCCGTAAACCTATTCCCCCTTTCATTTTTGGCGAACACTCCCTTTAGGAGCTTAAGCTAATCTAGTTTCAATTGTTTTTAAGTTTATTGAGCGATTTGTCCGATACACAACAGTACTCAGTAAACTGTAGACTAAATAAGAATGATCTGAAGTGCCGGAAGTCGTGTTTTCTTGGTTTAATTGGAAAATAAAGAGTTTATTTTAATTGATTGTATTGAAATCTCCACCAGATTTTTACCAAAAATAGATTACAAAGGAACCATTGTAATTCGAAAATGCAACCCACGAAAGGTTTCAAGGTTTTCGCAAATTTGTAAAAATGTTACCTGAGAATAGCTAAACTTGTGATTAGCTTGAATCCTCCAGTCCATCTGTATTTGTCTCCTATGTAGGGTGTCCCAATATACATGAGTATTATTTAGTACAGGGTGTCCCAAAAAACACGAGAATTTAGTACTCGGTGTCCCAGTAAACATGAAAATTTAGCACAGGATGTACCAATAAACACGGTAATTTAGTACAAGATGTTTCAATAAACATGAGAATTAAGTACAGGGTGTCCCAATTCACACGAGATGATTTAAGAAGAGGGTGTTCCAATAAAAAAAAAATTAAGCACATGTACCAATAAACACATGCCGTGTTATTGTGAATAAACATGAGTCGAGAATTTAGTACAGGGTGTCCCAATCCATGACATTTTAGTGCAGGGTATTCCAATAAACATGAGAATTTATAAATTTGTGATGCTGCCTCTAATTTTGGAAATAAAATTAAGGAAAGCGGGTCATGTTAAGTATCAAATCAAAGGTTTTTTATTAATGAAGGGGAAATTATTCTGCTATTTCATAAACCTAAAGCGTAACAATATTACCTAATATTCTTGCTTGAACTTCTTGGTCAGAAGTAACTTGTTCTACACTAAAATTAAAGTTTAATTACATCCAAAGAAATTGAGTCATTGCCACAAACTCTGATTGTCTAATCCCTTTATATCTTTGTAAACATTTCGAGTAGACCTCAGATATTTCAAACTTTGAATTGTGTTAGATCTAGTGATCTTCTCTAGACATATAAAAGGTTTACAACATCAGGCTGTAAAGATCCGGGATTTTGAAAATATGAGTTTGTGGCAAAGACTTAATTCCTTTATAAATACCGTTCGATTTAACAAATCTTTATGCATCTTAATTAATGATCCCAAAATATGTAATATTCTTAGATTTAAATATTTAAAAAAAATCAATTTATAAATTTATATTTAAATTATGCAAAAGTCCAAAATAGTTAATCATTTAAAAAAATCAGAGAATCAGTATCTAAAATATAGGCTTTAAACATAAAATAATTTTTTTTAAATTTTTGACTAATATTCATTTAAATATGGCAATGCACGATACCCAACATGCAGTAGCCTTGAAACATTAATATCAAATTTAATCTACATCAGACAACGCTATTATAGCACCATTATGGAAATTGGGAATTGCCCTCTTTGCATGTCGAGACTCGAGAGTCACTTGAAATTAAGCTTACAGTCCCTTTAATTTGATATATTTTCTTCATGAACTTAACACTTAGGTAATTATGATATTTTCTTTTATCTCGAACTTCTTTATCTCATGAAAGAGAGTAGAAGACTGGAAAATTCTTTCCTTTAAATAAAAAATGATATATTTCTGTATTTTTAAAAAAAAAGTCAACTAAATTCAACTAAATTCCAACTAATCCAGTATTTATTGTTATTGTTTTTGTTATTGTTAATGTACATTAATTAGCATTAATATTATTGTTAAACGTAAGTTCCTTGCAAAACTGTTCATTAAAGAAACTGTTAGGGTAATTTCAAGCGACCCTCCATGCACAGATGGTAATGCTCTATTTACATTACCCTTAAAGGGACTGTAAAGGAAAAATGAAAGGGGGTATAGGCTGAAAGCTAATCACTTTAGCTCTAGATCGCGACCCATGAAAGTTATATCTGATGTTCCTATCTCGAGAAATTGATATACAACTGTGTCAAATTTATAGGAAAATTAATATATCTACAATTTTGTATAAAAGTATAGGGTTTAAATAGATCAAATTCAGCAAATAAGCAACCAATCTGAAAACGATGCTATCCCAGAGAAAGCTAATTGTGAATTAGGTTTACTCCAATTCTAATTTTATATTTGTTATTTCTATTTTTATTAGATTTAATTCTTTAAATTATTTATACGTCCGTATTACCTTTCAAGAAATTCCACTAATGGCAGTGCAGTAAAGTGGTCACGTGATACAGGCGGAGACACATGACCAGTATACTGCACTGCCATTTGTGATAGTTCTGGTTACTAGATTTAAGTTTAAGATTTTCTAAATTTTACATATATGAACTTTCGTATAATTGTAACACAGTTTTATATCAATTTCTCGAGACAGGAACATCAGATAAAACTTTCATGGGTCGCGAAATCGCTGTCTGATCAAGCATGAATTAGATATGTATGGCTTGGTTTCTTTCAACTGTTAATTTTCATCTGTGGTTTCAAAAGTGTCTTGCTTACAAGTAACTACATAGAGAAAACACGTCCACAATGTTGACGGTGCTATTGTGAATCGAATTTTGCCATCATTGCATGGCGGGTCACATGAAATCACGTTTAAAGCTCCAATAAAAATACCTAATATGTCCAAGCTGCATCTCTGGAAGAAAATAAACAAGAAGGTTTGCAAGAAATATTCTTAAAGGAGTAGCTTGAGCAGGGTCTGGAGTTATTAAAGGACCTTAAATAATATATGTACAGATCTAGATTTTATAAATGTTATTTTATATTATAAATTAAAATTAGCCAAATAATTACTTTATACAGCACTTGGAAAATAAAATTTTAAAGTTTAAAAGTTTCATAAAAAGAAATTAGAAAGATAAGAATGTTTAGGAGATTTTAAAAACCTCAGTAAAATGCATGTGAGAGGGTAAAAGTAAAAAAAAAAAGTTAAAATACAATTTCTGGATTTCTTTGTTATAAATAATTGAACTCGTTACCTTCTAGAATGAGGCCTTTGAAAAACGTCTGGTTTCTGAATTATAACTTCAAGCTTTTGACCACACAAGATGGGATTGGATTTATTTTATAACTGAAACTTTAAAAGAAATTTCATCTTCTCCCACAAACTTAAATTTTCTGATTATAACCTAATGAGGCCTCTGACTCAATTTCTATGCTTCATGTTTCATGCCCTGAAGTAATCTTCTGAGTAAATTTTTGAATAGCTGAAAGTTTGAAGATTTTCCGATTATTACATTTTAGCATATACATAATAAAATAGGGTAAAAAGCAAGTTTTTTTTAATAGCAAAAAAAGATTCATCATTATAGGTGTAAATCAAAAATCTTTCATTATTTTAATGAAAGACTACCCCCTGTTTCCAAATATTGACTTAAATGTTACATCTTTTAGATATAATTCTTGACCAAGCTTAATCATTAATTAAGCATTTATTATTTAAACAATTTGTGAAAAATAAAGAATTTGATTTTTGCTTTTTGTTCCTAAGTGCAGTTGAGACAGCCAGCATTCCTCCCATAGAATGCCCATAAAGAAACATAGATAGTCCTAAACATACAGAAACATTGATAGTCCTAAACATACAGAAACATAAATAGTCCTAAACATACAGAATCATAGATTGCCTAAAGATAAAGAAACATAGATAGTCCTAAACAAACATAAATATAGATAGTCCTAAACATACAGAAACATAGATAGTCTCCTAAATATACAGAAACATAGATTGCCTAAAGATACAGAAACATAGATAGTCCTAAACAAACAGAAACATAGATAGTCCTAAACATACAGAAACATAGATAGTCCTAAACAAATAGAAAAATAAAAAGTCCTAAACAACCAGAAATTTAGATAGTCCACAACAAACATAAATATAGATAGTCCATAACATACAGATACATAAATAGTCCTAACCATACAGATACATAAATAGTCCTAAACATACAGACACACAAAAAGTCCTAAACATACATAAAGAAACATAGATATTCCTAAAAAATTTGGAGATATGTTTGAAAACTACAAAACTTAAACACTGTACTGTAGACAAAACAAAAAAGAAACAAAAAACTGATGTTTTTTTATTTAAAAACGACCCTATTTAAAACCCGTGTTTAAAAATGTACCTGTATACTGATTTTTCACTTTTGCTGCGTGCATTAAAATATCATTCACATAATCTTCTGCTCTAGATATAGATGATACTGACTAATGATAATATAATGAATTTTACTAATAATACTGACGACGACTAAATAATAATAATAAGACGCCTTTAATTCTACTAAATAACTTAAGTGAGAACCTAGAAACTGAGGATTAGGAAGACTATTTTAGTTTAGATCATTAATTTAAATAGTCCATGAACATAGACACAGCAGTTGTGCAGTGTATGAAGATTCATTTGAGTTAATAAGAGTTATACTAAATTAATGATAAGGTTATAATGTCGTCTTTCTCTTCATATTTTTCTGGATCTTACAAATTTGGTTTCCCAGGAATAACTAATACTTAGTCAAAATATTTAATATTTTCATAATCAGTCTCATCCTTTGTTGGTAACCCTGTATACTTGTTTTAAATCTGTAAAATTTAAGTTTCAGATCTGAAATATTGAGAGAAGATAGAAAATGTCGTTTTATAAATTTCAATTATCTTTTCTTTCGTCCTAGTCTAAACTGTGTATATTGAATGCCCTACACGGTCTTTTTAAGACCTTTCATGCTCTTTTTTTTTGATTAATCTCTGGGGTTTACAGTTTTTAGTTTTTTTTCGAAAATATATGAAAGATGGTTTTCAGAATAACACACTAGACTTTGACAATTTTTTAAATACAATTTTTTATATTATTTGTCAACTCTTGCTAAAACTTCTTTCAGAACATTTTCTACTACATAGCGTGCTCTCCAAAACTAGTGTTATATTTTAACATCTTAAACACAGCATATTATGAAGGAAGGGAGGGTGGAGGGGGGCTTATTCCCTCATATACACATAAAATGATAGTTTGATATAAGTTCGACAATTTCTTTGAACTTATACTTATCATCATTTCAAATGTTAAACATATTCCAGAACTGTATTGATGTTTCCGTTGTTTAAACATGATATAATCGATTCTGATTTACCCATTGTGTAAAAAAAAATACCTTTCGATGTAAGCACGTTTTCCACCGCTTTTTCCATGCCCTAGAGAATAAAAGTTTAGTTATCATTATAGGCGTGGCCTAATAATAAAGTAAAAACAAATTCCGATCTGAAACATTCTTCCTTGCCTACTCTACAAAGAGTAAATAAATGTAGAATTAAAACAGAAATTTCTCCTTGCTACAAAATCATATTTTTTAAACCTTATATCTTACAAACCTGATGGTGTGAACTATTGATATTAACTTACGACTATTTGATCCAAAATAATTTCAAAGTTTGAAATATCTAAGGTCTACGACATTGGGCTGCGAAGATAAGAGGAAAAAAAACATCAGACTTTGTGCCAAAGACCCAATTTCTTTCCATTGTAATTTGTGTTAATTAATTATGAATGAATTTCATTAATTTCTTGATTTATAAAATTTTTTTACCCAAATGATCATGACCGAATACAAGAAACCGATGACGAACCATTTCTCTGGCCAGTTCATCATACCATCCTAGATGCTCACCGAATCCATGACTTATGAATACCAATCCTAAACATCAAGTTATGGTTATATCGTGGGCATATTGAGAAGAAGCTTAACCAGACAAGTATAAAATTGAACCATTTCACCTTAACTTGAACCGGCAAACAAGAGAAATGCTTTCACTACCTTAACGTGGTTCAACTACTTCTCAAGCTAAAATTTATCATCGTAAATAATTTTTTTTCATATAACGCCGTACGTTAAATAAAAAAATTAAATTAAAAAAATTCAACAAAATACAGATGACATTCGAAAATGACATGGTTTTCTTACCATTCAAGTTTGGCGTAATTACAAGTGAACCCCCATTAGTAGAGTGCCGTGTCTGTTTCATACAGACACGGCATACAGTACAGTACAGTACAGTACAGTACAGTACAGTACAATTCAGTACAGTAAAGTACAGAGCAGTGAAATAAAGACAGTACCCTGAGCTTTAAAGGGACAGACCGGCTATTAAGGTAGTTAAACTGAGTATGCAGGGTTGTGAACAAATTCTTTTGTATTCATTTGAGACTTATAAAACTTTCCACGATGTATGATTACTGAGTTTGAGCGCAAAATCTACGTTTAAAATCATGAATTTGTGCGGCTACGTTTTCAGAATCGGTTTTTCTTATAATTAAATAACGTCGACAAAAAAATATAGTAAAACTTATATAGTAAACTAATTAGATGTTTAGGAACATATATCTCAAAAGAAATTTGTCAATAAATTAAAGTTACAATTATAATTAATCGAAATAAAAATACAGTACAGTACAGTACATTACAGTACAGTACAGTACAGTACAGTACAGTACAGTACAGTACAGTACAGTACAATTAATTATATAATTAATCGAAATAAAAATAAATCGAAGAGTTTCTTTTCATCAGTATATTGAATTTCAGTTTATCTATCAATTTGTTCGCAGATTTCTTCAAATTCTTCAAATGTTGTCTTTTTAATTAAAATTCCAGAAAATCTGATTGAATAAGATTACTTATTTTCGATGATTAGAGTTAATTTTCCATTTCTTAACCTGTTCTTAAACAACTAAATAGTTAAATAGTAGATTTTTTTTACATTTTTGTTGTCGTTAAAAAAAACAATTCTACGTATCCACCCAAAAGTAAGATTTTAAACGTCGACTTTGCACTCAAACTCACGATTTACAGATCTTTAAAAAGTGTTATTTATCTCAAATGAATCCTAAAGAAAATGTGTCCACACCACTGCATACGATCAGTTTAACTACCTTACACAGCCGGTTTGTCCCGTTAAACCTTTGACTGATCAAGAATGTTATTATCCATACTAATCTAGAGAACACTTTGTTTGCAAGCTGTTTTATATATAAAAATTATGAATTTTAAAATTAACATTTTATGTAACAGAACTGATCTATTTAAAGAAACATAAGTTACGAATCAACCATGCTGACTGTTGTTTTTACACTTTACGCAGGGTACACTGGGTTTTACAGGAATTCAAGCCCTCTTTGCGAGATTTACAATAAATGCTCTCTGTACTCGAAGGGTACCGTTGTAAATCGGACATTGCACCCTTTTGCATGAAGGATCACTTGAAATTACGCTTACAGTCTCTTTAAGTAAAAAATGTTTGTAGTTTTCATGTTCTTCTGAGTTTTACACTTAGCACTTAGTAAATTATGAAATTTTCTTTGATCTCAATTTTAATAAGAAGATGGAAAATTCTTTTTGTACATAAACTTTCCAATTATATAAAGTATTTTTACGTGGGACTAAACTGCTTTTAGTCTTATTTTTACATCTCAAATTTGAAAAGATAATAAACAACAAGCGTAAGTAAAATTTCTGAGATTAGTTTTAAACGTTAACCCTATTCCTGCTGGGGGGGGGATCAATTTGATCCCCCCCTATAGTTTTTTTTACATAACTCAAAAAGTATTGGTCTGAGGCTGTTGAAAATTTCTGACTTTTCCTACATACCCATAGTAAGGATCCAAAAATCGTTCTCTAGGACGGACCCTTCCTTAATAAAAAAGATAAGTAAATTATTATCATTATTATCATTATTTTTATTATACGTTCCAGTAGCAGGTTTTGGAAAGGGATTAAATCTAAAATTGTCTAATCCCCTATATCTTTGCTCATGATGGTGAAAAACATTGAAATTTCAAACGAAGATTATTTTATCTGACATAATTTGTTCTGCCATAATGGGTTGCAAATAAATAGGGATTAAAAAATCATAGTTTGTTATAAAAACTCAATTTCTTTGAAGCAAACCAGTCGAGTGGGTCATGAGTTTTGGTCGGACATTCACACAAAGAGATAACACTTCATATAACATTCTTACATTATTAGAAAAAATGCTAAAACTATATAAACAAACCTTTTAGCTCATGTTCAGCCTTAGGCTTCCAACATCTAGACAAATATTGGTGTTCTTTATTGATATACAGTATGATATTTAGGAAATATAACATAGTAAAGCCAACAAATCTGAAAAGAAATCATCCGAATTTTCACGAAATTAGATCAGCTCATTATCTGAGCTGAGCTGAAAACTTTAGAATGGGATATCCTCAATCCCGATCGGTTAATTAATCTGGAGATTAAAAACAAGAGGAGAACAAGCATTATTTAACCTCGAGATTAAGAAAAAGAGTGGATCAAGCATTAATCCAGATATCCACAATTCAAAAGTTCCCAGCACTGAGCACTTTAAAAATTAATCTTGATCGCTTAATCTGAATATTCATTGTGGAAACTTTTAATTTTCTTTTTAATCTTCTATTATTGGATATCACATTTCCTACTACTTTTAAAAAAGAAACGTTTGATTACAAATACAGATACGATGCTATATTGATTAGACTAATATCCGTCCGATTCCGTCTGTATCACGTGACCAGTATACTGCACTGCCATTGGCTGAAGTTCTGGTGACGTAATACGGACTATATGTAATTATATTATCAATTATACCTAATAAAAATGCAGAATAAAAATAAATACTTATAACAGGAGAAAACCTGAGATTTTCAGGCTTCTATGGGATGTAATTGTTTTCAGGTTGGTTGCGTATTTGCTGAATATGATCTCTTTAAACCTACTACTTTTATACAAAATTTTATACATATAGATTTTCGTATAATTTTGATACAGTTTTTTATCAATTTCTCGAGACAGGAACATCAGATAGATGTCTTTTATGTATCGTTTAACGCCTGAGATTCTCAGGTTTTTATCCTATACCCCCTTTTATTTGTTCATTACAGTCCCTTTTATAGTTAAAATCAAATAAAACTTTATATGTTGTTAAAGTAATAAAACAGGGATCAAACAAAATTCTATCCAAAATCACCGCAATCAGTTTCAACCAAGACTCAAAATCTTTTTGAAAGTGGCTAATTGTTGATTCAACGTAAAGCAGATTTTTGTTTTTGACAATGGAGGATAATATGAGCACAACAAATTTTAAATCTCAATTTATCTGGGTCATAAATAAAGTCCAGATATAATTTTCATACTTGAACAGATTTAGATCAATAAGAATGATTCAATTTGAACAGCATTGTTACATTTACTATAAAACCTACTGCAGTAATTAGTACCTTGCAAAGAGATTTAAACCGGAACAACTTTCTATTTCCTCTGTAAGTAATTGAACTTCATCTCTGAAAAAAAAGTTTATTACAGTGATAACCAGAAAACTATGGACTAGGAGGACGACATTACAGCATTACTTAATTGTATTTGATGTCGTCACAAAGCAAATAGACACTTATTAAATCACTAATTTAATTAAATGCGTCTTTTTACACTGCACAATTGCTGCAGTATCTTATTGTACGTTTCGGAGTTATAAATTAATTATAATTATTTCCTATTTCAGAGTTTTCTGTTTATTACTGTGTTGATGCACGTAAAACAGTAAAAACATGAGAATATAAAACAATTTTCTGGAATGTCATTTGCTACTTATTATTTTTCTATTCTCAAGAGGTTTTTTTTAATAAAGATCAATTTGTATTTGATGGAAAACTATAATATGGTTGATCCGGCAGATAAAGAATAAATGTAATATTTTAAGTCGTATTATCAAGGGCTTTCCAAAAACGTATTAAATATTATGTATTTGTATCAGAATAAGAAAATAGAGTTAGCAACGACCACATCAGAATAGGGTTTAGAAAGTAAAGTTTTAGAAGGTTATGAAGTTTAGTTTGAAGATTTAAACTTTTTTGAATGAATTATGTTATTTATTTGTTTGATTTTTTCAGAATTTTTAAATTAGTTCCTTACCTTAAACAATTATTGTTGTCACGTGACAAACCGGATTCCATTTTCTCTGCAGCGCTGAATCTTATAAACTGAAGTTATTATATTTTCAAGATTGTACAGAGGAGGAATCACGCCAAGCTAAAGTATATTGGACGTAAGATTGAAATTGTATATATACTATATATTATATTATATATACCAGCCCATTCATTCCAAACACAACACATTTGGAAGTAAGAGATCAAAGTAAATTTTTTATTTGCCCAAAATCGTCCAAAGTTGCGCAGGTTACGCATAGTTTACCCGTTTACCCGCACTTGGTCGATTTCACCGGGAAACTAAATTTTATAAATAAAAGTCGACCCATTCAATTTAGAATCTCAAAACCGAGCTTAGAATATTCCCTTGGCTCTCCTGAGTTTCTCAATCAATATTTGAGGCAAATCGGTCCAGGGATTTCTGAGTTATGATCGGACAAACATACAAAGAGACAACCAAACAGAGATAAATATTTATAGATATATTTGCAATCACTCCTTTTATTGAAGAACTATTGAAAAGAACAAACATATTTTTAATTTCATAAGGAGCTACGAGGTCATATAATTGCACTATTAATGTCCCATTATTTGACCTTCTCCTTATGTCAGTTTGAAGTGACATGATGAGTTGATAAGAGTGTTTACATAACTAGATAGTAAAAATAAACACTTTTCAAATAGACTTCTTAACAAATTAAATGTTTGCTTTTCTTAAACCTAAAGGGATCATGGAAAAAAGAGCTTTAGCCCCAAAAAAGAGCATCAATTTAATGAATATAAATGTTAAAACAATGTATCATGAGAAAATTTTAATTATATTATGTATTGGGAAAAATTTTCGATTGAACTATTTTAATTAAACCCTAAACATTTTTCTTTTCGGTTTTTGCATGCAATGTACTTTAGTTTGGCGTAAATATATCTTTCTGTAATATTATATTGTTACTTTTGAACAATCTGCTTTCAATAAAGAGTCGCAAGAAGATTTTTTTTTTCATTTTTGAATTTTGTAGGATGGACTAAAATATTTTGATTTTGTTTACTTTGAAAAATATTAGAACATAATCTGACTAGCTCATATTCTCCGGATAACTAGGTCTTTAGCAATTTGATTGTTTGGAATTTTAAAAATGTAGGAAAACATGTGAGCTATGAAAAACCTCAATTTTTATATCAAGAATTTGGCTGCCTTCCCTAACAACCCAAACAAAAGACAACTAACCCCCCCTCCCCCCAACAAAAAATTAAATATTCAAATAAATATTGACTAAATCCTTCTCTGACAAAGGCAAAACAAAAACTTAATTTTGACAAACCCGAATTTTAAATAGTGTACGCTAAAACCATGTACTGCACAGGTTATAGTATATAAAGTTATGATGTATGCCAGAGATAAGAGAGTTACAGAGATCGATTATCAGCTAAAATATGCTATATTTTCCACAGCACGTTCTATTGTGTACAAGTACTGTAAATCAGCAAACATCGGTATTCAGGGATATTTAAGGATCCTTTCGATACAAAACGCAAAAGTTCAAAAAAGACTGAATTCATAAATGTTATGTTTCATTTTTAAAAATGTAGTATTTCCCTTGAATGGGTATTAATGGCATTCTAAAAACCTATCGTAAAAACGTATAACATGTCGTGCTGAATCAACTTAGGCCTGCGCAAGAATGTAAGGCAAGGAAAGTTTATTGCGGTCGTGTATACTCTGCGTACATATTGAAACCAGTTCTCTTTGGGCGGAAGTTGTAAACAAGAATAGATGCATCAGTGATCGTTTGGTGTCCGAGGAGGTTAAGAGCATTAAATTTTGAAAATTTTGATAATTAACATAATAGTTTCCTATGACCAGAATATTTCATCGACTTTTTATGTGAAAGATGGATCCCATTTCAGACTTCGACATCCGTCTTGTGTTTACATTACCGCCCAGAGACAGTACACTACAGTACAAAAGATGTGTACACTTCTGAAATAACTTTCCTTGCCTTAAAATCCTTGGGCCTACGTATCCCACCCTGTGAAAGGAGATAAGTTGCCTGTGTAGTCTGAGATGTACGCTAATCCTTTACAATTTGTACAGGTCATGTACTTCACTTTGAAAGGTCAATCAGTACAGGGTGAGTAAAAAAAAAGTGTGATTTGCGGCGCCTGGTGCAAAATTGTACCTTTTTTGTGCATTTCTCCTGTATGGTGTTTTTTCAATATTTTTTGGAAATTTTTAAACAATTCGTAAATCTTGTTTTCTCTCAAAATCAAAAATTTAGAAAAAACAAAAATGTGTAAATAAATTGTTTCTATCGAAATCTAAAGTTTAAAAAAGATTGAATCTCAGAATCTCAGAAAATGTTCAAAATTGTAATAAGAAAATTCGCAATTTTTAGTTCTGGTATAGTTTTTCAATGGTTCTTAAGGTTTCAAATAAACAGCTATATCTAATACTTAAGAATAAACTAAGAAGAAAGGTAATTTAAGTAACTTTTCCTTAAACTTTAGACCAGAACTAAAAATTCGGAATTTTCGTATTACAATTTTGCGAATTTTCTGTGATTCTACAGTAAAAAGATTGATAACGTATAAAAGAACATTAATAGTAAATATTTAGATGGACCGGAAAGCATCATAAATTATTTAGAGAGCCATCTTCATTCATACACTTACCAATCCTTTAAATGGTTTAACTTATTTATTTATGTTTACTACATTATTACGGTATATTAGGATATGTCATGCATACGGTTTAACAGGTACGTGGAAGTTTTTATAGTAATACTTAGAAGTAGAACACTATAACGACGTACTGTAAAGATTTGATTAGAAAGTAACTAAATAGTTGCACTTACTCTAAACTTCTAATCCTTGAAAGGGATAGTTTCAAGTAAGCGTAATATCAAGTTACTCGTTATGCAAAGATGACAATGCCCCAGAGACAACGGTACCCTTAAAACTGTGTATGAAAATGTGTGAATTAGAGATATCCATGATTATAATTTTGAAAATTGATTATTGCCAATTGTGGTTTTGTTTGGGTGGGATAGACTCTGGAACCTCTCCCCTGATATATTTTGATGGGGGAGACAAAAAAAAAACAAATAAATTATCTCTTTTTTTTTAGGTTACGTTCTAAATAAAGCATTATTGACTATTGTTTTCTTTGATGTTAATAGAGAAAACCTTATTAAGTATTATTGTGAAGTATATAATATTGACATTTCTCTTCCATTGACCATTTTATTTACTTCACAACAATACTGAATTGATACCACTTAAATTATACAAACAAATAAAATTATATAAACCATTGTAAATGATGAGTTATAGTAAGGTATATTGAACCCTGAAACCCTGTATTAAAACTACAGTTATACAATATTAATTAATTTTGAAATGAATATACGAATTTTGAAGAGGCATATTTTGAAGGAGAGTAGGAGGTGTGACGCTACTATACAGCAGTGTATATTTATAAAACCATAAGAGGATAACGTGATTTTTTGGAAAACAAATCATTGGAATAAATAAGTGGGTATTAAGATTGAATATATTCATCCATTTTGGAATAGTTTCTTAAGTATGGTATAGTGACCCAGAATGCAATGTTGAACAAATGTAAATTATAAGTTGACCAATATTAAGTTTACTTCAGTTAGACGTGGTTCAGTGGAGGTATAATTTCAAGAAGTGTCACATTATCCATTCATTATTTCACGCCCGGACCATTTTTATAATGTCACACCGGTCCAATATGTGACATAGAGTTTTATTAAATAAATTAGTTTCTAAAAGCAAGGAAAGATAAGTCAAGTTATATTACTAAGACTCATATTGTATTGTGAGAGACCTCGGTGCTCTATATTTTCTTTACCTCTTGTAGTCTGTATATAAGGTTAGTAAAGAGAAATAGATATCACCAGTATCATCACAACCAGGGAATGCTTCAAACCTTCCTCTGGGTTTTCCCTTTAGGTTTGATATGTAAGTAAAATTCAAGCTTCAAATCAGCATTAACTTGTAACACTTTTATCAACTATAACGTATTTCGAGAATTGCAGAATTGCACAGAAATTACAGGGCCCGCAATTGCGCGCGAGTTAAATCCATATGCGCGCTTTGGAACCCCTACTTAATAATAATAATAATACTTTGCCACAAACTCTTATATTCTAATCCCTATAATCTTGCAAGTTGCAACCCAATGTTGTAGACCTTTGATATGTCAACCTGTGAATTATGTAAGATTAAATATCCCAGGTTTCCAGTTCCACCATCAGGTTGTAGAGGAAAAGGAACTATAGCATATTGTAGAGGAAAAGGAACTATAGCATATTGTAGAGGAAAAGGAACTATAGCATATTGTAGAGGAAAAGGAACTATAGCATATTGTAGAGGAAAAGGAACTATAGCATATTGTAGAGGAAAAGGAACTATAGCATATTTAATTTTGTGGCAAAGAATCAAATCCTTTAAAATCTACATGGACCGAATTTAATGAATTCGAGCTACGTCACTTAACTATCTAATACTAATGCTGCTGGTTTAAATTTGAACCACCGATTCAAAGTTAAAGATTAAGGAAGGATTTGAGTCGCTAATTCAACTTTAAACCATTTGCTAGAAATAAGATATGGTAATTAAGAAATGTATCATTTACTCTCAGACAAATTATAATCATTCCTTTTTAAAAAGCTGGTTTTGGTATGCAACAATTTTCATTTAATCCCGCCGGGATATTTTCATCTAAAGATACTTTGAAAATCTACAAAGGCAAACAAAAAATCCGCAAAATCCGCAAGCCCTCGGCCGATCGGGTTTATCATTGAATCCCTCGGGGGTTTAAATTTCCATTGATTCTAATTTGTCTTTTTTATAAAGGCTACATTTTTTTATGTAAATAATTTGACTTCCTGTATAAAATGCTCACAGCTAATTGTTTAAAATTTGTTTCTCAAAAAAAGAAAATATCTAACATATATATTTTTATTTCTGCCATGTTAAAAATCAATTAACTATAGAAATAACCAAATTGTATCAGGACAAAATTCATATGACACATTTTGGCATGACGTGTAAAAAACTGTTGGACTTGCTGTCCTTAACCTTTTAAGGGCGAAACCCAAAAAATAGTTTTTTTACAGTGAGAACCAGAAAGCGATCGATAACTTTACATTGGACTTTTCAAATTCCAATGAGCACATGGGACACGTATATTGTGGGGTGTAAACAACTCCATTTCACAAAATTAATATTTAAAACTAGTAATTTTCTAAAAACATTAAAAAGTTAAAGTTTTCTTTACAGTCGTCTTCGTATTCCAAAGTTTTCTGGTTCTTACTGAAGTTTCACCAAGGAGTATGAAATAGAAGGGAGATACAACTGACGCGGCCCGCCCTACCATAGGATTATACATGCTTTGCAGACGGTACTTGGTACTTCATTTGTATCAGAAATATTCTGAATAGGTTATTGTATACGCTGCAATTGTACATCAGACAAATATTTCTTATTCAAATGAAGTACCCGTCTGCAAGTAAAATCATATGGTAGGTCGGCAGCGTCAGTTATATCTCCCTTCTTTTTCATACTCCTTGAGTTTTACATCTAGATAGTATAGCTATTATAGGCGCTGTATCTAGTAGAGAAACTATACCTTCTTGGGTATCTCGTCACAGGTGAATACAGTTTAACCCAGAACCTCGGAGATATATACAGAATTCATAAAATGTCGTATTCTAAACTATAGGATTCATGGAATGCTGCAGATGTTTAGTTTTTAATTGAAAAATTATATGGAGCACTTTAAAACTGTTCACGCATATTCATGATTATTTATTAAGTTTTTCAATTACTGAGATTTAGGTATAATGGTATAAAACCCATTGAAAAGTTGTCAGGACGACATTTTATAAATTCTTTCGATGTTTCCGAAGTTTTTGCTTTAGTTGTACGTTAAACATAAAATAACAATTTTCAAAGCAATTAAAATTTTATAAATTAAGTTTTCGTTTACACAAACTCAAATTTTCAAATCCCTATATCTTTGCAACTTTATGGTGTAAACTTTTTTATATTTCAAACATGTAGATTATTTGATCTAACACAATTCACAGTTTGATGTGTATCTATAAGTCTACGACATTGGGTTACAAAGATGTAAGTAGTATTTAACCTCAAGCTGTAATTGTTAATAATTGAAAGAAGAAAAAAACTATAAAACAATTAAATTTTTGGATAATTATAGACAACTTTATATTGTATTTAAAAACACTTCAAAACCTTGACAGGAATTTCGAGTCTTTGCCACAATCTCTGGTTTCATTGCAGCACAATGTCGTAGATCTTTAATATTTTAAACTATGCATTCTGTTAGATCAAATAATCTAAGGTTCCGATTATATAGAGATTATACAATTTGAATTTATGGTAAATACTCAATTCCTTTCTTAAACCAATTTTCAATTTTTTATATGACTTTTTTCTTCGATTTTTTTTAATTTATTGGGCATCAACGGGCAATTCAGCTATTTATACAGTTTTTTAATCCACATCGTAAAGTAAACTTATTCAGAATGTCTCCACGCGTCCAAGCTAGGGATGTGCTATCTGGTGGTGTAGGGTGAGTTTATTATAAGTTAATCCTAAATTTAATATTTTAAATTTTTCCTTATTTAGATTAATTAAACTGATATTTAGATACCCTTACGAGGGCACCATACTTCGTCAATTACGCTCTGAACCCTGGGAACAAAAAGGTTTAAAATTTTTTAAGGAAAATAATAAACTAAGAAAAATATTCACAAACAGTTTTTTAGATACTCAATCCTTTTCATCGTCTCCTCTTCACAAGAAAGGTATTTTTTGTTATTTTTGCAAAGTTTTTACAAGTTCATAAATATTTCCTTTTGACTTTTGATATCGCTCTGAATTGGAATTGATTCCATGTTTTTTAAACAGCATCTTCTCCTTGTACACTAAAGTATAAAACAATAACAACAAAGTTCGTGGATTTTCAAATATTTTTTCGCGCATTTTTAAAATGTCACAAAAATAAAAAGCTTTTTGATACACATTTTTTAAATTCTAAGCATTCAAAAACCTTCCCTGGGATTATGTGAGGTTACACACAAAATGCTTGCCCAATCGGTTTATTGGAAACAAATGGACAAACAGACAGACAGACACCTGGATAAGCAAAGTATATATATATATATTGCTAGGATTTTTGCATGACGGTCTAATTCTCAGACAACTGAGATCAGTTCCAAACTCTTATAAAGGTATGGAATAAATTCATAATTTTAGACATGTTAAAAAAAATAATAGCGGCCGATTTTTCTGTAAATAGTTAGTTTGTTTGTTTTTGACTTGCCAAGTTTTTCCCTGGAGTCTTTATCAGGCGAGACTGATTTAATATTTTGCAGAGTTTTCTCTTTGGATTTCCGATATTATAAAACTCAATTTTTTTGTTAACATTTTTTAATCAACAATCTGTTGTGCTGGGTACGCGAGGACTTTCATTGATTTTATTATTTGTATTGCACTGAAAAGAAAATCAAAGTTTGAAGAAAAAAAAACTTACTATTTGCACCAAAGAAATTTTTCTTTTCTACATAGGCTCGTAAGACCTCCACTCTTTTTTTTTGTCTTATAGCCACGGCACTTGGTTAAGAATTTGGCTAAGCCCAACCTTAAAAAAATAATAGGCTATGGCAAGATAATTATGAGTAAGACATCATTGAACAGTCGGATTATATTGTATCTTTTACATGTAGAGATCAGCATCGTTTTTGTTACCCACCGAAATTTTTGAGAACGAACGAAACTTTTCGCCAAAGATTTTGAATTTCAGCAGAAAAAAAACACTCAATTAATGATCGTTTAGAGAAGAAATAGAAAACGATATTTTTATAATGAAACAACAAGTTTTCCTTAAGAATTAAAAAACGATAGTTTTTTACAAAACGACCAATTTTTTCTCTAAAAAAAAACAAAAAGAATGAAAATGAACAAAAATTTTGAGAACAGACAAAATAATTTTTTTCTATAACGATTGAAAAAAACGAAATGGGTCGTTTACAAACGATGAACCAACTAACAAAAAAAATCCGAGCGCGTTCATCTCTATCAAAAATTATGTCAGTTACATATTAGAAATTTAGAACATTTTTGTGCTTCTCAAGAGATCTTTAACTATTTGTTTTGTTTAATATTTGAGAAATGAAAAAAAAATTAAATCATTTCATTTTATCAAATTATCTCTCCAGAAATTTTATTATAAGAAACTGATTTTTTTCTGTCTACAAAATGGGCTTTCTATGATATTGTATCTAAATTCTGTGCTATTACATGTACACACATTAGAAGATTCCTTTTAGCAGGTTATCTGCATGATGGATTGATTTTGAGACAGCTGAGATCTGGTTTACCTGCCAAAGGTATGAAAAAGAGAACTGTTTATTTAATCTATTTTGATTTTTTTTTTCAATATATAGAGCTCTACAAATTACAAAGGAATTGAGTCTTTGCCAAAAACTCTGATTTTTTAATCCATATATCTGTGCAACCCACATCGTATGTCAAACTTTGAATTTTTTCAGATGAAATATCTAAGATTGAAATATCAAAGATTTAAAACGTTGGGTTGCAAAGATATAGGGATAAGAATAATGTGGCAAAGACTCAAATCGAAGTTTGAAATATCAAATGTAAACACCATAATGTTGAAAAAATAAAGATATTGGTATTCGAAAATTTAAGTTTGAGGCATAGACTCGAATTGTTTAACAGCTTGCATATTTATATGTTAATTTCCCCCCTATGCTGCTCTATAGTATAAAGTTTAAAAAAAAATTTACTTTATCAAATTTATATTTTTATTTATTCTTATTGTTAAGTCACGTGTATTCAGTTTTTTTTTTGGCAGGATATCTTTCTGATGGTTTGATGTTGAGACAGCTTCGATCTGGGGTATCTCCAAAAGGTATTTCAACACAATTACGATTTCGTTGGTGGGCTGGAGAGGGGTGGGGTGCTTGAAAACCAGGATGTGCTGGGGGGGGGGTCAATTTGACCCCCCCTCTAAATCCCATATTTGATGTCCAAATATAACAAATGATGCATCATTGGAAAGCTCTTGTGCTCTACTTTTAGAATCTGCCAAAAAAATTGGAAATTTGCAAAAATTGAATTTTTTATCGCAAAATCCAGCTATATAGTAAAAAAAAACTTGTCCAAAAAATGAAAAATTATACATTTTTGAAAAGCCCTTGACCATGCCATTTCAAATATGCAAAAATGGAATAGGGTTTAGGACAAAGTCATCCATCCATATTAGACAAAAAGGATAGGGTTAAGTATTTTTAAATTGATTCAAAATTTTGCAATCTAATTATTTTTCTCCAAAGATAATCTTCATGACGGGTTGATTTTGAGACAACTTCGATCAGCGGTTTCTCCAAAAGGTATTTTAAACATATAAAAAATACTTTTTCTAAAGTCAAAACATTCACTTGAAGGTTTAAAATGTGATTATTTTTTCTTAAGGTAATCTTCATGACGGTTTGATTTTGAGACAACTTCGATCAGGGCTCTCTCCAAAAGGTATGCTAAGCAGCTAAAAATAAGCTGCTTTTATTGTTTTAATATTTATGTGAACACTAAATACAATAATCAGCATATTTATCAATATAGTTTCGGTTACTGAAATAGTTATAAAATTTTAGTACAGTGGTAAGCGATTATATCAATACAAAAAAGACGACATTTTTCTTTAAGTTTTGATTGTTAAACAGCTTTTTCGAAATACAAGTTTACACGTAATCAAAGAGAAGCTGTTTTAAATGACAGCTTCTCTGGACGATCCATGCCGGTACATGCGTAAAGAGTCGACCCAGCTCGTTTTATGCATCAAATGTAGCCTGGCGATTTCAGAATGATATTTAAGTAAACAACTTTTTATTGATATATTTGCTAATTACTTCTTTTTTAAAGATAACATCATTACGATTTGATTTGGAATTTTGAGACAACTTTGATAGTAAATATATATCTTAATGGGCGTGCCATCTTTCGAAAACGCATTTTCCCTTAGAATTGTTACTATTTATTAAACTGATTATTTCCGATTGTACTCTCTATACAAAAGTGACAAGCTCATTTTTACAGCAGGAAAGCATATGGAAATTATCAGAATTTAACACTCTTAAGCTTAGAAAAACGACAATATCTTCAACATAGTTGATCGTACAAAGGTTTTAAGGTTTCTTTTGTGAATCGATCACGTCCATCTTTGAATTAAGGGTCTCTTATAATTACGCTCACAGTCCCTTTAAATCATAATTACGCTTACGATCCCTTTAAATTGTTTGAAAAGATGGGTGCTTTAGTTTTTTTTCCATTTATTCTATCAGCGTTCGTTTTCTCAGTTGTTCAGTAAAATTTTGATTTGTTTGTTTTCAGAATCATTCTTAGTTTTCCATCAGTGTAATTTGTTTTCCATCAATGTAGTTTGTTTTCTAAATCAATAAAATTGTTCATTCAGTAAGAGCGTTCGTTCAGTAAGATTGTTTGTTGATAAAGATTGTTTGTTCAGTAAGATTGTTTGTTTCGTAAGATTGTTTGTTGATAGAGATTGTTTGTTCAGTAAGATTGTTTGTTGATAAAGATTGTTTGTTCAGTAAGAGCGTTCGTTCATGAAGATTGTTCGTTCAGTAAGATTGTTTGTTGATAAAGATTGTTCATTTAGTAAGATTGTTTTTTGATAAAGATTGGTTGTTCAGTAAAATTGTTTGACAGTAAGATCGCTCGTTCATGAAGTTTGTTTTTTTAAGAATAATTGTCTGTTCAGTAAAATAATATCGTTCTTTCCAAAATTCGTTTAAAAACGTCTTATTTAATTCAGTACGTTTGATCGAATAAATCGTTCGTTCATATTAGTAGTTTGTTCATTTTTCTACACAAAACTATCGTTTCTGATAAATATTGTTTGTTTTGAAATATTTTTTGTTCACGAAAACGATCTCTAACTATTCCTTGTTCCAGGTTATCTTCATGACGGTTTGATTCTCAGACAGCTCAGATCAGTAACACCAGCTAATAAAGGTAAACAGAATCTATTAATTTATACGGACTATTTCATTGTTAAAAATCATTATTAGAATTAGTTAAAAGAGCAACAATTTAAAGTTATAAGCGAACATGGGCGAGAAGCACCATGGAATCCTATATAGTGAAGATAAAATTGTGGTGATTTTTTATTTTCATTTTCTTAATGCTTTACATTTTCTTTTTTCAAGGATATAGACAAGACAATCTAATAATGAGGCAGTTAAGATCTATGGTATCTAATTATGAAAGAGGTATATTTGTCTAGAGTTGATATATAATACAGTGAAACTCTTAATAACGAATGCATCGGAAGAATTAATCAAATGTCGTCTTTACAATTTTTCAATGAGTTTTATACTATATTATGTAAATTTCAGTATTTGTGAAAATAAATAAATATCCATGAATATGTGGGAACAGTTTTATAATCATTTAATTAAGAAACTAAATATCTGCAACATTCCATTATCAGAAAGTGAAGAATACGACATTTGATGAATTCTTTCGATGTATTCGTTATTAAGGGTTTCACTGTATTTGTATGAACTTCTTGCTATGCCTAGGATTGGGCGTATTCATATTTTTAAACGTTCGTTCCTCTTTCTAGAACGAGGGCTTTCAGCTGGATCGTTTGTTCCTTGTTTGCTATTTGTCCAATCGTTCCATCCCCGTTCCGGTCTAACAGAGTTCATGGTTTGAAATATCTAAGGTCTACGACTTTGGATTACAAAGATATAGGGATTATAAAATCAGAGCTTGTAGTAAAGACTTAATTCATTCAGATTTAGAAAGAGTTTCTGATTTAGAAGGTGTTATTAATAGAATAATTTTAGACCATTCTTTTCAACCAATTGCCGTTCGTTCCAAGTTTGTTCATTTAATGATGATTGGGCAATTCTTCTCTTATATATATTGGGAGGTGGGGGGGGGNTTGGGGTATGTCCAAATGTCTCTGACACGGGGTTGTTCAGATGTAAGGAAAAAAAAGAGTTTGCGGTAAGAAATCAGTTCATTAATTAAAAAATTTCGAAATTAAATATATTCATATGTTTAATTAATGTTTTTTTTTATAGTCTATTTACTTTTAGGGTAAACTTTTGGAATAGTTTCAGAATAGTAAATGTTTTCAAAATTGTTTCTTATACTATACCATGCAAATTTGGGCCTTGACAGAAAATATTTGCAAAAAACGAACCAACAAAAGTTTTCTTAATCAAAATATTTTCTAAACGGTTAACATATTCCATTATTTCGAACATGACAACTATGAAAAATTGCGCTAGTTTTTAGTACTTGGTGGACTTTGAAGGGTTTTTAACTTTAACCTCGCTGACTTTTTGTAGCCTTGGACATGTAAACTTTAGAACTTTACAGTATTTTTTTTTTATTTTTTTTCAGAACTATAATTGGAAAATTTCTAATAGATTGTTGCGTTAGAGCTTGCAACTGTGCTCTACATCACAGTGATCTATCCAATTAAAACTTCAGGGGATTTTGTATGCTTTCTTGTTTTACACTTTTTTATTTTAAATATGATCTTGAGAACTGACAAATATTAATTATACATTTTGAGACCTGACAAATATTAAGTATACATTTTAAGACCTTACAAATTCTAAATATACATATATAGCTTGAGACCTGACAAATTTTAAATATACATATATAGTTTTTGAGACCTGACAAATTCCAAATATACATATAGCTTGAGACCTGTCGACAAATTCTACATATACTTATAGCTTGAGACCTGACAAATTCTAAATATATATATATATATAGCTTGAGACCTGACAAATTCTAAATAAACATATATTACTGACCCGATTCTGTGGAAGCCCGGTTCTTGCCCATATTCTGTACAGTACGTCGCCCTAACCAGACTAACATACGACAGGGGTCAATTTTCTTGACATAGTCCCGTCGGAGGGCTAACTCTGACAATTCCCATAGCGCGTTCAGACTTTTTACAGTACCCGGCCTAATCCTAGGCCTATTTGACCGACCCCACTGACTTAGTCCACCGTGATATATATATATATAACTCGAGGCCTGACAAATTCTAAATATACATATAGCTTGAGACCTGACAAATTCTAAATATACATATAGCTTGAGACCTGACAAATTCTAAATATACATACATAGCTTGAGACCTGACAAATTCAAAATATATATATAGCTTGAGACCTGACAAATTTTAAATATACATATATATAGCTTGAGACCTGACAAATTCTAAATATACATATAGCTTGAGACCTGACAAATTCTAAATATATATATAGCTTGAGACCTGACAAATTCTAAATATATATATAGCTTGAGACCTGACAAATTTTAAATATACATATATATATAGCTTGAGACCTGATAAATTTTAAATATACATATATAGCTTGAGACCTGACAAATTTTAAATATACATATAGCTTGAGACCTGACAAATTCTAAATATATATATATAGCTTGATACCTGACAAATTCTAAATATATATATATAGCTAAAGACCTGACAAATTCTAAATATATATATAGCTTGAGACCTGACAAATTCTAAATATATATATATATAGCTTGAGACCTGACAAATTCTAAATACATATATAGCTTGAGACCTGACAAATTCTAAATTTATATATAGCTTGAGACCTGACAAATTCTAAATATATATATAGCTTGAGACCTGACAAATTCTAAATATATATATAGCTTGAGACCTGACAAATTCTAAATATATAGATATTACTCTTGTCTTTTTCAAATTCCTTAGAAGCAATTTTGAAAGGAGAACTAAACATGAAGAAGCAATATGTTGAAACAACAATAAGAATAAACAACTTAACAGTTCTTATAAATCGAGAAGACAAATAACCAAACATTCTTGACTTTAAAAGGGACTTTAAGTGTAATTTCAAGTGCACAGAGATCCAAAGAAAGCTCTCACGCTGAAACCAATGGGATATTTTTACAATTATTTAATTAAAACTTGTTTTAAACAAGTGCTTCACGGGCCTAAAATGTCTGCATGTCTAGGGTTACAAAAAAGATAGAAGAGAGTTAGATAGGTAAAAATTATAAAGGCCAAGACTTTGTGACACTTTAAATTCGACCCTGTCTTGAAAAATGATGCAACTTTGCATATCATCCTTGATCTATGTGAGTGACCCTCCATGCAAAAATGGCAATCTCTGATTTACAACAGTAAACTATTTATTTTCATTTGCGGCTTTTCTGCAAAGTGACAGTTGCGCATTACTTAAAATCTATTACTTACGATCATTTTGTTCATTTTAAAGGTTTCAAGGGTACCAATGTAAATAGAACAGATTTCCCCAATGTAGCTTGAATCTTGATATTCAGGATCATTACATGATGGGATAATTTTGAGACAACTTTAGTCGACTGAACCATCGTATCCAGATACACAAGGTATTAATTGTTTTATTCAAATCCTTAAAGCAAAGGGTGAAACTATCGGGCGCCAGTTATAATTAAAGTTTTTTTTTGATTTTACAAAAACATTGGAAATATTTGTCATACAATTTTTCAACTCATCCTTAAGAATGAATGTTTTAAGTCAAGTTAATGAAGGAAATTGTTCTATGACTTATTAAATGCAGTTCAACAATTTAATAATGTCGAAATTTAGTAATTTCGCGGCATTTCAGACACAGTTTGTGTGTCTATCTATTTATCTATTGATTCGTTTCGACCTTGAATTTGACAAACCAAAGAATAACTTGTTATTTTTAATTCTACATTTAAGAAATTTTGATGATTAAATGATTTTGAAAAAGAATTTTTACTTTCAAATAAGTCAACGTTTTTTTTTAAGTTCTTTCTTGTTGCAAAGACTCATTTTTAAAACAATTTCTGGAGCTGATCAATTATATGAAGAAAAAAGACTAAAATCTCAAGTGTATTAAATTTCAACTTCTTATTAAACAGCGATTAAAAAATCAGAATTTAGAGAAGCTATAATGAAGTTGTACCAGGGATGTCCCATAAATTTAGGGAAGCTATGAAGTTGTACCAGGGATGTCCCATAAATTTGGAGAAGCTATGAAGTTGTACCAGGGATGTCCCATAAATCTAGAGAAGCTATGAAGTTGTACCAGGGATGTCCCATAAATTTAGAGAAGCTATGACGTTGTACCAGGGATGTCCCATAAATTTAGAGAAGCTATGAAGTTGTACCAGGGATGTCCCATAAATTTAGAGAAGCTATGACGTTGTACCAGGGATGTCCCGTAAATTTGACCTTCTCCTTCTGAGTGAACCATGTGTATAGTTTTACAACTTGTTAAGTGAAATAAGTGAGTTAGAGCGGTAAAATACAAAGAAGTTGTGACACTTTAAAGTTGATTCTGTCTTAAACATTTATAGCTGTTTATAAGCAGGCTGAATCTTTGTGTAATTTGATAAGCTAAAAGTGCACCGTTGTAAATCAGGCATGTATCTCTACAAATAAATGATCACATTTAATTACTTCGGCAATTGCTTTGACAGCATAGACATTTAAAATTGTATTTTTCCATACCTTGAAACACTTAAAACTGTGAAATAGGAAAATTGCACCCCGGGACAGGCAGGTTTCCCTTCGCTCTAGCTCCCTCGTACGTGAATGGATGACTGCCTGGTCGTGGAATCTTGCCAAGATCAGACAAATTGGAAAATCCCAAGTCCAGATTTTTGCAACCCGGGACTGGCATCAAATTGTCTTCTTTGCCGTTCTCAAGAAATCAAATAAGTCAAAAGAAAAACGAAGATCGATTTCAAACCAAGGCTTTATCATTTATCTAAACAATGCTAAGATTCATCCACACCACCCAGTGTAGACGTAGAGTTGACCCAGCACTTTTAAACCAGGAAAAACGCCAATATCTTTCTAATTATTCATCAGTTAAAGGTGTCAAGGGTACCTTTGTAAATCGAACAATGCCACCTGACTTAAACTAAAACATCTGTAATACAATAATAACAATAATACAATTATTATACATGCTCTTGGCTGAGTCTATATATATATATATATATATATAAGGGTGTACAAGATACAAATAAATTAATCCAAACTTAATTTTAGAGGAATCAGAGGGAACTGCACATTACCAAGAACTTCACTAGATTATCACATATAAAAAATTATAATATTGCTTAATTTATATCTTTTAAATTCCTGAATACTGATAGTTTTAATGTACAAGTAGCGTTTCAATAATTTTCCGTGAATAATTGTAAATTTATTAATGTAAATAAAAAATATGTTTTTTTTTGAAATTTTGTGAAAAGAAAAAATGTAACTTTTAAATCACATAACTAGTATTGCCATTTAATTGGCTTTAATTTAGAGAAAAAGAAAGAGAAAGAAAATAGAAAAAACTATAGTTTATAGAAAGGAGAACGATGAGAGAAAAGAAAATGTAATACTTGAGTAAAAATTAGGGTAAAAAGAAAAAATAAAAAAATTAGATGAACGTATACAGAAAAAAAGTATTTACACAAAAATTAGGTATAAAATTGAACACCATAAAATATATTTGTTTTAATTATAAATGGAAAAACATTGGTAGGCAAGGATATATGGGATTAGAAAATCAGAGTTTGGAGCAAAGACTCAATACTTTTGTATTTCTATACTTGTGCGTAAAATAAAAAAAGAGGAGTCAGATCATTTTTTGTATAAATCTGAATATATTTTTCCATCATGTTGTCAGTTGAAAGCTGCAAGGTTCAAAGAGTGGTTAGACGAAGTAAAAATGGAAAACTTTTGACCGGAAGTAAACAAAAAATAAACTATATAATTCTTGCTCAAATCAAGGGTTCAAAGTAATAGCACAACAAAATTGAATAACAATAAAAACATATAATATGGCTATTTTTGGTTGCATCAAGCAACAAATATTTTTGCACAAACTGCTTTTCTCTTCAAATTAACAGTTTTTAGATATTTTTATTTACAAAGCTTTTGAGATAATTACTTTTAACAAACATATTTAAGTTTACTTTCAACACTTTTAAAGATATTTGAACATCCAGATGCAGCCAAGCCAAACTTGGTTACAAAGCTCTCTGGCCAACCGAGGCATCTAAACATTGTTATGTTGTATAAATGATGGTATCCTCACACATCTATAAGAAATGGGAATATTCGACTGTTTTTCATTTATTCCAACAATTTTAAATCGTTTGATTTTTTTTTTCGAACGTTTTAAATAAAAAAATTTTTCTGGAGGAGACAAAAAAATTATTCTTTAATCAAAGAATGCCCATCTCTATGAAGGAGGTTTCTATCAATTTAATCTAAGACTTGACCTGAGATGATTATACCAGAGCTCAGAATACCACTCTGGAGCACCTTCCATTCTATAGTTATATGAGACTAAGATCTCATCTCCTCTTCGCAAATCTTCAAGAGCCTTTATCATAAATAAAAATGGATTGTATATACTGCATGTTTTAAATATAATTAATTATCGTAGAACCAATCAGTATAGATGGACGTGTTGACTTTTTTCATTTCGTTTGATTTCTACATGGCACTCTGTAATATGCTGAGAATGGACACTCTCTCATTTGAAATTCAGTTATATAGTAAAAATGCTTGTAAAAAAAAATTTGTCCAAAAAATGAGAAATTATACACTTTTGAAAAGCCCTTCACCATACAATTTCAAATATGCAAAATTTTTTGCAAAATTTTTAATAACCTGATTTTTAATCGCGAAAAACTAAAAATGTGCAAATTTCCTTTGACAGGTTGTTTGCAAAAAATTTGCAATTTTTTTTGGAACGGATCTATTTACATTGCACTTAAGCTTGGGTCTAAAAGTGGTCTTCCTATTCCAGAATTTACTGGTTTTCATAATATTAGAAAACTTACTTTGATAGACATTATTTTACCAAATCTTGGATGTTCAAGAATGTAGAATCCAGCATTAGGAGAAAATGAGTGGCACGCCTGAAAGAAAAAAGAATACATATTGCTTATACATTATTTCATCGATACACTGCACCATCTAGATTCTAGATTTAATACACCATCTAGATTCTAGATTCACTGCACCATCTAGATTCTAGATTCACTGCATCATCTAGATTCTAGATTCACTGCACCATCTAGATTCTAGATTCACTGCACCATCTAGATTCTATATTCACTATACCATCTTGATTCTAAATTCACTGCACCATCTAGATTCTAGATTCACTGTACCATCTAGATTCTAGATTCACTGCACCATCCAGATTCTAAATTCACTGCACCATCTAGATTCTAGATTCACTGCATCATCTAGCTTCTATATTCACTGCACCATCTAAATTCTAGATACACAGCACCATCTAGATTCTAAATTCACTGCACCATCTAGATTCTAGATTCACTGCACCATCTAGATTCTAAATTCACTGCACCATCTAGGTTCTAGATTCACTGCACCATCTTGATTCTAGAATAACTGCACCATCTAGATTCTAGATTCACTGCACCATCTAGATTCTAGATTCACTGCACAATCTAGATTCTAGATTCACTGCACCATCTAGATTTTAGATTCACTGCACCATCTAGGTTCTAGATTTATTGCACCATCTAGATTCACTGCACCATCTATATTTTGATTTCATTTAAATAAAGGATATATTTATATAAGCCAGTGCCTTTGAAATTGAAATAAAGCTTTTGATGAAACTATCGTGTAATTTTTGACTCATGGTCTCTTCGTGGTAAATTGTATTATAGAAATAACCACATGCATTTAGACAAGTATACACAAACATTTCATAAAATTACTAATGTTTTGGAACAAACATTTAAATAAAGTTTTAAGAATTAAATCTTCTCTGTATCTTGGGACAAAATACGATCTCAAAGGCACCTTTTGGATAAAGAGAAATGTCTTTTAAAAACCTTTACAACACAGCTAACCAAAAAAATATTGCTATTAATACAGTGATATCTGGAAGACGAGATTTTTCAATATGTAAATGTAGTTGATGTTGTTACCAAGCATATATCTATATAATTAAACAAAACATTCGTATATTTATATGTTGCTCATAGCCGGCCAAACGGCTAGACCGATTATGCAGAATTTTTTTGTGGCCGGGAGTGCTATAAAAAAAAATCGAATTTTTTTTCAAAATTCTAAAATCAATAACTGAAAACTGCACAACTGCTAGGTCTCAAGTTCATTGGACTTTTTTAAAGTTATAACTTGATTCTAAAAGTCTTCCTATTTAAGCGCTGTCGGGTTATCACTGTAGTTTATTTTACCATGTTTACCTTATGTGCAAGCGTAGCTGAATAGTTGTTGACTGGAACAAAACATTCTGGAATATCTAGGCTCAAAACGGAGTCCACACGTATACAGTAATCACTAAATTTTTCAAATTTCAGAATTCTTGAACACTTTCTGCCCCGCATAGGGTAGCACGGAGGGACTACATTTATAACATTGATTTTTTTTCCATATACTTTGTCAGGAATTTGTAACTTATTCCCCCCGTATCTCTTAAGTTTACAACTTTTTAAGACTTTCAAAATTTTCGACATTTTTTGCCAGAAACTCTGATAAATCTGGGCAACCCAATTTAGAAAATCTTTAATATCTATATAAATAGAACTTTTTTTCGTGGATTTTAAGGTTTGACAAATTGTACCTGAATTCTTCAAACTGGTGTTCCCTAGATATTTTCCTTTTTCGTGCACCGTTGAATAAAACAACAAGTTCTCCTGACATAAAATTGGATTAATTGATCTCCTGACATAAAATTGGATTAATTGTTCTGCTGACATAAAATTTGATTTATTGTACTCCTGACAGAATTTTGGATTAATTGCTCTCCTGACATAAAATTGGATTAATTGCTCTCCTGACATAAAATTGGATTAATTGTTCTCCTGACATAAAATTGGATTAATTGCTCTCCTGACATAAAATTGAATCAAAAATTCTCCTGACATAAAATTGAATCAACTATTCTCCTGACATAAAATTAAATCAAATATTCTCCTGACATAAAATTGAATCAAATATTCTCCTGACATAAAATTGAATCAAATATTCTCCTGACATAAAATTGAATCAAATGTTCTCCTGACATGAATCAAATATTCTCCTGATAAAAGATTGAATCTATTCAATTGTTCAAGGTAAAGATGACATCATTCTACAATAAAATAGACTGTAAGTGGTATTTTATGTGACAAAGATGACAATGTCCGATTTACAATGGTACCTTTAAACACATTGTCTGATCTCATAGATATTTCTAATTGTGGAATAATTCTGACTTGCTTATTCTGCTTGAAAACATACATAAATTATCAGAATAAAAAACTTTCACATTATTGATCGTATATTAAGGGTTTAAGGGAACCATTGGGAATTGGACACTGCCAAAACTGCATGGCTTTTTTACTTCCTTTTAAATTTTTGTATACATATTGCTAAAAAGTTTCATAGATTAAAAACAAATAATTACAAATTGTATAAAAGGTACATTCCAATTTTTATCTGATTGAAGTTAAACAAGTAAAACATTACCTTTTTTAATAAATTTCTTTGCAAAAAGCCCTTCCCCAGCGTAAGGTATATTAGATTGATCAACATACACATTGATAATATCAATTATATCTCGCAAATGCAAATTCCTTAAATATATATATTATTGTTAAAGCAAGGACATATCCCACCAAGATTGATAACCAGGTAATAGTTTTATTCGTAACTTATTAAGTCACTCATTCTGTGACATTGTTCTGTTTACACTGAATAATGAGATTTGTTTATACTGCAAGATTAGGTCTGTTTACACTGCACAATTGCTGTATTCTGTTTACACCGCACAATTAGGTCTGTTTACACTGCACAATTGCTGTGCTCTGTTTACACTGCACAATTGCTGTGTTCTGTTTACACTGAACAATTAGGTCTGTTTACACTGCACAATTGCTGGGTTCTGTTTAAATTGAACAATTAGGTCTGTTTACACTGCCGATTGCTGGGTTCTGTTTACACTGCACAATTAGTTCTGTTTACACTGCACAATTAGGTCTGTTTACACTGCACAATTAGTTCTGTTTACACTGCACAATTAGGTCTGTTTACACTGAACAATTAGGTCTGTTTACACTGCACAATTAGGTCTGTTTATACTGCACAATTAGGTCTGTTTATACGGCACAATTAGGTCTGTTTACACTGCACCATTATGTCTGTTTTCACTCCACAATGCTGTGTTTCATGTTAATTGGACTATTTAAAATCATAACTTGAGACTTAATTTCCTTCTTTAGAGTTGTATGGATATCACTGTACAAAAAGTGTTCATTTGACCTACAAGATGTTGGAAGTTGACTTTTGTAGGAAGCAAAGTGTAAGTTTTAAAAAGAAGTTTCATAGAGAAATCGTTTACAGTAGAAAATGTTTTTCTATGTTTGAACATTATAATGATAGATAAAAATACAGAAATGTTCTTGTTCTTTTGATAAATTAAAGTTAGCTAGAGTAAATGTAATACTTATTAACTAAACCTCATGAGATTGCTGTGTAAGTTTAGACTTTTTCATGCCATTCCTAAACGTTTTGCTAAATTGTTCATGAAAGATCAATGTCACAAATATCCGTTCTGTTCAGGTAACAGTTGTTTCCTATATTTGTAAAGTTACTGTTTGTGAACCATCTCATTCTGTAAACGACGTGATAGAAAACATCTGCTCATTCTTTTCGTTTTCGCTTCTTTTTTCTTCGTGAATACTTATTTCCATTCGTGACGATTTTAAACTTGACCAATTGATATTTTAGTTCATAAATGAAACGTTGCTCCGATCGTGTTTTTTTTGGAAAACAAGTTTTTTACTTTGGTTTCTCACTAGCGCACAAAAACTTTCGCGGAAAAAGGGAAATTTCCTATTATGCTATTTTTTTCGCGAAATTTCGCTAAAATAAATTTTGCAAAACACATGCTAAATTTTGTGAGAAAAAAAGTCTTTTACACTTTTGCGAAGAATAGCAAAAAAACACATTTTTCGAGAAATGTTGCATTGGTTTCGTTTTTTTTATATTCTACGAACGGAATGCGAAAAAAATGCTAACTTTTTCGACGAAAAACAATATCCCCATTTTTATAAGAAACCCTATATTTCTTACTTTGCAGGACAATGTGTGCCAGGAAACTCATAGGACAGTGTTCTTGTGTTTCTTAATTTCCATATTTCCGGCCTCGGCATTCCATTGTTGATTTTTAACTAAAAACAGTAAAAAATGTCTTTAATTGGTGGTTATTATTTCGAGTAGAGATGGGCATGTTCGGCTTTTTTAATTTGTTAGTTTATCATTGGTTATTGAGCCATTTTGTTCGATGATTCAGTCGTTCAGAAAAAAAAAATCGTTTGTTTCACAATTTTTGTTCATTTTCCATTTTATTTTGATTGTTTCGTAAAACCGTTAGATAAAATCGTAGGTTTGTAGCATTTTCTGTTGTAATGCTTATCACGATCTTTATTATCTATGTTATCAATATATGTCTTATCTATTTCAATGTTGCTCTAACCGGCCGATCCGGTACTACATTAACCTTCGTATTATACGGACGAATATAAGGCCTTGAGTTTTGGCTAGAGTTAAGAGCCTTGAGCTTTGGCTAGAGATAAAATCAGTGAGGATAAATTAGACTCTGAGTAGCGGAATCTCGGGACTAGACTTTATTACAGGTTCAGTAACATATTTTAGGTTTTTTAAAAAGTTTATTTTAAAAAATGTTTTAATTAGTTAAAAAAAATTTTTAATTCGTTAATAAAGCGTTCGATCATCTTTTGTTAAATCAAAAGTTTTTGTTCGTTAACAAAACCGATGCCTATTTCTAATTTCAAGAGAATGTCCAGTTTTCAGAGAATGTCCTGTATTTGAAACGAAACCGTTTATCAGATAAATAATATGGAATATATTTCTAGCTTGGATGTAGTCAATTTATAGAAAAAGCAACAAAAAAACGATGGATATATCACATGATCTTATGTATTCTTTATCAGACAAAGCTTTTTAGGATACCGTTGTTATTCCAATGTAGGAAGAGTTACTTAAATTTAGGTCTACAACCCCTTTAAAGGATAGTTATTTAATTTTGGGTCTACAATCTCTTTAAAGGATAGTTATTTAATTTTGGGTCTACAACCCCTTTAAAGGGAGAGTTACTTAAATTTAGGTCTACACTACCTTTAAAGGAGAGTTACTTAAATTTAGGTATACAGCCCATTTAAAGGGAGAATTCCTTAAATTTAGGTCTACTGCACCCCCTTTAAAGAAGAGTTATTTAAATTTGGGTCTACACTCCTTTTAAAGCGAGAGTTACTTAAATTTAGGTCTACACTACCTTTAAAGAGAGAGTCACTTAAATTTAGGTATAGACTCCCTTTAAAGAGAGAGTTACTGAAATTTAGGTCTACACTACCTTTAAAGAGAGAGTTACTTAAATTTAGGTCTACACTCCCTTTACAGGGAGAGTTACTTAAATTTATGTCTACACCCACTTTAAAGCGAGAGTTACTTAAATTTAGGTTTACACCCCCTTTAAAGAGAGAGTTACTTAAATTTAGGTCTACACTACCTTTAAAGCGAGAGTTACTTAAATTTAGGTTTACACCCCCTTTAAAGAGAGAGTTACTTAAATTTAGGTTTACTGCCCCTTTAAAGGAGAGTTACTTAAATTTAGGTCTACATCCCCTTTAAAGGAGAGTTACTTAAATTTAGGTCTACAGCCCCTTTAAAGGGAGAATTCCTTAAATTTAGGTCTACTGCACCCCCTTTAAAGAAGAGTTATTTAAATTTAGGTCTACACTCCCTTTAAAGCGAGAGTTACTTAAATTTAGGTCTGCAACCTCTTTAAAGGGAGAGTTACTTAAATTTAGGTCTACACTACCTTTAAAGGGAGAGTTACTTAAATTTAGGTTTACACCCCCTTTAAAGAGAGAGTTACTTAAATTTAGGTCTACACCCCCTTTAAAGAGAGAGTTACTTAAATTTAGGTCTACACCCCCTTTAAAGGAGAGTTACTTAAATTTAGGTCTACAGCCCCTTTAAAGGAGAGTTACTTAAATTTAGGTCTACAGCCCCTTTAAAGGAGAGTTACTTAAATTTAGGTCTACAGCCCCTTTAAAGGGAGAGTTACTTAAATTTAGGTTTACTATACCTTTAAAGAGAGAGTTACTTAAATTTATGTCTACACCCCCTTTAAAGGGAGAGTTACTTAAATTTAGGTTTACACCTCCTTTAAAGGGAGAGTTACTTAAATTTAGGTCTACACTACCTTTAAAGGGAGAGTTACTTAAATTTAGGTCTACACTACCTTTAAAGAGAGAGTTACTTAAATTTAGGTCTACACCCCCTTTAACGGGAGAGTTACTTAAATTTAGGTCTACACCTCCTTTAAAGCGAGAGTTACTTAAATTTAGGTCTACACTACCTTTAAAGAGAGAGTTACTTAAATTTAGGTCTACACCTCCTTTAAAGGGAGAGTTACTTAAATTTAGGCTTACACCTTCTTTAAAGGGAGAGTTACTTAAATTTAGGTAAATTGAATTTAGGTTTAAAACTTCTTTAAAAGGAGAGTTACTTAAATTTAGGTCTACACCTCCTTTAAAGGAGAGTTATTAAAATTTAGGTCTACTGCCCCTTTAAAGGAGAGTTATTAAAATTTAGGTTTACACCCCCTTTAAGGAGAGTTATCTAAATTTGGGTCTGCACTCCCTGTAAAGGAGGAGTTACTGAAATTTTGGTCCACACCCCTTTACAGAGAGAGACCGGCTATACATGACAGTTCATCTGAGATTGCTATATTGTAGCGAATTATTCTAGATTCAATGGTGACCTATTGGCCCGATCGGTTCAGCCGCTTTGAAGTTTAGTGGATACAAATAAACAAACAAACAGACAAGCAAAGTATATATTTAGATGCACCAAAAAAATTGAAAATAACTTTTATTTTGCTCACAGATAGAGTCACATTAAAAGTTGAGAAAGGGGATGGGCGCGGAGCGCCCTAAAAGCCTATTATATTAATATTTCGAAAATTATACAATTTTACCTTTTTTAAAATGCATTCATATCCAGATTTTAGCTTGCCTTCGGTATACTCGCCATTAATACAGATTCTGTAATTGATATTTTTAAACCTGTTGCATTCCACTTGTATGGTTTTAATAAATGGAGAAAATGAAATATACAAAGATACAGTAGCCAACTCCATCTTTAACATTGGCATATTGTTTTGTTAATTTGTTTGGATGGGTCCAAAAACTCCAAGCAAAGAAATGTTAAGGGGAACAAAAATGGGATAGATCGAATCAAATATAATAGAGCACTCCTGTATGCCGATTCCATCAACGCCTGATCCAATCAGGGTTCAGTCCTGTGTTTGTTGTCTATTCTGAACCAATAGAAATAGTATGGCGGAAACATCTATCTTTCTATCTATCTCATTATCCAATTAGAGATATAAATCCATTAATCCGCGTTATCTGTAAATGGAAATATTTACTTCTACTGAAACTATAGTGAGAGTGTAGTTTAAAAAAATATTTTCCTATAACCAGGGTAGAGGTATAAAATGTCATGACCCTCGAATTTTCCTAAAATCAAAATTTAATCATTTTTTAATCTATATAATATCATTAATTAAAATCCAAGTAATTCCTCTAGATAAATCGAAGATAAGATTTGAAATCAATTAGAAATGAATTTAAAAACTTTACCTACCATTTTTATTTATTGTTCCGAACATTGCAGCCCCTCCTTCTAAAACAATACTTTTAAAGTTACTCTTATAACGCTGCAGTTTCCCAAATGGCAACTTCCCAAGGGTATTTTCCCAAATGGCTAATTCCCAAGGATTTAACTTTACGTATAAGAATTATTAAGAAATTCAAAATATTTTAGTTCTTCTAAATATCTTTTTAACAAGAGAAGATATGATTGAAACATATAAGATGTTAACGTGTTCAGTATATTGTTTAACATTCTAGCAGAGATAGGCTTTAAAAGTGACATCGGTAACAGTGATACAATGGTTATATCAGAAAAGCCATGTTTCCAATTGGTATAATTCATCTGGATTTTTCTTTTGCAAAGAAATTGAGTGTTTGCCACACACTCTCATTTTTACAATCTGATGGTGTAAACCTTACATTTCAAGCTAGGATTTTTCGATCTATAGCGGAATGCACAATTTGAAATATGTAAAGTCTACAACATCAAATTGGCAATATATGTATAAAGATTCGAAAATCAGAGTTTGTGGCTCAATTCCTTTACAATTTTTGAAGTTTCTAGAGTTAAAAAAGGGAGATATCGTTCACAAGATTCATATAGAACAATTAACGAAGTTTATACTTGATTATTTAAAAGGATGTAATACCTAAAAACCTCCAAACTGAATTAGATCCAATTTTACCAAATTCGACTGTACTGTCTGTATAAATAGTCCTGTAGTATCCACATTCATAGCCATCTCTGAAATGTACTATTGGTTGTCTTGTGTCGGTTCCTAGTTAAATATAATTCTTAATTTTTTATTCAATAAAACGATTTTTACCGTAACAAATTACTCAATATTGTCTCCATTATTGGATAGGCGATAAAGTTAACAGAAATAATAGAGAATTGATAAATCACGGGCAGCCGTAGTACATTTGAAATTCCGAGCCGGGTCAACCTTTCCAGTCCCAGTTTTTACTGTATCGCCTGGACATTGGGTAAATAAAGCAGACACTCAATAGGACTACCCGGTGCAACAAGGTTGACGCGGTCAGACTTCAGGTTTAATTTACTTTTAGTGAAGGGTTAGAGGTGCGTGAAATACTGGGAATATAAAAGAATGACGGTTTGTTTCTAATTTAAATATTTCTTACATCAGTTTAAGCTCAAAGCTGAAAGTTGCCAACTTAAAAGGCCGTGTTATTTGCACAAACAAGGATGGTGCCTTAAAGGGACAGACCTGCTATGTAAGGTACTTAAGCTGAGTATGCAGTGTTATGGACAAATTCTTTAGGATTCATTTGAGAGATATAAAACTTTTCCACGATGTATAATTTCTGAGTTTGAGTGCATAGTCCACGTTCAAAAGTTTGAATTTGAGTGGGCAAGTTTTCAGAATCGTTTTTTTAATCATTAAATAACGACGACGAATAAAAAAGTAAAAATTATGCAGTAAACTAATTAGATGGTTAGGAATGTATTTCTTAAAAGAAATTTGTCAATAAATTAATGCGAGAATCAATTATTTCGTTTTCATCATCATATTGAATTTCTTATTTTCGATGAATTTATTCGCAGATTTCTACAAATTCTTCCAATGTCGTCTTTTCAATAATAATTTCAGAAAATCTGCAGAAAATCTTTGTGCATAATGAGAATCTAGAATAATGAGAAAATAGGAACTAATAATTGAATAAGATTACTTTTTTTCGATTTTTCGATTAATTTTTATTTTCTCAACCGGTTCCTAAACAACTAATTAGTTTACCGTTGAATTTTGTTTACATTTTTTGTCGTCGTTATTTAATAATAAAAAAAATTTTTGAAAACGTATCCACCCGACAGTACGATTTTGAACGTCGACTCTGCGCTCAAACTCAGGATTTATAGATCTTTAAAAAGTTTTATATGTCTCAAATGAATCCTAAAGAATTTGTCCACACCATTGCATACATAGCAGGTCGAGTCCCTTTAAACATATTTAAAAGTTCCGACTTTAAAAAGAGTAGGGTATAGATCGCTATTGACAATTTTTTCAAAAAAAAGAATTTCTAAATTTTATTTTGGGGGGGGGGGGCATTTCCCTTAAATGCATGAAAATATTAAATTTTAAGTTTTCGTATTTTGACATTTATTATCGTTGTAAATACACATAATTTTAGTTGTTGTATACTCTAAGAAACGTATTTTGATTAAAGCTTGTCAATGTTTTTTTTCGATAAAATTTTGCGAATATTCTAGAAAGTTAGGCTCACTTCAAATGTTAAATCTTTTCTAACAGTGTATTCAATAACGTTAGATAATTCTACGTAAAAAATTGCTAATTTTGTAAATTTAAATTAAGACTAAAAACTTTTTAAAATACTACCTGAAATAATTTTGCCTCCAGAGGCCAGTATTTTCAGATACAAATTCACACCAACCATTCAGTTTATCCCTATATATAAATTAATCAAGTTATCATTTAAAGATGTCAGCATTTCTCATTGCTATATTAAACTGAACCTTGCTGGAGAATAAAATGTTTCTACAGTTGCTCTTTTTGTACTTGTACATTTTAACAAAACTTGAAATGGCTCTATAAGAAATAAATCTAAAACTTGTTTTTACTAAAATTGATAATTAACCTTTGTAAGTGAAATAACATTAATATGCCTAATTTAACAATTCCTTTACTCAGTGTGTGTAGTGTGTCCAGACGAAATTGATGCTTCTGATCTACGTAGACGGACTTTATCTGGTCTACCAAACAGAATTTATTCGGTCTATGTAGATGGAATTTATCTGGTCTACATAGACTGACTTTATCTGGTCTACTCAAACAGAATTTATCGGGTCTACGTAGATGGACTTTATCTGGACTACGGAGATGGACTTTATCTGGACCACATAGATGGACTTTATCTGGTCTACATAGACTGACTTTATCTGGTCTACTCAAACAAAATTTATCCGGTTTGTGTAGATGGACTTTATCTGGACTGCATAGACAGACTTTATCTGCGGTATACATATACAGACTTTATCTGGTCTACTCAAACAGAATTTATCCAGTCTACAAAGACGGACTTTATCTGGTCTACATAGACAGACTTTATCTGGTATACTCAAACAGAAAGTATCCGGACAACATAGATGGACTTTAGCTAGTCTACATTGACAGACTTTATCTGGTCTACATAGACAGACTTTATCTAGTCTACATAGACAAACTTTATCTGGTCCAAAGAATTATAATGTAAAGATAGTTATTTCAGAGATACCAGCATCTTTTATACCACAGTGTACTGTCTCTGGGTGGTAAAGTAAACACAAGACGGATGTCACAGCCTGACATGGGATCCATCTTTTACATAAAAAATCAAAGAAATATTCTGGTCAGAGGAAACTATTATGTAAATTATCAAAATTATCAAAACTGAATGCTATTATCTCCTTGGATACTAAAGTAACACTGATGTCAGGCCCGCCCACAGCAAAACACATTAAAGAAAAATATAGAAAACTTTGTTACAAGCATTTTTTTTTCTTTCAAATATAAAAATAATGGAAAAGACGTGTCTAATGCTCACACGTCTGTTAAAGGCCCAATTATTTTTTAAGACCGTAATAATAAGAAGATGAATGGAGGTTTACCTCTTATAATCTCCTGTGATCATATCCCCATTTAAATATTCCAAAACGCCCACTCCCTCTCTACATCCATGAAATAATCTTCCTAAAAAATTATCATATATAGTTCAGTTATCTTATCTAACAACCCTTTATCTGTTGGGAATAGTGTCAAATTAAAGTCAGTGTTCTATGAATACTGCATTGACATATCAAACAGTTTGAGCCATAATTGAGAATTTTGTCTGAGTTAGTTTAGATTATTTACCTAATGATCAAGCATGAAATTTCAAAAGTTTTTAAAAGTTTCAAACCTTGATAAACCACAATATCTTCTGGATTGATGATAAGATAAAGGTTTTAGGAGGATATCTATATATAAATTTGGCTTGTTTGTCTGGGTGTCTGTTTGTCTGTTTGTTTGTTTGTATCCAATAAACGTTAAAACGGCTGAACCGATCGGGCCCAAATTTTTTGTGGGACATCTAGGGACCCCAGGGAAGGTTTATGAAAAATCAAAATTTCAAATATTTGTCTCCATCAAAATTCAATCGTCATTAAAATTTTAAAAATTTTGAAAATCCGCGAAATTTGTTGTGAAAATTTGCGAATTATTTTTGTTTTGTTTTACGATGTACACAAAGAGAACATGTTCACAACTAATTTAGAAAGATGGGCGCGAAGCGCCCTCTAAGGCTAGAAAGAAGGGCGCGAAGCGCCTTGAATTTCTAATTTTGTAAATTGGCCAATATTGCCAACAATTTGCATGGAGCGTCACATAAAATTACGATTATCCCTCCTTTGAATATGTATTTACTTACTTCTTTTATATTTGTTACCTGTAAATTTGGATCCATTGGAGTAAAAGATTTCCCCCTGTCCATGCAATCTGCCCTGTTTATAGAAATTACTACAACATTTTGATAGAAACACATTTTTATATTTTACAAAGATAATATTAGGGGTGGGTCAAAAGAGTTGGCTGGTTGAATTTGGGCCCCTATGGTTTACAAAATTACTTTTGGCTCATGAAAACTTTTCTTCTTTGTTTACTATATGATATATGTATAAATAGTCTCTGAGGTTCAAGGAGTTTAGCCATATCACTTCCAAAAAAATCCACTTTTGACCAAACAACATGTTGAAGATTGTCTTGATTTCTGCAAAAGATTGATTCACCAGATCACTGAGGACTCAAAACAAGTTTTTCTTCTGAAAAATATTCTTTTAAACTGTTCCAACCTCAAAAATTTATTATTTGGCCCCCTTCTGTTATTGATGTTCCAGTATGTTCCAGTTCCAAATTTCCACCCTTTGTAAGGGTGTGAGGGGCATGATCTTTCCTGTCCTCACACCCCACATAGTTCTTAATGAAAGAAATTGACGAGACATATTACTGTACTAACATCCTGGAGACAAACGTTTTCTAATTATTGATTGCATGCAGAGGTTCCAAATGCAACTTGTGTTTGTCTTCTCACTGCGCTCAGAAGGCGGTGGCTGCTTCAAGAAAGAAAATTTCACTTCTTGACCAATGGTATATGATATAGGCAATAATAAAGGACAAATGCCAAGCTTTAATGTTTTTTAAATATGAAAATAATTTTATTTTAAAACACTGGACAGCCTTTACTAACCCGCCAATTCTTTTGATCCACTATATATATAAAGATGAAATACCCCACTTAGACGAGAGGGCATGCATTCTCACCAGTACTATACGGAGTAGCTCTAGACTTTCTCCTTTTCGTTCTAAGAGGGTCAGGTGCTACTCTGGATAGCTCTGGTAAAAATGCAAACATATTTATCTGAATGGGGTACCAAGATGACTTAGTTTGCCATTAACCTGTTTATCCTTTGGACAATTAGATTTTAAAATGCTTGGTTTGAGCTCTTTTCTCTTTTCTATAGGAATATCCTCGTCTGATTGAATATCCATCAGAATACTGCTTTCTACACATGTTTATCAGTTATTAATAATTAGTATTACCCAGTCCCAGTGCTATTTTTTAACATGTGTTAATCAGCTATAAATTAACCCTATCCTGATTGGGCTATTTATATCTAATATTGATAGTGGGGGGATTCCACCCCCTCCCTTTAAATGTGTCCTCAATGTTGAGTATAGGGAAGTGTGATACATGTCCTTACTCCAACTGTTCAAGGCCTGCTCATTAAAAAAATTAAACCTCTATATTTAACAGTGATAAAGAGAGGCTTTAAAAATTGTTTAACCCTTGTAGCACCTAAACTCTTAAAGTTATTGGCTTTATTTTTTTCAATGAGCTGGCCTTCAAAAGTTGTGTTAATAATACGCATTTCAACGCTATACCCAATCTCCAAAGCCTTTTTTTAGGGGGGGGGGGGGGCGTGAAATGGCGTGGGATGCTCCCCTCTCCTCTCCGCTATCAGACCCCTCAGCCAAACTTATAAGTTACTACAATTTACATCCAGTCAAATTTAATTAGTAAAATTAGTCAAATTCAATTTTAATTAAATTTTTATTTTGAACTATATATTTTCTGTTATATTTGATATTTGATTTTAATATCATATCATGTTCAATTTGTTTAATATTAAATTTAGCCCAATATTTTAGAAGATTTTTAGCTTTTGTATCAAAAATATAGAGTCAAACTTTTAAAACTAAAGCATTTGTAAGAGCTATTTCTTATTATTAAATAAATTCTATCCAAAGTTTGTACTTAATTAAATGAAATTACTGCGCAATTTTACAAAACTTTTCCATTGCTTTTCTAAAGAAATAACTAACATTTTGTGTTCAAGTTTAAAATGTTCAATTCAACCTGCTTTTTATTTCATATTCTGCAGGGTGAAATATGACAGCTAAGAGTTGACTTGAAGATTGTCTTTCATAAAATTTACGACACTGTTGAACATAAACCTATATCAAACTGTATCCAAGCGTAATGTTGTCTTCCTACTCTTCACCATGTATTGGGTCTAGTTATAAAATAGAAAGCGTACTCCAACCTACCTCTGTTACAGACAGAGTCAACAATACTCTCCATTTTGAACAATAAACGTTTTACTTGTCAAATAATTAAAAGACACAATCTGTGAATAATTCTTCAATCAGTAGCAATTTTTCATTGAAACAAGCAGGGTTTTTATTTTCAGAAGTAACAACCAAATGTTTTAAACGGACCAGATTACATCCCTCTGAGATTAAACCACTTCTTGATCATGCCAGACACACCCTACTAGTAAGTTACGAAGTTTTATTATCAATTTTTTTTTAATACTAAGACTGTATTTTGTATATTTGAAATATATTCATATTTGCAATTACAAATTTGTTGCAACAAGGAGTGATTCGTGTCAACAGACATTTATTTGTTAAGGTAATTTCAGAAATAAAGTTCTTGGAAGAATTCTGACATAATACAGCCCTGGTATTTCCAAGATAATTGTCATTCTTTCTTGAACTATGAAGATTTAAAAAAATTCATTCAAATTTCAATTATTTCAAAGGTTAAGGGACGATGTTCAAGTTATCTCTCAACTGCCATATTTTGTGGGACACCCTTTATGTAGTATTTAATTTTAAATTTTATGTAATATATTTCTAATTAAGTTCTTAATAATAAATAATAATTTCAGCATGTTATGATGATCATGTCATTGCCATGCCAATTTCTTTTTGCTTATTTGTGCAACTTTTAAAATAGTCATGAAGTTTTGCAATGTACAAAGTGTCTTGTTTTCACTATATTTTGCAATTATTTTACTTAAAACAATTATTTGAAATTCAGATTCTTTTCAAACATGTTCAGTTTTACTGAATCTTTCTTACCTTTGTCAAGTAAATCTTGAAACAAAGCTTCTAATCTGGAACTACTTTCCATACATTCTCTTGGCAAAGGAAATCTGAACGTACAATTTTTTTTGACAATATATTTGTTCATAATAGAGAAGGATAATATAGCTTTTGGGGTTTGAGTAAAATACCAGGGTTTAGAGTAAAATCCAAGAGTTTGGAATAAAATCCAAGAAGAAAAATCAAGACTGATCTTCCACCCTACCCTCGTTCAAGAATGATCTGCCACCCTCCCTCGTTAAAGCATGATTTAGAGAGTGAAGGGCTACCACTTATTGAGTAAAATAACCAGACATTCTATTCACCTTATTTCCGATGATGACCAAGGACTCTGTAGCTTTTTACAAGGAAAATCAGGAACAACCTCCTGAACAGAAGTGCAACAATAAAAATTTAAAATTATTTCTGTATCGTTTGAGGATATAAGAAACTGTAAGTGGATTTTTCAGATTGGAAGCCTATACGTTCAGCAGAACAAATGCAAAATACATAGAAAATACCTCAATAGCATATTCTTCGTACACCCATTCTTCTGAATTGTCTAAAATATTTCACATTTTTCACAAAAAAATAAGCTATCAAAAACAGTGTAAACTATGATCTTTAGGAAATGAAAGAAAGAAAAGACATATAAATCCGATAAGAGAAATCATCAGAAATCCGCGCAAAAGTTCATTAATAGGACAATGATTTCAGCATAAAAATTTAGGGTTAATATAAAAATATTCAAAGAAAATCTAAACAATAAAGTTTAAAATAAAATTGCTCACTGTGTATTTTCTTCAAATTTTCAAGAAAACGAAAATAGAAAGATTTGACGAACATCTAAGTTGTACATTGAACAACAAAGGGTCTCTGGAAACATGACAGCTTAGAGACGAAATTAGCTCGTCTTTCAAATTTAGAAAAAATTTGCGGCATTCATTAATTAATCTATTTTACATTTGCATAAAAATAAAAAACTTTGAATTGAAGGTTTGTGATGTTCACACATGTTACAAATTAGAATCCAGAATGCATTTTGAAACACATTGAACATTTTCCCTAAAAAACTAGAATTAACTGCTTAATTCCTTTAAGATTCTGTTTCGTTATTTTTAAAATTGGAGAAAGGTGATGGTTTTCAGATTATTTGATTTATTATATATCCAATAAACTGTTTCCCGCATTTCTATTTTTATTTCAATTTTTCAAAAACAATTAAATATTAATATTATGATTTTTAATAGTTATAACAAAACATCCTATTTGCTTTACATTTTTATTGTGCCCTTGCCTTTTATTAACCTGATTAAAAAGCTTTGTATTGTGCGCTTAATGGTATAAATATATATCTGCAAATATATTTGTAAAATATCGTTAATTCATATGTGTGAAATGTCCAAAAAGAACGTTTTGTATTTTGTGCTCAAAGTGTGAATTTGATGCAGTTAAGAACAGCTCCCTCTGAAATGTAAGCAAAACTTCTTCACAAAGGAATTGATCTTTGATTTTGCATGATTATAACAATTTACTGATGATTTATTCTGGAAATCGAAGATTATACTTTTCCAAGGAGACGTTTAGCCCTAATAGCTGTAATACAGATGAGCATCATTTTTTTAAACGAGCAATCAATTTGAGATCGAACGAAATTTTTGTTAAAAAAAGTGTCGTTCAGAAAATAACAAGCGATGGACGACCAAAATGGATAGTTCAGAGAAAAACAAATATAGTTTTTTTGAAAACAAACGAAAACAAGATTTAAATCGATCAAACAAAATCAAACAAAATAGATGTAAAATGAACGACATTTTTGAGAAAGAACAAAATCAATTATTTATTCAAATGTATAAACCCGGTTAAAATAAAAGTAGTTAATTAGTGAATATTTCCTGACTGATATTCTTCATCGTTTAGATACTCCCAACACTCATCTTCCTCACTTCCACATACATTAGAACTACAATATGGCATGTATGCAAAATCTGAATATATACATTTATATGTATATATATATTAGCACTCATCTTCTTGACTTCCACATACATTAGAACTACAATATGGCATGTATGCAAAATCTGAATATTTACATTTATATGTATATATATATTAACACTCATCTTCTTGACTTCCACATACATTAGAACAACAACATGGCATGTATGCAAAATCTGAATATTTACATTTATATGTATATATGTATATATTTTTTTTTTTAAATGTTGCACATATGAAAATGATTTAGGGCATCCTTCCATGTGTTTAGCCATATTTTTTTGGGTCATTTATTGATTGGATTTCTAACCTTGACACGGAGAAAAATCTGCTCCTGTTGTTTGTAGTGTTGACGCAATCATCAAAAAATACCAATGTAGTTTCGATGGAGCAGTAACTAAAATTCTTCTAAAACATATTTGCATGTCAGTTAGGTCAAATTTGTATATTTAAAATTGAAAAAAAAGCTTTTGATTTGATTCAAACAAAGTTGCAAATTTTTTTGCAGATTCTAAAAGTAGAGCACAAGAGCTTTCTAATGATGTATCATTTATCATATTTGGACATAAAACATGGGATTTAGAGGGGGGGGTCAAATTGACCCCCCCCCCAGCATATCCTGGTTTTCAAGTACCCCAGCAGGGATAGGGTTAAACTTACATATTTCTTTTTGTTTGTTAAATAATTTCTTAACAATTCGTTGGTGATACCTCTAAAACCATAATGATTCAGCTTTCCTAAAAGCATATCAAAGTCAACAGTACCAAAGGCTTTTTTTAGATCTAAAAATACTCCTACGTTTATTCAGATTCATCCTTTTTCCAGACCTTGATAAATCTTATCTCAGAATTGTAAAAGTGGATGCGAGGTGTCATGTTTAAGGGTCTAAATCCATATTGGTGAGAATAAAAGATATTATATTTATCTATAAATCTGAATATTTGACGAGAAACCAGCTTTTCCAATAACTTTGAAAATGAAGAAAGTAAACTGATAGGCCACATTAAATATTAAAATGCAGTTTTACCTGATCTAATGCAGATACTGAAGTGGTTACACGGACAAGGTAGAAAGTGTCTAAAAAAGTTCTTTTATTCTTAATAATGAAAGAACTAAGAGTAATTTCAAGTGACCCACTATGCAAATTCATAGCCTTCTCTGATCTAGTATGAATTATTAGTTATTAATGTTTCTAATTATAAAGTCAATTATTTTTAATGGTGGTGTCTCTACTTTAGAAAAATTTACAGGAATTATCAAAATTAAACTAGGGCTGGGCCCCTCCTCCATCTTCACAAAAAACATTACTCGGCCGAGAAATTATCTAAGCTTATCCTTATAATTATAAATTTAAAACATATAATTCAAAGTATATTTTCGACCGTAAGAAACTTTTTATTATAAAATCGTAATTTTTAATTTTTTTATCAACCTCTTTTCTACAAAACATTTGTCTTGGACACCTCTACAGTAATCGGGGGGATTACTGTAGAGGTGTCCAAGCCAAAAGTTTTGTAGTAAAGCGGTTGATTAAAACTTTAAAATTACCATTTTAAATCCTCCTATCTTCTTAACTAAGAACGGAACTGGGGTGATGGAATCGTTATTCGACTAAGAACACCAAGAACGGAATGGGATGACCGTTCATTGACTAAGAACTGAAGCGAACGGAACAAGAACTGAACGATTGGAAAAAAGGAACAAGAACGAAACAATCTAGCTGAAGGCCCTCGTTCTAGAACAGAATAGAACGATTTTTAAAAGTGGGAACGTGTCCAGCCATAGATTAAACACAATTCAACTTGGATAAAAAAACATAAACAACAGTATCTTTCACATTAATGAACAGATAAAGTATTCATGGGTATCATTGAAAATCAGGCATTGCCATTTTTGCATTAAGGATCACTTAAAGGGTTGCTTTGAAAATGGGTGCTGCAGCTTTTTCTGGAATGCGATATTTATATAAATGATGAAAGTCTACTGAAAGCACCTACCTACAGTGAGTACATCTGTAGAGCAGAGTAGAACGTGCAGTACGTTTGTATGGACTTGGTATGGAATTATGTGGTTAATGTTAGTTGCATTTTCACTGATGGAAAACTTAGTATCCCTAAAATATTGGGTGTGAAGAAAAATATTTCAAATGATGATTTTTTTTTTAAATTTTACCTTGATTCCCAGTGCTCTGAATAGGGTTAAAAATTAACAATAATGAAGTAATTTTTGAAAATGTTTTAAATTTTTCAAATTTGATTTATTTAATTTTAAAATTAATTTTAATTCCTTGAAATTTGATTTTCTCCGGTGCTATAAATTCGAATGAATCTGAACTAAGACAGAAATAACTAAATGTCATATACATACAAGGTGTCTCAATAAACAAGGGAATTCAGTGACGATTTTGACATCGTCAATATATATTATTATTTGATTTTGTATGGTAAGGCCTTCCAAAAAATGTTAAATCCATAGATATATTTCGTCGGCTAGAGTTAAGAATTTGTTTTGATTGTTTTTATTGTTTATAAAAATGAAATATCTTGCAGACATGTTACAGAACATCATAAATCGTTTCGCAAAATAATAAAACAGTCTTTTCACCGGTTGCATGAAATATTCTCTATCAGACGTAACTTTATTTTTACTGTTGATTCTTATCAACGATGATTTCCAAATTGTCTCTTAATTCCCATGTATATTGGGACACCCTGTATCTCTTTAAATATCATTAAAATGAAACGTCCACGGTGTATCAAATTTAAAAAGTAAAATATAAAATATGAAATTTAAGATAGTGTATATTTCTCAATTCCTAAAATAGCGCGGAAGATCATGTTCCTGAAAAACAAAGAAATTAAAGAACTTTCCAAAGAAAATCTTACAAATTTTATTTTGGATTTTAAATTTTTAAACATTCATGTTTGATGTTCAAATATTTAAATCTAAATCTCGTACTGCGACAATAAATTAAAAGTCTAAACTTGAAATAAAGGAACTGAGCGTAGTTTCATGAGACCAGCTATATATGCACTTTATGGTACACATGAAACTGACCAATAGTATGAAAAATGTTATCGTTATTCTAGGTTAAATTTTTATAATTCCTACATTTTTTCCTGCAATAGATAGGGGAAAGTCGCATTTTTAAAATGATTTTAAGGATATAGTTATAATCAGACGTTGCTATCATGCATAGATGCTCACTTGAAATTACGCTTACAGTCCCTTTAAGAGAAATAATTCCCAACCATATAGATTGTAGAATGCAATTAATTAAAACTTTAATATTACAAGTGCAAACTTTGTTTTATTTCTATTGAAAAACAATAATTTAAAGTTGAAATCTAGCAAAATTTTCAAGAAATAATATTTAGGTACTTCAAGCTGAATTATAAAAGAAAATATAGAAGCTGAATTATAAAAGAAAATGTACAAGCTAAATTATAAAAGAAAATATACAAGCTGAATTATAAAAGAAAATATAGAATCTGAATTATAAAAGAAAATATGGAAGCTGATTTATAAAAGAAAATGTACAAGCTAAATTTAAAAGAAAATTTACAAGCTGAATTATAAAAAAAAATATAGAATCTGAATTATAAAAGAAAATATAGAAGCTGAATTATAAAAGAAAATGTACAAGTTGAATTATAAAAGAAAATATACAAGCTGTATTATAAAAGAAAATGTACAAGCTGAATTATTAAAGAAAATGTACATCTGAATTATAAAAAAAATGTACAAGCTGAATTATAAAAGAAAATGTACAAGCTGTATTATAAAAGAAAACGTACAAGCTGAATTATAAAAGAAAATGTACAAGCTGAATTATAAAAAAAAATGTACAAGCTGAATTATAAAAGAAAATGTACAAACTGAATTATAAAAGAAAATGTACAAGCTGAATTATAAAAGAAAATGTAAAAGCTGAATTATAAAAGGAAATGTACCTGAAATGAAATACCAGATTTCGCTGGATTTGTATCTCGCAAACATCGTTGTTTTGCACGCTCAGCTTTTTTCTCAATATGTCGAAGACGAGGATTTATGAAAGATTTTTCTAACCATGTTTCAAGTCTTCTTTTTCTTTCAAACGCTCTTTCCTGAACAATCGTTTGTATTTCCAAGGTGAAAATTGAAGCTTCCGATGATATCGATCAGAAAAACCCAAACGATGGACGAACGACTCTGATTGTTCAGAAATAAAAAAAAACGCTTAAACATTTTTTTTCATTAACAACTCGAACAAATTGAAAAAAGGATGCTTTTTTCCTGAACGAATGATTTTTGGAACAAACTTTTTAAAAACAATATTTTTATAAACGGTTTTTGTGAACCAACTTTTGATAGAAAGATCGTTTTCTTTTAACAAAATGAACGATTTTATTAAATGAACAATCGTTGAGGGGCGTATACAGGAGTTTGTCCAGGGTGGCTTATTTTTTTCTTTTCAGGGGGGTCTGCTCACCCGTTGGGGCCTGAAAACCTTTTAAAAATAGATTTGACTGATTAAAGGAAGGAGCTGAGCAGTGAGCACCCATAACCCCCCCTCCCCTCCCCACCACTCTGTGTGTACACCTCTAGTGACCTACCCGCAGGAAATATTCAAGATTTGATGGAGTTTGACACATTCCCCGTCAACTATATTTTTACTTCAACAATTTTAGCAAATGTTCATTTGTGTCTCTAAATCAAATTATCAATTAAAAAATCAAATACTTTTGTATTTTTCATAAAAAGATTTATTTCTACTTTCTAAAAATGGATTTATCTTTTACTGAATTGAAGACTATAGCGCAATAATGAAGATTTTAGGGTAAAGCTTGAATAGGGTTCGTTAGAGGAGAGATAATCACTAGTAAAGGGGCTGTACGCGTAATTTCAAGTGGCTTTCCATTTAAAGAGGAGTTTTCCATATTCACATTATTTACATTAGAATTTTTGTAAATCGCGTTGGACCTACATTAAAATCTTGGTTTTTCAGGAACAACACAGAGAGCGTGCACTCCAATTCCAACTGAATTCCTCTCTTCTCGAAATTTAGTTAAACGTTTAAATGAAAGGTCACTATAGAGATTTTGCTTACAGTCCCTTTACGAGTTCATTAACTATTAAGTTAAAATACTGTAAAGTTGGGTTAAAATAAAAGTAAGTTTCCATACATAGAATTATAAGAAAATCATTATCATTAAAACTTCATGAATATTTTGCAAACATTTTCTGCATTTAATTTAGCTATTCAACAAGCTATATATAATCACAAATGATGGGGACGATACGTGGGTGCCACACAAGGACACAAGCTTACTTTAGTGTCATGGTATTTAGCAAGGAGATATTGAATAGAAGGAGGGGGCGATAGGGTTTCCATACACTTTGCTGTGACGTTTTTGGACTGCTGAAGAACTAGTTTTTGCTAGAGTCTGACGCTAAAATATGCTAGAGTCTGACGCTATAATTTGCTAGAGTCTGACGCTAAAATATGCTAGAGTCTGACGCTATAATTTGCTAGAGACTGACGCTAAAGTATACTAGAGACTGACGCTAGACCAAGTGTGAAAGCAAGGTAGTACATTAATATGCTTACTAAGCATATAACGATAAAATACCCCTAAAAGATTTACGTATTACGTACCTACACATTTATATTAAAGGATGTCCCAAAAAAAACATTCAGTTAATGCCATTACCTTAACTCTTATTGTATTTTATTTTTAACAACGAAGTTAGAAATTATCTTTGAAAAATTTCCAAAACATTTTGTACAGGGTTACCCACAAAGGACGATAATTCAAAGACGACTGTACGGAATTTATCCCGTCTGTTGTCTATTATTTATGATTCCCTGCAACTGTAAACTTATTTCTTTCTTTGCTAGAACATAAAATAAGAGCCACATGTTAGAAATAGCAGGATAAGGGCTATTTTGTAATTATTGTTTCATAAAAAATATTGCTGAAATTAGGTTTCCTATGAAAAAACAACCAAAATGATTACAAAGATCACAGACGATCCTTTGTAGTCTTCAATCAGAGATAAGATAGCTACAGAGATCGATTAACACCTATAATATGCGATATTTTCCACAGCATGTTCTATTGTGTACAAGTACTGTACACAACCAATCAGGAGACATCTGTATTCAGGGATATTTAAGGATCCTTTGAATAGGAAACACAAAATCTTTAAAAATAGACAATATTCATCAACGTTATGATTTATGTTTAAAATTGGAGAATTTCTTTTAAAGTTGTAAAACTTAACCCCTGAATGCAACAAATGGCCGTGAGTTGTCAGTCAAAAAAAAAAACATTACATGGAACCGTAGCATGGCGTGTCGGGACACTAGAGGCCAGCTCAACCTATCCAGGTAGAGTGTATGAGCAGTCTGTGTAGCCTGTGTCTTCAATCAATTAATCTTATTCCGGTTTATCAAACGAGGTTATAGTGTATAGAGTGATGATGTACGCTAATCTTTTACTAGTTTTATAGGCCATAAACAATACCGATAGCGTACTGCATATTTGTTTATTATAAGTTGATTCTGGTCTAACCTATAGTATAACAATATTAGTAAACAGTTGTAAGTGTTCAGTACAGCTCTAAATGTGCACAGAGGGAGAGAACTATCATCCCCCCTGGGTTTATCATAAATAGGACAAAATATATTCTAAAAGCCCCCTAAAAGATGAAAACTGGTTCAGAACTGAGGCTCTTACATCAATCCTGAAAAGTGTTTAAAACGCATTTTTATGAAAGAAACCATGGTTTACAGTCGCAGAAAATTCTTAATATAAGGATAATCCCAATTCTGTAAAGTCATCTCTGAGTCTAATTCTGTGTGGGTAACCCTGTATTAAAGAGAACAAAACCCCAGTCTTACTACAACGACATTATAAATTTTCGTTAAAAATCTTTTCAATTTATTTTCAATTATAAAAATCATTAACTATGACTATAAAAAAAATGTTTCACAATTTTCGAGAACAAAATAATGTTGTGAATTTCATGAGGAATATTTAGTTTTATATTATTATTGTTATCTATGTTTAAACAAACAAATTCTAAGTTTGTGAATAGGTTAACTGAGTCATCAGTAATAAAATGTTTATATTCTTTATTGCTGTTATTATCATTCAGGTATAATTAACTTTGTGAAATTAAGTTAATTAATATTTACAATTTATTTCATTAATGTAAAAACTTCTTTTTCTGTAAACATTATCAAAGAGGTCGATTTTGAAAAGAAAGCATCAAATTTGTATACGGAGCATGAAAATCTGAATAAATCTGAAAGAAAGAAATCTGTAGAATTAAATCTAATAAGCAGGATTTAACTGTAAAAGGAATATTTATTTTTAAATCCGCTTGTTAAAAAATCGTCCAAAAAGTTGCAATTTAGTTATTTAAAGATTCATCTTAGGCCGCTGATAAGAAATCTTTTTTGTTTTGTTTTTCGTTATTTCTAATATTGTTGGAGGTGAGGTTCAAACACGGTTTTGTTTGCCTACTTTCTACATTGTGGGATTTACCAGATTAGTTTTGTTAATTGCAGTTATACTGCATTAATGCAAAAGCCATAAATAATCTTTTTCGATAAAAAAAATACAGGGTGTCCCACGAAACATGACAGTTGGTGAATAGTTTTGAATGTCTTCTTTCATATACTGTATTAGACATTGAAGACTTTTTGTAAAGTTTATTTAGTTAAAAAGTCTTTTACTCTATTATAAAACTGGCATATACTATTTTTTTATTAGTCTCTTTTTAGTATCAAACAATCATGGAAGAAGACATTTCAAACCATGTCATGTTTAGTGGGACACCCTGTATTTCAGAAATCAGCAATTTTAAAAGAAACATAATGCATAGATTGCTATTTATATTTTGATTGTTTTATACAATCAGAAAATTTTCGAAAAAAATCTGAGTGTAACTGTAAGGTTATCTTTAAAAAATTTGTCGAAACAGGAGAGGGCGGTACATTGATACCAGAAAATAATTGAATATGAAGACCACATTGATACTTGTAACTTAATTAAGTCTAATGAGTCTGTTAACGCTGCTGAATTGCTTTGTCTAAAATACATTGGAATACTTCAAGACATACTTTTTGTGGTCTTCCTACGTCAGAGTTGTCTGTTTATCACTGTATGAAAAGTATTGGTAAATGTTTACATATCTATTTCTAAAAAGGTTTGGGCCGATGAGCCTAGCTGGAATAGAGATAAAGGAGTATTTTGTCCGGACTGCTCAAAACTGAGGTATCTTTTTAAATAAAATAGTAAGCTCGGTTTGCTTGTTTGTATGTCCGATCCTAACTCATGAACCCCTGGACTGATTTGACTCCGAATTTGATTGTGGAACTCGGGAGAACTACGGGAATGTTCTTAGCTTGGTTTTGAGATTCTAGGTTGAGTGAATCGAATTGAGAAAAATTGCTAAAATCCTAACTTTAGACCAAGCGCGGGTAAACTGCGGGAGTAACTCTGAATACCTTGGCAACGCCGGGTTCCCACGCTAGTATTTAATATATATGAATCTCAATAATTGCAGGTCAGTCAATCAATACAGCAAGGGGGGTACTCAGGGGGAGCTATTAGAACTTAGCCCCCTCCCCCCCCCCAAATCTATGGTTTCCAAATTCCAATAGGGTTTAAGGTCCCGACGGGTGAGCCGACCCCTCCCCTGGAAAGAAAAAAATTAAACCCCCTTAAAAAAAATTCCTGCGTAAGCCCCTGGCAGTTATCTGAAAGGCTAGATGACTGTTATTTTGGAGTCGCACACTCCTGCATGCCGAGTCCATCAGCGCTTGATCAAATCCGGGTTCAGACATGTTTTTGATGTCTATTATATAGAAATAGTTTGCGGTAACATCTATCTTTCTATGTATCTCATTATCCAATTATTGTTATGAATCCTTCAATCGGCGCTATCAGTAAATGGGAATATTTATTTCTACTGAAATTATGAGGCGCATATCATTTAAAACAACACTGCTTTTTTAAGGAGCTTGGAGTTTAAGTAAACTTTTGTCAATTTTTTAATCATAATTTTAGTCTAAACCCTAGTTTTCAACAGGTGTACAGAACTAGAGGAAACAGAGTGTCCCAAAGGAACTGTTTTAACTGAAAATGTTCTGTTTGGTTGCTGCCCTGCATGTGTAAAGTAAGTATTATTGTTTTGAAAGAATTATGAATTACATACAGGGTGTCCCACGAAACATGACAGTTGGTGACTGGTTTAAAATGTATTCTTCCATAGTTTTTCAAGCTGTTTGATACTAAAGAGAATAGTAAAACATATTATATGCATTCATAAAATAGTAAATTTGATTTCAAAGTAAAACATATTTGAGTAAAAAAATCTTTTTAACGAAATAAACCGCGAAAAGTCTTCAATACATAATACACAGTATATGGAAGAAGACATATATCAAATAAAAGATAAAAACTCCGTTGCTTCTGAAAAGTGAAGGCTCTTCGAAATAGACCTGGTCAAATCTCTGATGATTATGGTGAGAGCCATTAATGTTACGTGGCCTAACCCAACTCTATATAATATGTCAACTTTTCAATTTAAGACCAAAAACCTTTCATTAGATGGTATTAACATATAATTGAAGGTTCTTAGTATTTAAAAAGGTCTATTTAGAAATGTACTAAAAATTTATATAATTGTATTAAATTCTTCCTTTTTACAATAATGATACTTTTGAATCAACCATATCTAAATGTTTTTTACAGTTTTCGTTGTCGTCACATATATCAATACAATGAAGACGACTTTTGATTTCAACTTTTGATTTCTACCATGTTTTTAAACACATGTAACATGTAGAAAAATAGAAACTGTCGATTTACAGCTTATCTTTCTTTACTTGTAAACTTGTAATCTGAAAAAAAGCTTATTAGAAATCAAAACTCAAATAGAAAAGTCGTCTTTATTGTATTGATATATACGTCAACCACTGTACTTCAATATATTGGTTCAAATTCACTTCAAAAATAGATTTTCTGAAAAATATATTAGAATTTTCTGCCAGGTTTATAGAGTACGGAAAACCCTGTCCTGGAGCATATTATGAAAATTCGGACCCTATTTTGGTAAATATTTAAAGGATTTGATATTTTATAAATCTGCTGATTTTTTCTAAATCTATTGATTTTTTCAAAATCTACTAATTATTACTTAATCTATTGATTTTTCTAACTCTATTGATTTTTTCTAAATCTACTAATTATTACTTAATCTATTGATTTTTCTAACTCTATTGATTTTCTCCAAGTCTACATTATTTCTTAGTCTATTTAGAATTTTCTAAATATATAATGATTGTTCTTAATCTATTGATTTTTTTCTACATATTTAGTATAAAAAATATTTAAGAGGTACGGAAATTACAGTTCAAAAAATTATCACTGTTATCCAAATGAATTCATCAGGTAAAATTTCTAGCTTTAGCACGGGTCTCAAATTTTTGCGGATTAATATGTCTAAATTATGTCAGTTTCCAGAAAAAATATCAAGATTTTTTAGTTTATATATATATATATATATATATATATACATTTAGATTAAATATGGCAATTTTTCCAGAGCAACTGTTGATCTTCCGTGTTCCAAGATACAGATTTTTAATCATACCGCCAAACTCATTGAGTTGCCAGAACGAGTTTTTTCTGCGGATTGGGTCAAATCAGTAAGGTGAGCGCAAAAAATTTGCAAAACAATATCAATCAGCGAAAGTGTACACAGGAAGGGTGGGAAGTGTGATTAGTGATTCTTCAAAATAATCATTTTCAGGGAAATTAAAATAAACTAGCCTTGAAGTGCCTTCCGTTGCCTGCGGAATTTTAAAAATCAAAAAAGAAAAATTTTGATTTTTGAAAGAAAAAAAAATCGTATTTTTATAGGAAAAAAAATCAATTTTTGAGAGCCTATGTCACCCCTAGGCTTCCAATGAGTGTCCACACAAAAATCAGCCCATTCGGTCCAGCCGTTTTTGCCGGCAATAGGGAACAAATTTCTTGTTTTATTATTTAGATGGTATTTTTCACCTGTTTTAGAATTTTTTTATCTCTTTGTAACTCAAATACCCACCCAAAAAATCCAACGAAAAAGTCGATTCCTTTTTAGTCCTATCTGCAATAAAATAACGCTATTAATTTTACTGCTTTAATGTTTTGCCAAAGAAAAAGTATGCACAAGAGGATACTGATCACAATTTTTGTACTCACCCTGTACTGTACATACAGTGATAACCAGAAATCTCTGGATCTGGAGGCTGACTTTTAGACACAATTTGTAACTTTAAATAGTCCAATTGTGCAGAGTAGATAATCCCTTTTACTTATTAAGTCATTTAATTTACCAGTAAGTTTTATTAAGTTACCAGTAAAACTATTTGCTTTAAAAGTACATCATATACACCACAGTATTGCTTCTTGGTTCTGGTTCTCACTGTAAATCAAATAAATCCGAGGTGTGAAGAATTAGTTTAGCTAAAATTTCATCATAGCAGTCTCAGTCCTAAGATAAATTTGGATCGCCTACAACAGGTTCAAATTTGAATTACCGATTCACATCCTTCCTTTAATCTTTGACTTTGATTCAGTGGTTCAAATTTAAACCGGAATTAGGTAGAAGGTACTCTTCAAATGTTCCCATTAAACGTTGCCAAAACAAAGTAGAAAAGCTATATGATTTTCATTTTAAAACATTTTTATCAACTTCATGCGTGATTAAATTTTTTAACTAATTTAATTAATTATTGAATAAAATTAATAAATTTCTTTAATTCATTCAATAATTTTTTTAAATCAATTCAATAAATTTTTGTGATTAATTGAATAAATCTTTTTTAATCAATTCAATACAATTTTTTATTTAAATGGTGATTTAATATTGGTATACATATAATATGGAAATGCATAGTTTTTTATATATATATTTAATTCTCAAATTAAAAGCCCTCACAGTGCAGTGAGTACCCAAAACAAAAGTTCCCAGCTAAAAAAAATATGGTGAACTTTCAAGAAATAAATAAAAAAGCCAAGACTTTTTATTTTAGCGAAACTTTCTCACAACAACACAAGCCGTAGATGTTAAATACGTGTGATCTTATTGTTTACAGTTGAATATTTTAGTGATCAATTAAAGAACATTCCAGTAATTTCATCAGCAAGATGTAGTCCAAACCTAAGGTACCATTATTCTAATCATTTTATCAATAATACAGTAAAACCCAGAAAACTGTAAAATTGAAAGACGACATTAAAGCAATACTAAAAATGCTTCAAAGCTTTAGTTTTACTATACACATGTCAAATCACTTATTTTATGATGGGTCTGTAAACACTGCACAATTTCTGTGTCTAATGTTTATTTGACTATTCAAAGTCAAAACTTGAGTCAAAAAGACTTCAATTCTTCAGAGTTTTCTGGTTCTTAATTTATTATAAATAAAATTCTAGAGAGGCCTTACATTTAACTTTTTTGAACTGAAAAAAAGTTCTGATCCGACACTTAATTAAGCTTACAATCTTTCATGCTTTTATCATTCATAACTCCTTCTACTGATGAGCTTTTGATAACAAACAAAAAGATTTGTCTCTTCGAAATTCAAAATTGTTTAAAATTGTTTAAGATGCAGAAAAGGAAAAAAGTTCAGAGGTAAAAGAAAAACAACAAAAGTAAATAAAATATGCAAATAAGTTCTTTCTTTAAATTGTACTTGTTATTTAGATGCCTGGATGATAAAGATGATAAACATGACTTCCCTGTGTGTTTGGGTCCTGTAGGTGAAAATTCAATTTCTTCAGATCTGATTCCTTTTAACCAGCTTCCGTGTACATATAGAAGATCGGATTTCAGGTTTAATTTATTATTTCTAAGCTATCAGGACGCTTTGCGGTCGCTTGCTATTCAACATTTAATTGTTACACAATCTTTCACACAAAATATAAACACAAATAAACACACAAAATATAAACGTAATAAAATGGTACACAAAATGAAATGTTTTGTTTAGATATAGAAATTATATTAAAAAAATTGATATTGAATGTTTATTGTGTTTCATTCTTTATAAGTGCATGCTTTTCATATAGTAAGTTTTTAAGTAATTCAAATCTTTTAGTAATATATCCAATGCACTTTTATAGTGGACTTGATATCCACCACTAGCATTCTCGTTGATTCTAGTAGACTTGACTTAGTAATATATCCAATGCACTTTTATAGTGGACTTGATATCCACCACTAGCATTCTCGTTGATTCTAGTAGACTTGACATCCATCATTAGCATTCTCGATGATTCCAGTAGACTTGACACCCACATTAGCATTCTCGTTGATTCTAGTAGACTTGACACCCACCATTAGCATTCTCGTTGATTCTAGTAGACTTGACCTCCAACATTAGCATTCTCGTGGATTCTTGTAGACTTGACCTCCATCATTAGCATTCTCGTGGATTCCAGTATTCTTGGCATCCATCATTAGCATTCTCGTTGATTCTAGTAGACTTGACATTCATCATTAGCATTTTTGTTGATTCTAGTAGACTTGACACCCACCATTAGCAAATGGTGGGTGTCATTCTCATTTACTCGTTAAGAGTTTACATCCATTTATTAGTTGTGTTAATTCTTTTTTGAAACACATCAAGAAACACATCAACACAATATACAGCTGGCGAGTAACAATAAGTTGGATTATCGATGTGTTGGACAAAATGTTAAAAATTTAATTTGTTTTCAATTTTAGGCATAAAAATATAAAAGGTAAAAATTTAAAAATATTTACATTTACTGTAGATTTCAACTTCGATTTTTTGCGGATTTTTTAACTCGGTCTGTATTTTAAGTGCTTTTAATGAGGCACAAGACTGTTCGGTGAGATATTGGCAACCAGACTGCAAATACTACCTAGGTAAATAAAATTTATGTTTGATCAATAAAGATATAAGAATTTGTTTTGAAATTGTAAGCGTATTTTTAAGTGAACATTTATGCCAAGATGGCATTTACAACGGTACCATAAAAAGCTTTGTCTGATTAAGTATTGGATATCAATGTTTATAATTTGATATACAGAGTATTTTTAAATGTGGTTTTCTAAAGAAGGTACTTGCCCAATTCTTATGCAGTAGAACTAGGAACTATTAGAATTTAACTTTTTGAACAAAAGACAACATCTTCGATTCGAGCATTGGCAACTTTGTAGGGAGGGTCATGTAAAATCACGCTAACAATCCCTTTAACATTGACATAATACCAACAACTTTAGGTATATTTGCTGCAGTACAAACTAAATCAGATGATTCGGTATATTGGTGCTCTTCTCCCACGGGTAAACAAATCAGCTTACAGTTAGTGCTGGGCGTTTTCCGATCAATTGTGTTCATTCATATGAAATATCGATCGTTCTCCAGAAACAACTTTCAGTAACGCTGTTATATTTATTAATTTTTATTTCTGAATTGTGAAATGAAAGGACCAAAAACTTGTATTTAGATAAGATCAGATATAGTTTATTGCTAATAATACACATACAAGTTATAATGTTACAGGCAAAAAATCTGCAAATATTTTTATATTTTTTACTATATTTATGTAATTATAGCAATTAGGTCATATTTTGTCATAAGAAAGGTCGTTAACGAAAGGTCGTCATTAACGGTTGTTAAAGAAGGGTCGTTGTTAGCGGTCATTAGCAAAAGGTAACTGTTAACAATCGCAAAAAAATTAAAAACAACCAACCTACCACCGAAATGACAAACTAAAACTAAAAAACGGTTAATTCAATTAATAAATTCAATACATATTTTTTTCAAAAATGACCGTTTTGTTTTCCGTTTTTTCTTCTTCGTTTTTAGAACAAAACGATCGTTTATCAAAAGAGTGAAAACGATCCATTCCTAGATATTACCCCTTATTAACTCATTTGATAGCTTTATCTAACTTTAGGCGAGCATTTGTTTGGAAGAGAGGACGCTTCAACAACGTCTCCTGAAATTAACTGCAAATGCTCAAGGAGATTTTTTAGAATGATAATCTTTTTTAATGAATATATTCCAAATTAATCCTAAAAGTAAAGAAAAATGGGCGTTTTCGCAATATTGTTTTTCCAATCGTTTAAACTCATTCATTTTTCATCTATTTCGTTTGGTTTTTAACTGAATGTTATTTATTTTAAATAAATTTTGTAGAAAGCACTGGGAGCTTAAGGTGTCCAAAAAGATTAAAATCAATGAATCTATCTCTGCAAGACAAGATGTGAGGTAATACATGAAACAAGACAGTTTATTAACAGTTTTAAATGTATTCTTCCATATGGTATATTAGATACTAACGACTTTTTGCAATTTATTTCGTTAAACAAATTTTAAGCTTAAATATTTTCTACTTTGAAATCAATTTATCCTTGTTGGACTGCCAAATAATATGTTTTATTATTCTTTTTTGGCCTGACAACAACAACTGATTAATTTATGGAAGAAGAAATTTTGAACTTGTTACCAATCATTAGGTTTTGTAGGACACCTTGTAGCTAATTTTTTAATTCCTTTGGAAGACTTTTTTAAAATTCATGATAAAAACATTAAAAAAAATTGAGAGTAAATTTTAATCATTCCCTATTCTATATCGTCTATTCCTTTTTAATTTTTTCTAGTATTTTTATTTTTAATGTATTTCTAATGATGCTGATCTCTTTTTTTGTGTAAAACTTTGTTGAGCTTTAACAGAATATCTGTTAAAGGGACTCTTAGTGTAATTACAAGTGACCCTCCATGCAAAGATGGCAATGTCCGATTAAGAACGGTACCCTTTAGACTATTAGTTTTATCAAGTATGAATAAATTATCAATATCTTAATTTTAAAAATTGATTATTTTTAATTGTCCGGGTTCTGACTTTTGCTTTTCTACGACAGGAATAATAATTATCAAATAGTAATTATTAGAAATAAACACTTTTATCCCTAGAACAACAACAATATTTTCCATATCATTGATTGAACTAAGTTTTAAAGGGTACCGTTGTGAATCGGACATTGCCGGCTTTACAAAGATTTTCACTTGAATTTACGGTTGCAGTTCCTTTAAGAACGTTCTTTTACTTGTTAAGCTTACACTGTGAGAAAAATGGAAACTATGAAGAGCTACAATGTGATAAACAAATGTGCTGGTGTATGAATCCAACAACAGGTGACATGATTACAAATTAATGTTGGTTTTTCCTATCTTCAAATCATTTTTTGCCGTTTTGAAATTTGAATTTTCTCAATGTTAGGGCTAGGTTAGCCGCGCCAATAATGTATTCGGATATTCGATTGATAACTTGGTTCCAGAATCAGACTCAACTGATTTGCAGATTTTATAATCCTCTTTCATACTCTATAAAAACAAAAATATATTCATAATCTAGAAACATCTTCAGGATTTCCAGTATCTAAGATTCTCCCTGAAACTTTGATCACTCTCCTACCTTGCTTCGACAGGTATGTTATAGTGCGTTCCTTTGTCTTGTCAGTCTGTCTGTCTATGGCAAATCTCATAACATTCGAGTTTGTCCTTTGTTCTTTGTCCTTTGTCCTTTGTTCCTTTGTCTTGTCTGTCTATTACAAAACACATGACCCAAAAAAAGGTTTATGATTATTTATAACTTTACCAGAAACTCAAATTTTCAAATCCTTATATCTTTTAAACCTGATTATAAAAACCTTTAATTTTTAAAACTTATAGTATTTGATCTAACAGAATTCATAGTTTGAAATATCTATGGTTTATATAAGTCATTGACATGTAAAAATATAGGGATTAGAAAATCAGACTAAATTCCTTTGTTTATAAGAACAAAGAAAAAATTGTGACTACACAGAGCAACAGCTAAAAATTAATATTGTTATTGGAAAGGTTAAAATATCATTAATTTGTATGGCGTCATGATAGTCTGTTCTGTTAATAAATTTAGCTGTTCAGATCTGTTGGGGTACTTCTAATGCTTTAAGTTCTGTCTTTTGGTTACAAAACATATATGGGTTTATAAGGGGTTCAAAGAAAAAAAGAAATTTTCTTTTCATAATCTTTATTGTAAGATTCAGTACGAGTCACAGGGAAAAAGTTATCGGATTATTTAGCTCTTAATAATCCTTCTTTAGTTATTGTGCCCACAGTGAAAATGTATGCTATTGTGTAAAGAACACAGGTAAATATAGGTCTAGTCTGAAGTTAGATTTAGAATAGCTCTATAAATGTTATCAAGTTTGATTTTAAATCATCACAAGAATTGAATTGAGAAAAGTTGATGAACTATGTAAAGGCGGTTCAACTCAGTATCTTTTACTTGAACTTTGAATCGATGATTCAGGATTTGACCCTGTCATCAATATAACAGAGTAGTTGGACTCCTGAGACCGTTCATCCCCCCACCCCCAAAAAAAATTAAAGCATTTAAAAACATTAGATGATTAGAAGTCATTTTGAAACATTGAAAATTTTTAAACTCCATAAGAAAATGAGCATTAAGATTTTAGAATGAATTATCATAGGATGAATTTCAAACAAAGTTATTTACTGAAATGTTGTATTCCTCTCAAGTTGTTAAACACTAAACAACAAACACTCATGAAAAGGCTGATAATGAAAATTTTTGTAAGTAATGTTTCAAAAACCTTATTTCGTCGCATATTTTGTCACTGAGGCGAAATTTGTTATGAATTTGTTAATAACCCCTGCATTTGTTAATTTTTCATATTTAAGGAGAACGATCATATGCATTCTCTGACACAGCACAAGCTCCGGATTCTTGCAAGTAATTTTAAGATAAAAAATATGTCTTTTTCTCACAGATATAGGGTAGACAAAGATACAGGGTTGACGCGTACCAGGTATCTAACAAGTTGGTACCTGTGCGGTTAAAGGTATACACTAGCAATGCTTTCACCCTGTAACCACTTGACCCAATGTGCAGAGTTGATATGCAGACACTAATGTGCACAATAACCCCAAAACCTCAATTTTGATTAATTAACTTGAATTAAACAGCTATATGCACTATGCAGCTGTATGATTAAATCCCTTTTCTGCTACATAGGCAGGGCAGTCCGCGTCAATGAAACATCTTTATCTTCTTGAACTATGCTATGTCTTGATGATTTAGTGTGTTTTATCAGTTGTGCCAGGGATTTCCTGGATGGATTAACAAGTACCTCAGATTGTGATGGTTTTGGAAATTATAAATCACTCCAGGTAGATGTATGACTTAATTACTACACAAAAATTATACTTTAGTAATAATAAAAGTGTTTTATTTTTGGCGTTCATAATTTACAATACTTTTACATGAATTATTAAATTTTAAAAATTTTGAACACAAAGGGGCTCAGCGAGCAAACTGGTTTGTGACGGTCATATTAATTTGAAGAAAAAAACCTGCAGATCTACAGAAAGCAATATTTTATTATCATTATCAATCTAACAAGTTACTAGAAAAAAAATATAAAAATTTAGTAAAACTTTATATAAAAACTCTGATTTTAGACAGCAAATGGTAATGAACACTGTAGAGACGCAATTGATGGATGGAGGGTGAGTTTAAATGTTTTAATTAAAAAGTTGCACATGCCAGCCACATGCACAACTGCAGGTGTATATTTGAATCCGAGCTAAGACAAGCTTTGCAGTCCTAATCTGGAATGTCCCGCCTGGATATTCACTAGCTAGCTGGTGCAACTAGATTGACAGGTTTGACTTCAGGCTACTTCTTTATTGAATTTACACTCACTAAAACTGCAGCATTGTGTGGCTACTGTGCCCTTTTCTCATTTGCAACATGATCCTAAACTTATTTTTTTTGGAAAATACAGCTTGGGTCTAAGCTCTCGTTGGGCCTTATTTAGGGCTTGAGCTTTTTGATTCAAGCTGTATCTTATTTTCTACAGAGTTGAGTTTAAAAAACGGGTTTAACATTCTATTTGGCGGATTTTCATGGTAGGAATTGGTGCATTCTGGGTTTTTATGGGAACAAAACTCAACATTAAGCCTTATTCTCCACTAAAACCAACCAAGGTCGGTTTTATATTCATTGGGCCTCACTCCTTAAGTCGAGCCGAAGATATTGCAGCTGTCAAACATGGGACACAAACTGTTGTCAGAGTTGGATAATAATGTCGGGTTTAAGGAATTATGGCTAGAGAGGAAGTTTTTAAATTGGGAACTCAGATATAGTTATCCCTGAAAAAGAATTTGAGAAGAATTAAATTTTTCTGTTTGTCCTTCAACACAAGATGGATATCAATACTTAATCTTGAGATTCACTTCACAAAAGTTCTGATAACTTTTAACACAAGTATTGCTATAATGTTGTCTTCCAATTCCATGGTTTTCTAGTTATCACTGTATGTGAAATTGTTACTGCTTTAACCCTATTCCTGCTGGGAGGGGGGGGGTCAATTTGACCCCCCCACCCTGTAGTTTCTTTTACATAACTCAAAAGTATTGGTCTGAGGCTGTTGAAATTTTCTGACTTTTCCTACATACCCAAAGCCCTCCTTTAGGCCTAAAACCGGACTTTAATACTAACTGCCTGAGTCCTCAGGCAAACTGCCTGAATGACTGCTTTGTCCTGAAACAAACTAAATCTTTGTTTTGACCCACTTCCACTTGTCAGATTTTGATAAAATTTAGCTTTTTGGAAAGCCTTTTACATAAGGAAACGAATTGCACAAGTTTTCCGAAAAAAATTGCACATTTTTTGCAAACAACCTGTCAAAGGAAATTTGCACATTTTTAGTTTTTCTTGATTAAAAATCAGGTTATTTAAAATTTTGCAAAACTTTTTGCATATTTGAAATGGCATGGTCAAGGGCTTTTCAAAAATGTATTTTTTTTGCATTTTTTGGACAAATTATTTTTTGCAAGCATTTTTACTATATAACTGGGTTTTGCGATAAAAAATTCAATTTTTGCAAATTTGCAATTTTTTTGCAGATTCTAAAAGTATAGCAAAAGAGCTTTCCAATGATGTGTCATTTGTCATATTTGGACATCAAACATGGGATTTAGAAGGAGGGTCAAATTGACCCCCCCCCCAGCATATCCTGGTTTTCAAGTACCCCAGCAGAGATAGGGTTAAAAGGTACATTTCAATTGTTTACATAAAATGTTGACATTAGTGCCAAAAGTAAAAAAAAGTCATTAAACTTATCAGAAATTGTATTTTAAAGGAACAATTATACAACAACAAATATATATTTAAGTTGAGTCACTGCATCGTTACCACCAGTCAGATTAGAGCATGCACATTCTTACCAATGCTATGCAGAGCAGCACCAGTCAGATTAGAGCATGCACATTCTTACCAGTTCTATGCAGAGCAGCACCAGTCAGATTAGAGCATGCGCATTCTTACCAATTCTATGCAGAGCAGCACCAGTCAGATTAGAGCATGCACATTCTTACCAATTCTATGCAGAGCAGCACCAGTCAGATTAGAGCATGCACATTCTTACCAGTTCTATGCAGAGCAGCACCAGTCAGATTAGAGCATGCACATTCTTACCAATGCTATGCAGAGCAGAACCAATCGCTCTAAAATACGAATTGAGTAGGACTGGAGAGAATCCACATGCTCTCTTTTGACTGGTGCTACGATCAGTACAGATTTTTTAAGCTTAAACCCGAGTAAAACCCAAACTCAGGCTTAGATAGAACACAAGTCAGCCAATGCGAGACTGTTTAGCAAGCTTTCTCTCTGTAGCAGACAGAATGCCGTCAGATCAGCTGTGACAAGGAGATGTAAATTTTGAAAATTCAAACTGTATGTAGATAAATTATTTTCATGGTATGTTTATTTTATATATTTAATAAAAGTTTACACTACAAATAATTCCCGAGATTTTAAATAAAAGAGTTTACGAAATTCACGATCATCAGCTGCTGAAGACTCAAACCTAAAAGAAAGAAAAACCCAAGATGGTTGGTTTTTACTAAACGCAAGGCCATCCAAAAGCCAGGTCTTGACTTGAGCTTTACAAGGGTCTAAGCAGACTCAAAGACCAGGTTTAACCCGGGTTTAAGCTTTTAAAATCTCATCTCAGTATTAAAAATAATTAAGGTGAGTGGGGAGGTGCCCAGTGTAGAAAACAAACCTGGAGATCTTCCTTGTTGTTTAGATTCGACTAATACAACTATATTTAAACCTGATTTTACTCCAGCCTCACCTCAGGAATAGAAATGGGCATTGTTTTTTCTACAAAAGATATTTTTGACAGATGGACTAACGGAAATGAAAAAAAAACGGTTGTTTCTTATAAAATTAACAAAAAAAGGTTTTAAATCTTTTGAACAGTCTTTAAAGGGCGATTGTTTTTTTACTGAACAAACCAATATTTGAAAAAAATGACCGATTGTTACTAAAACGCTTTTAAAAGACTATCAATTTTATTGAACAAACATAATTGAACTGAATGGTGCATTTTAATGAGAAAATTAACTACAATCTTGAGAATGAAAAAAATCGATTATTTTGAACGATTGAAAAAAATTAATGAAATGGGGCTTTCATGAATGATAAACGAACAAAATAAAAAAAAAATCGAACACGCCCATCTCTATGCAGGAACATTGGAATACATTTAACTGCAGGTAAACAATAAACCAGTTTAATTGACCAATTTATTAATTAAGAAAATAAATTAGTTGGAACAAAACTTTCCTGAGTAAAAGAAGAAAACACTGCATACGAAATAGCTTGAATATTGCATAATAGTGATGACCAAAAAACTCTAAGACTCAAGTTATGACTTTAAAAAGTCCAATTAACATGGGACACAGCAATATAGCAGTGTATTCAGATGCATTTAACGTAATTGGTGACTTTGTAAAAATAAAAACTATTTTCTTTGTAACATCAAATACACTTCCAGTATTGCTTTGTAAAGTTGTCTTCCTTTTTATCAGCTTTCTGGTAATCACTGAATACATGACATAATAAAATATTTCACAAATTTGAATAATTTTTCTTCTGTTAATATTAATTCTGTCGTGTCTCCAAAATTTCTTATACATTTTCCAGGCCGTTCAGTTCAAGTTGGAAGACATGTGATTTTGATGAGATGAATTGTGTACAAAAATTGAGAGACTGCGAGAATGGCGACTAATGTTCTAAATAAGTTTTTTAATCATCTTGTTGGTGTAATAAATATTTACTTATTTATTCTTAATTGTTATTCACATAGTTTCCTCTTATCAATTTTTTGAAATTATAAATGTTAAACATAATTTATTTATAAAAATTGGTCATGAGGATTCGATAGGATAACAAGTAATTATGGCCTTTGTTTCTTGTGTATCTACAAAAAATGCGTTCTTCTGCTGTATGCGTTCAGAGCTGGGGACTTTAGAATGGATAACCTTTAGTCCCAACTACTTCATCCGAATATCCACTGTAGAAACTTTTAATTTTAGCCCTTAATCCACTCTTTTTCTCTCTCTTCTTTCTAACAAATAAAGAATTTGTTGTCTGTCATTTTGTAAATTAATCGGTGATGAAAAATATTCAATAATAGGTTTGAGATTCTTTTTTAACCAATTTTTAAATTATGTATTAGTAAATAAATTGGTGAGAAATTAAGTAAAGACCCTTCCAGTCAAGAAAACTAACAAATCTGACGTTCCTAGAATCAAATTTGTTGACCTAAATAATTAATTTTTAGACTAACATAATCTCGAGATTTTGTTAGTCTCGAGCTTAGCAAAAAGAGAGGGTTAAGCATTAATCCTGATATCCACCATTCTAAAGTTCCCAGCTCTGTTAGTTTTAAAATAACGTAATCCTGCCATCGATATATATATATACTTTGCTTGTGAGCCTCTGCTGTAAAATGTTTCCAGGGGCTTGGAGGGCATTTTACATATTTATAGTTCAGAGGTTATTTTGTGGGGCTCACATATAGTTATCTTATTTTAAAAAGAATTTAGAAAATCCAAAAAAATGTATCGTACAAATAAAAAAACAAAAAAAATAATCAATAAATATCTGTAGAAGGATGAATGAATTCCTGCTTAATAAAAGGATTAACTCCTTTAGAAGGATAAATGAATTCCTGTAGAAGGATGAATGAACTCCTGTAGAACGATGAATAAATTCCTGTAGAAGAATATATGAATTCCTGTATAAGGATGAATGAACTCATGTAGAACGATGAATAAATTCCTGTAGAAGGATGAATGAACTCCTGTAGAACGATGAATAAATTCCTGCAGAAGGATGAATGAATTACTGTATAAGAAAGGATGAATGAACTCCTGTAGAACGATGAATAAATTCCTGTAGAAGGATGAATGAATTACTGTCTAAGAAAGGATGAATTCTTGTAGAACGATGAATAAATTCCTGTAGAAGGATGAATGAATTTTCCAGCAAAGGAATCAGCTAGTAATGCTGTGGAATTATGTCAGATTGTAGGAGCAGCTAAATTAGCAGAGACTCCAGAACAGCCAAAGTATTAGGTTACAGAAGAAGCAGCAAATTAACTAGCAGTGAATATGGAAGCTGTTGTTGAGCGATTGCTGAGAGATAGATATTGAAGATGAACAGCTAAACATGATTTTGACTTGATGAAGCTTCTTGAGCGTCTCATAGTGCAAGACTCTAGAAATAGCTCTGGGAGCAGCTCGAACTGTAAGTAAGGATAACATGGCATATACTCTAGGAACAACTCCGGGAGAAGCTCAGATCGTAAGAACAGGTAACATAACGTGGACTCAAAGAGCAGCTGAAGTCACAAAAAAGACCATCCCAGATTGTAGGAGCAGCCAGAATAACAGAGATTATGAGAGCAGCTCAACGAGATAGAGAAAAAGAGGAAGCTGCTCAGACAGATCCTGAACAGAAGCAGCTAAATATCCAAAGGAACTTGTGAAAACATGAATAAACGTTACATATGTATTTAATAAATAAACTATGATACTGATCAATCCCAATTCATTTATACTCTGAGAGATATGTATAAAGAGGTTATTAAAGGGATCAATACTAAAACGAGAGTACAAGGATCTAGAGTGAAATATTTGCATAAACCAGGGGTGCAATTGATTGATCTCAAAAATCCATAGGATTTACATCTTGCTTGTATTTGATAAAACACAATAATCATTACAATGATTTATAGCGTAATTTAAGTATGTCGCATGATTTAAGCTAATCATGTTAAGTAATTTAAACACTGTTTCAATGAATAATGTCATTATGTCTAAGTTTACAACATTATACCATTAATAATGTACACTTACTGCAAGTTTACAGAATATCATGTTTACACGAATTTTCCTTCAGTCTCCAGATCTACATTTTTATGGAAATTTTAAATCTTTCATCTTTACCAAGTTGTCACTTGTCAGATTGCGAGCTGAACACGAGCACATTTCAAACATGGATTCCTTTAATACATGGAGCACTTTCCGACATAGATTTCTTTCATACATGGAGCCCTTTCATATTTGGAGTCCTTTTATACATGGAGCCCTTTCATACATGGAGTCCTTTCATACACTGAGTCCTTTCATTTATGGAGTCATTTCATACTTGTAGTTCTTTCATACATGGAGTACTTTCAGAAATGGAGTCCTTTCAGACATGGAGCACTTTCAGAAATGGAATACTTTCATACACGGAGTACTTTCATACACGGAGTACTTTCATACACGGAGTACTTTCATACACGGAGTACTTTCAGACATGAATTCCTTTAAAACATGGAGAACTTTCATACATGGAGTACTTTCAGAAATGGAGTCCTTTAACACATGGAGCACTTTCATACATGGAGTACTTTGAGACATGGAGTCCTTTCATACATGGCGTCCTTTAATACATGGCGTCCTTTGATACATGGAGCACTTTCAGACATTGAGTCCTTTCATTCATGGAGTTCTTTAATACATGGAGTCCTTTGATACATAGATCACTTTCATAAATGGAGTACTTTCATACATGGAGTCCTTTCATACATGGAGTCCTTTACCACATGGAGTCCGTTCATGCATGGAGTCTTTTCATACATGGAACCCTTTCATATTTGGATTCCTTTTATACATGGAGTCCTTTCATACATGGAGTCCTTTCATACACTGAGTCCTTTCAATTATGGAGTCCTTTCATACTTGGAGTTCTTTCATACAGGGTGTCTTTTCTTACATGGAATCCTTTAGTAAATGGAGTTCTTTCATTTTTGTAGCACTTTCATACATGGAGTCCTTTGATACACGAACTATACAGAACTATAAATTTTGGAGTACTTTCATACATGAAGTCCTTTCATACATGGAGTTTTATTCATTTCTGTAGCAGTTTCATACATGAAGTCCATTCATACATGGATTTTTATTCATTTTTGTAGCAGTTTTATAAACGAAGTCCTTTCATACTGGAGTCCTTTCATACACGGAGTCCAGTAAACATGGAGTCCTTGAGCGCTTTGAAAATCCGTTTTAACCATTTTTCTTGTGAAAGGATCAAAAGTAACGGGGTTTTGATTAATTTGAAGACTAGTGCGTGACCACTGAAACAAACTATAATGTTATTCAAATGTCCTATAGGGGTTACATTGTAGAACGTATATACATACATGCTAAGCAATAATTAAATACAAGTTTGATGAGAAGTAGAACTCAAGGCATCTTGTTTAACTAGAAACATCAACCCATCTTTTTAATAGTTGACTTTCGATAAAAGCACCAAAAAAAGATTATAAAGAAAAACACGTTTGGATTGAAAATCTGTGGGTCTCGAAATGGTCTCGAATGAAAATCTGGGGGTTTTAAATAGAATTATGAAGATCTTCAACATAAGTCTGAGATCTCCAGTGGAAATCTGGGGTCTCCAATAAAAATCTGTGGTCTACGATGAATATCTGTGGGTCTCTAATAAAAATATGGGGTCTTCAATGAAAAATGTCTTCCCAGGCTAAACATTTCTGAAGGTTTGAGACATAATTTTCACATGCAGTTTAGTCTTGAAAATGAACTTTCCCGAATTTTGTAAATCGTGGCCTCAGATGCTCAGACTCGTCAATAGTTTCATCTATACCACCGGCCTCAATTGAATAATACACATTTAAAATTGCATATTTTTAAGTGGAGGTTAGTTTAAGAACATAACAGCAAAGACATAAAAAAAAGAAGTTTTAAATTAATATGTCTTTTTCCATTTTTGTAATCTAGATTTATGTTTTCAGCCCGTACATTGTATTTTTTACCGTATAAATCGACTGTTGACTTGAGATTAAATAAAAAGTCCTTACATTTTCATTTATTTTCAATTAAAAAATACTACAAAAACTATAATTTGATGTTAATCTTTGATTTACATCTTTTTTGAAAACTAGAAGTAATTATTTAAAAATGTGGACATTTTGATATGCAGTTTTGAATATCAACTTAAAGTAAACTTATGGTGATATATTGCAGTGATATGACTGAAGAAAGAGTGGGGTTTAGTGGAGAGTGAGATGCTACGTAAACAACCCAGAGCAAACGGACCAACTGCTGATTCTAACCTAATCAATCATAAAGTTCTAGATAGTTGAAATCCTGCCTGGAACGGACTTCCATTTTAATATAGGGACATGCCTATTCACAATGTTTAAGATTAAGTAATTTTTCTTGTTTGAAAATGTTTGAATATAATGATTCCTACATGGTTTTCGGCAAGAGAAATGCGCAGGTTAATTTAATAAAAAAAAATCAAAATTTTAATCATTGCTAACTATTTATTAATTTATCAGAAAAATCACATTACAACTTAAAATTACGTGTATAGTTCATTTAAGATCAAAAACTCCACTAAAGACTCCTTATCCTCTAAATCTTCTACTCGTGAACTGTTGTTAAGGAAAGAAAACCTGTTATTTTAAGCAAAATTCATTGTCACAAAACTCTTATCAGTAATACATGTACCGTTATATCAACAAACAAGATGACTGCATGGATAACTGCATGATTTTCATTGCATGCCGTCAGTACAAGTAATTTTTGTTTCACACTCATGATTTACATTTCAGGGGATGAATGTTTCCAACTCTGTGTTTGTTCCAAAGATATTTTATATATATTTCTCGTTTCTTAGGTTTAGATACACGTTTTGCATGCTTTAACCCTATCCCTGCTGGGGTACTTGAAAACCAGGATACGCTGGGGGGTAGAAGCTGTGACAACG